TGAACACTTGCTTAAATAACAAGGACTTGAAACTCTCAAACAGTTGACGCGAAATCTCTATTACGACTACGGATACCATGATGATACTTAGCATGTGGTGCTTAGTTTTTTTAATTTTCCTTTAAAAAATAACAATACTTAAATATATTTGTGTAGAAGGTAGCCGTATGAGTTAGAATGAGTAGCTTTTGAGGAGTTATGATAGGATTAGATAGTATTCGCCTACGAATCTTCGGCACAGCCTTTTATGGACAGTGTAAGAGTTGCGTCTTCGGCGAAGACATCGGAATCAATTTGAATTGCGCAACGGGCCGGACGACGTTCGCACGCGTCGAGAATTCTACTAGGCGCAGGAGGAGGCAATGTTAAGGCATCAAAGGTAAGGGCATTACGAGGAGCATTCGCGCCGACATTACGATATCAAGCAAGAACAAACGAGAGTGAGAAAGAGCGGAGTCGATGGACATTGCTAGCAGCGAAGACGCGAATTGGAGACATGGCGCCACACAAGAAGAGTGACAAGGTGCAGAAATTGGTTCCCTTGAAGGTGCAATACGAGAAATTACGACCCTACAGGCGTGAGCTGAGCGAATTGGATAAGAACGAGACCGAGGGCGAGGATCTCCTAAGTAATCCCATGCTGTGGACGATTGAGCATTGGGCGAAGGTGATGGGACCGTGCGCAAGTAGCGACGGGGATCTCTTGTTCGAGAAGAGTAGCGTGGGACTTACGCGCACAGAAGAATTCTCTTACAGGCCACTCTTCAGTTCCGGGAGGCAGGAAACAAATGGTTGGAAGATCGCCGACTACCAGGATCCAAAGAGACGAGCGATTGCATTGGGGATTATGCATATCTTACGACCGGCGCGCACGACGTATGTGACGGCCTGGCAAGTAGGGTTCTTCGAGCGAATCTTGAATGGACAGAGAGTACATTGGGCAAGAATCTTTTATGATCTTGTCTGGGTGAATGCGAGCTCTCGGTGGACGGGACCGTAGGTCAATCATCTGACTCCCTTCCTTGTGAATTTCTATCGAGGCCTGGGCTTGCTCACAAGGAAGGAAAAGAAGCGATTTTCGAGGGAATGGGCAATCTTGACAACTTAGTCTAGTGAAGGGACCGAGGACGATAACCGTCGACTCTCAATCCCACCATAGACGACAGCCTGAGGACCCGTTTAGGTGGACGTTCTGCCAAATCGGGAGAGGCCAGAACGGCGATTGGCGAAGAGAAGGAAAGTGGTGAGTGATGACTAGGAAGATTTGGCACTAAAGGTCAGACGAGCTGAAACGGAGGTAGAAGTAATCAGGCAGTCGAGAACTCACGCGAGACCAAAGAGGAAGACGAGTCGAGGATTGGTGGTAACCGAAGTATCGGATAGTAGCGTGGAAAAGACAGTTGCCCCAATTGTGAGTACACCCAAAGTCGTAGTTGGCGAGTCGACACAGCCTATGGAGATCGAAGGACCTTCAGGGGTACTGATTGAAGTTCCAGCAAATGTAATGGCAGAACCTTTGAAGGAGGGAACGAACACGGTCTGTGGGGAGTGAGGAAATACCTCAACCGAAGACAAGCGAAGAACCGGTGAAGGAGCTTACAATGAGTGACAAAATATTTGAGCACGTTGTTGCGCAGGTTGGAGGGACGGTGGTAGATGCCGCGGACATTACATTACCGCCATCACCTATGGAAGATGTGAGACCCGAAGAAGAGGAGAAGACTTCGGAGATGGAATCAAAGGGAGTAGAGATCACCTTTCCCGACTTCTTACAGGACAGTGTGGTTCCACTACTGAAATATCTGGACAGGAAGTGAGAGAAGTATGCTGTGTCAAAGGAGGTAGGATTCTATGTAGAGATGGTGAGGAATAGAACGCTGCTCAAGAGAGCAGCAGCGGTGAAGTGGGAGTGGGATTCTGCACGGGAGCGAGCTGCAATCTTGTCAACCGAGTGCGCGGCAGCAAAGACGACATTGAAGGAACGAGAAGCCAAACTTCGGAAGAAGGAGATCGAGTGCGAAGTGCTGCAATTGAATTTAGCGAAGGAATCCGGACGGTGTGCAGAGTAAGAAGAAACCTGCGGTGGACTTCGTGTCTCTAGCGAGAATGGGCAAAAGATGACAGCGGATTTGCTCACGAGGTTGGAGAAATCCAGAGAAGCGTACGATGAGGCAATCAAACGATCGGAGCGGCTGATCACAACTGCGGGGAGTCGAGAGAAGAAGCATGTCGAAGAACTTGCTAACTTGGAGGTCCGAAGAGCCGAAGAAGTTCGTATCGCCGAAGAACTTCAGGGAAAGATTGCAGAGGCGAAGACGGCAGAAGAAGATCTTCGTAGCAAGATTTCAAAGATTGCGGGTAAGTGTGAAATGGAATTTTGAGGTGCGGAGGAGCTATCAGCGAGTCTGGCGAAGTGAGTCCAGAAGTATGAAGAGGAGTCGGCGAATTGAGCCAAGAAATTGGCGGATTGCGAATCGGCCAAGTCTTCGAAGGTCGAATGTAAATTGAAGGTTGAATTAGAATGTCGACGGTTGCGGTAGCAGTAAGGCAAAGCGGACATGAGATCGCAAGAGTCGGAAAGGAGAATGGAGAAGGCTGAGGAGGCCTACCGTCAGCTACGGAACGAGTTGAAGTTGCGTTTAGAGAAGTGTCTGAACGGATTCGCGATGTGGGGATTGCAAACGGTGAAGTGGCTGAAGCTAGATTCGCTCGAGCGACGGTTGATGAGCACCAAGACCAGTGGATCCGCATGACACAAATAGATTGTAGAGTTAGTTAATTTATTTTAAGAGGGATTGAATGAGGCGCACCAGAATGTAGAAGTAGAGATAGTAAATGTGTTGCGTAGGATAGGAGTAGATGTAAGTTCAGATGACACGGTAACCGCTACATCGGACGGCACAGCCCCTCAGACCAATTCGTCTAAGGCGGTTGATATTCCAGAATTGCCATTGTGAATAAAGAGGCCCAAGGCTCTTTCCTTGGGGGGCTTTTCTGTCAATTGGCTTGTTTTGAGTATAAACCTGCGTCCACTGCGTGTCTATGTGCTGGTGTGTGATCCAGACATCGAGCACAGTGCGCTTCTGTTTGTCGAAGTTACCGCATTGGGAGTTGTGAGTATTCAGCTTGAATGTTCTGAGTAGTCAAGTTCAAGTATGAGTATTCGGGTCAGTGTGTCGGGATGTATGCAATGCTGGGAAGTTTTCTCCCTGAAATATGAGTGTGGGTTCGCAAGCGATTCCCACAGGTGTTGATTGGAAAAGTTTTAGGTTGTGGGTGTGAGTATGCACTACTCTGCGGGTCTTCGGCTCTAGCTGGGTAATCTCTTCTGGGAGTGACATTGACCTTAGAAGTAAAACTCCTTAATAGAATGCTAATCTGTGACAAATCGTGACTTTTGTGGTTGTTTCTGACCTCGTGTGATCGGATCTATATCATTATGCTCCATTTTGTTATTTGTCTGTCATTACATAGCACAACATCATGAGAACATCTTACGTCAGTATGTAAGGAACACACGAAACATTCACTCTGAAAAACTTCTTATACAATACAACATAAGCAGGATGAAGACAAGAGATCATCTCGTGTAAACTGGAGTGCAGATACCCCACATCCCTCCACAACCATGGTTTATCAACTGCACATGTCCCTACATCACTAGTGACTACATGAAATTCGCTTAACAAGGCTCCGCCAGTATATTTTGATCACAGAAAACCTCTAAGAAAATGTAACGCCAGTAAATAAATCTCAACCTCGCCTAATTTTTTAATTATGTCTAAATATGGTACATTTTCGTAAGTAAAAATGTACCATATCGATCAAAACTACAAGCTCATAAAGTGGGACAACGAACACTTATCACACATAGGTCAAATAGGTTGAACTTCAGTCAACATCTCCCAGCGTCTGTAGTACACGTGAGGGAAACTAAAATCTATTTAAATTGTAGTTGATTCCATATCCCCCGCAGTGAGCTCCCTCCCATCATGAGAACTTCGTAAAATCCAGCACTTTTACACGAGGCCAGCACAACTTCAATAAACAGCCTTGAACAACGGCAACTACTTCCATTTTTTGCTACTCTTTTGTCGGCTCGTTGGGTCCACCGAGGAGGAGGAGACCTTCTAGGTAGACCTCATCCAGTAGTATCTCTACCTTTCAGGGGTCTGTGTTAAGCACATTGTTCTAGGATAGGCTTCTTCGGTCTAGGAGCAGGACCATTAAAGAACCTGCACATTTTGACCACCACACTGTGGTCAAAAAGTGCAATGTAGATGTATAGTTAACATAGATATAGGGGGAACAAATCAATGCTCCCAATATATCTCACAAAGGTAGTAAAAGCTTTTGGAGTTTCATACATGAATGGACAATTATAATAAGACATGAAGTATATGATACAAGACGCGAAAGAATCTAGTCGACAGTTATATGGTACATCCTCCGAGGGCATATGAATGAGATTAAAGTACCCAAACTGCTAATACAACCTTAGTAATACCAGTACTTCCTGTAAATATTTTGTTTGGTCGTTGGAAACTTGCAGTCTATACTTTTTTGAAGGCAGATGTGCTACAATGGCATATATAGGAGAGGGAAGATAGAACCAGCCTACCTATGCTCGCCGTAAAGGATCCTGACGGAAAATATACATATTTCGCCCAGATGGGTAGCGAAGGAAGTCCAGGTAATGATTCTAATATTGTGCAACAACCACCACGATCACATTACTGCCTCTTCTGAGGGTGATCGTTGAACTTTGGAAACTGAAAGTATACTGAGAGGTTCATAACGGTCACCTATTCAGCAAGCTGAATGGGTCATTTACATGGATATTGGCAAGCATACTTGTGCAATAAATTTGCGGTGTTAGTGAAGTTTTCAGACTTCCAGTTCACATGAAAATTAGTTTCAGGCGAACAATTTTAAGAGGACTCGAAGATTTTCCAGACTCGTGTTCTGACGTAGTACAGTGTGCAAGTATTTAGGTTCTTAACCAAACTTGAAAATGTGTACTAGCACACCATCGACGATTCGATCACTGTGATGTAAGATCTACAGAAGCTGATTTGTCTTATATTTTGGAGACAACTTAGCTGCCACATGTTCTTCGGAGTTTAGCACAGAGCATTAGATTGTGCAGATTAAGAACCCCGATTTACAGAAGGGTCTAATTTCCACATGAATGTATATTTTGGAAACATACTTACAAGAATAGTCTTAAAACCTATGTCACGCACAAGGAAATTCACTTCAGTCTAAGTAAACACATTACCAGTATATAGTCCGTTTATTCAGATTTCGCTTTTAGTACAAGGACTAAACCTAAACTAACTTGCTCATAAAGCCCCAGCTTTGACAGTGTGGCTCCTTGGAGTCATCTGACGATCTTATGAGGGTTTGTCCTTCTTCACGATATGATTGCCTCCCGTGGCGATCTTGTAGAAGTAGAACATGGTCATGACACCTCTGCGCACAAGAAAACACCATTCATTAGCTTCGTATCTATTTTTTATGCTCCCTTTCACGAATAATGTAAGAAACCTTGTCAACGTCATGCCGCACTTACAATGCGTACTAGGATACTTTGATGAGGTTAGTGTCACCATTAGAACCTGATCTGGACTATTGCTTGGATCTCCAAGAAGACATGGAAATGATTTTGATTTTGACACGGATGTACGTTCTCTCTACGTGACAACATACATGTACTGGTGTAAATGGTAAAAGAGCTAGGACTCAAGGGAAGAGGGACACACATAGATATGCGGGTAAGTAAACATGCGATCTGTAAACATCCAATCTGAACAAGTATACTAAAACAAGAGAAAAAAAAAAAAGAGATCGGCTTGTACACCTAAACAAAATATGACTGTATAATTAAATTGCAGGCGCTGATAGTAGCAACAATTCCAAGCTGCACATCCCATATAATCCTGAAGTTCTAGGACCAGCTAGTTTGAGATACCTCCCAACCTCGTCTCTAGATGCTTCTAACTATTTAAGCAATTACTTCAAAAAAGCTTTCGATATGAATCGTTGCGATAAGGTGTAGAGATGCCTTAGGTGCGGCAATATAATGTCCTACATGGCTACTCAACATGATGTTATAAAATCTCTGCTAACACATGAAAGTCAAGTCATTTCTCATTGTTCCACCGCCCCATGTTCATGGAGAGTTGAAATGATATGTTCGTTGATTTTCTATTTTCTTAGATTTGCTCTTTCTTCATACCTACGCAGGGTGGGGCAGAAACAGTAAAACTATACTCTCTGTTAGGTATGCTATGTGGAGGAGGCACTTTCTACAAAATGCCTTATAAGCGATCTTTCCGTGGGGGCATCCAAAAACTCCTTTTGAAGGTACCCAATATCCTGGTCTGTTCATGTCTGCTAATTAGATCTTAGACATCTGAAGCTTTATGAGACAAAAGAAAACTCTTGTTCCCCACACCAGTTCAATAAGGTCAATAATGGCAAGTTGTCATTCCTAAGGCTATACATCTGCCTTGTGGAGGCTAAGAAACAAAGAGAAGATGTGGAGAGTGTTGAGGTGGATCTACCTCAGAACGTAAAGGGCAGGTTTGGCTATCACTGAACAATCTAGTGAGCCTTTTCACAAAAGGTAAAACATTGTTGGCCTGTCTTATCTATACTCTTAACTATCTTTGTTTACTAACTTCAGAAACCCCAGGAGGTCGTACGGAGAACACATCATACTGATGCTAAAATTTTTCGGAGATTTCTGTAGACTGAAGAAGAGGTAAAGAAACTCCAGGGATTAATAATGTGATTTATATGTTTACGCATCTGAATTTGTGTTGGATGAAGCGTCTGAAAACTTAAATTCAATTTGCCAACGCTATTTAAGAAAAGGTGACGTCGTTGTAGAATGAGAATTCTACAACCAAAAGTTGGAAAGTGCAAGGCACATCAGACGAATATGAGGTTATGATGTTTGAGAAGTCTGGTATCAATGCTCTAGGTAGACTGATCCGTGAGTTTGAAGTTGTAACTTATGGCTGTCATGGGCGATTCCGACCGCCATCACGAATTGGATATGGGTTGATCTTAGGGAAGACAAGAACTGCGAAAGCGTTCTTTTTCTGCAAGTGGGGCAAGTCTCTCATCTGGGATAAAGAGAACTAGGTACATGTAGTAGTTGGAAGCATAAAGAGTCATCCGGCAAGGATAGGCAGGCTTCCACTCTTAGCCATATCGTTCGAAAAAGAATGATGGTAAAAATTTCTAACACTGCTAACCTCAAAAAAAGATATGATACTAGTCTCATGGGAAAGGCTCACGTCCGCCTTCTGGAAGTCTGATGGTTGGGGGGTAATGTGGAGGGGATCCACCGAGGCAGGTTGAAAGAAGTACAGCTGAAAGCTTTGCATACTACAGTATTGTCACCCCAGAGGAATATAATTGAGATTGGGAGGTGATTTCACTTTAATTCCGTAGGTTGTTTTCCAAAGAAATTGAATACAGCATATGCCACATCAACATTATCTCCAAAGACTCATGGAATATTAAAGACTCAGAAGATGCAAAGTAGACCTACTAAATCTTGGCTGACTCAGCTGTACGATACCGAAAAAGCAAACAATTGTCCTTACAAATCAATCTATGGGGATGGAAGCAGGTCCTGACAAAGTTTCATGACGTACACAATTATTGCTCTCCCAAAAACAGGATATGGCAGACGAGAACCAAATATCAAACCTCTCCCTGCGAGCTTGGATCTTAAATACGTCATCTTCAAGGACTATCTCCAAGAATTCAAAGGGGATATGCCTAAACTTAAGTCTCGAATAAGGTTTATCCTTCATAATCTTCATAAAGTAGATAAAGCTGAAGACGTGACTCTCTGTGACTTGCAGGTCGTGTGGCAGGGAGGGCGAAACTCCTGTTCACTGTTTCCTGGAATGCAGCTCTCTCAGGTAGATATTTTTTCGTAACTTCACTATGCTAGTGAAATCCAGACTGTTGGTGGAAATCACTACCCTTGATCTATAGCCTATGGCAGCCGCAATCTGAATCATCATTAGTGGGATCATACCGTCTGATGGATGAGAAAGTTAAAGAGTTTCTTGATCGAGACTTTGTTGCAGAACCAGTCTCGTCTAGGGGGGCCAATTCCACTACAAGACAGACACTCTTGACGCTGAAGTAGTGGGACTCGGGGCAGGATGGATTTTTGAACATAGGAGAAATAGAAACTGTAGACATAAAAAGATTTGACAACAAGCAAAGTAACCATCCTCCTCGCTCTGAATTTATATATGCATCTCTTCAAACCAACTCTCGGTAAACAGAAAAAACAATGAGAAAAAGAAAATGATTATAAAGGCACCATGATAATTCCAACATAATCTCTTCATTAAATAAAAATTCTTGTTCCTTCTAGATTGTCTTAATGTAGTTCCCGTTAAACTGAGAAGTCCACCTTCTGGACCTGAACTAGCAAACTTTGCAATCATGTGCCTCTAAGTTCCACTTTGAATAGAAAAATCTCAAATCAAAACTAACGCACACCTTCAGGAGAAACGTCAAATGGCCAGCTGTAATTAGAGATATCGTGATAGTGCGATACATGAAGACTAAAGTTGACATGAAGCCTACCAACATTTGCTACAAGGAGCAAAATCTTCACAAGCGTTTATCATCGTTTCAACAGAGTGATACGAGGGTGCTGTGGCAAAATAGAGAAGATACATACCCAATAAAGAAGACCAGCCCAGGGGGCATGAACTTCCCAGTCGTCTTGTATCGCTGTCCCATTACCACTGTCAGGGCCAACGAGACCACTGCATCCAAACGCATCATCAATGTTAGAATAAAGCACATCATGAGATTAAAATTCGCGTTCGACTGAACAGAATTCAACGATGAAGTAATATGGCCCTGAATACAAGCAAAACCAAAGTCCACGAAGAGCGTTCGGCCGTCCGGTTGGCATTCCTAGCCAGATCGAAAGAAGAATGATTGCTAGCGTTACTTCCAAGTATTTCCGTTCGGCAGCACTCGGTCTTACATAACAAACAAGAGACGGCCACATGATCGCTAACGTGGTGCGATCTCGATGAAAGGTCGATGAAAAAGGTATGAATTTGCAACGCTAGAGTCTAAATTGTAGAAAGTCAAAATCACAGAACCCTGTAAAAGCAAAGTGAGAACAATTGCTGAAATTCGGCAGGAACTGCGGAGGCACAAGAGAGAACGGCCAAGGAAATCGATCCTTCTACCTGTTTCCAGGAAGATAGCGAACCAGCTGTTCTGGCCATTATGATACGCGCCCAAGCTCAGTTTTCCGGCCAAAAGCAGTAGCAGCCCGCTTCCCGCACCACCAAGCAACGAACTCGTGCTACCTTTGCGCAGAAATCCGAACACTCCTCCAATAAGAACCACGAATCCATAGGGGAGCGTAAAGCAGAAGTCGTGCATTTTTCCTCGATCGGCTGCAACACCGTGGAATCTGTAAAGAGCTGCTGCTGCTGCTGCGTGATGGCCTCAGTAGCGCTGCCTGCAATTCGCCAAATGAGAGCGGAAGCGTGGCCTTCCCGATCGATCGTTCGCTTGCACTTCCTTCGCAAGTCGATTGGCAACTACTTAACATCCCCATCCGCCGTGCTTTCCATACGCCACCACGCTCCTCCGCTCCCAGAACGGGCCTGGGCTGACTTCCGAGCCTCTGACAAAGTCAACTGCCGCCTTGTTCTATATTCAGCCTTCTCTAGTCTTTCCATTTTTCTCTCTTTTTCCCCTCCCCGTCTCGGAACTCGAAATTCTATTCTCCCAGTCACGACGGGGCGGACGAAAGACGACACGACGGGCCCCAGGAGAGACGAGACTGTGCGGAAAGTGGACACTTCTCATATACTTTATCTTCGTTGTTCAATCTGGGTACACTCCTAGAAAACATTAATACAGTGATATTACTCATTCTTTTTATTTCTAGGATTTTAAGTGACTTGAAATTTTCCTACTTTTACATATAGACAGGGTTTCTTTGAATCTAGATTTTTTTCGCATTAGTTCTATCGGGACAAGTAGTTAACCTCCCAATATATGAATTGAGAGGTACGAATGTGTTTTTGTGTCAAAGCTTTCATAGTTAGAATCTCCAAATGTTAAGTGACAGGTTAAGTAGTTGTGATTTTGTAGATGAAAGGAGAGACATGATTGAGTGAAATATGTCTGTAGCATTCATGTTGTGCTAAGTAAAGCTTCAAATGTCACACACATAGAGACACATGTCATGTTCGTCACGATCTATTTATTTCACAAGGGTGAGGATCTATTTGATTAAATTGGAAAGATGATGAACAAATAAGTAAATCATTTTGGATACAGTAATCACATCATGAAATTGATAAGCATCATGTGCATATTCTTTTTTTAAGAAACGAAATATTTTCATATTTATGTTGGTTGTTCGGTTTAGAAGAATATCTTTCCTGGCCAATAAATGAATGAATTGAAGTGTGTTTTTCAGCCTATGGACCACGCAGGCTTGGTACATTTACCTTTGGTATTTGGCATAACATGAGTAGATTAGATGTGCTTTTTGCTTACCGCTACATAATTTGACATGTAATGTCATGGACAAAGACATCAACCACAATCATGTCAATGTGTTATACTAAGGCGGTATGATTAACATATGGAGGCGATAATTACTTTTCTAAAAATTTTGAGAATAATATTAGATTATATAATATGAAAACTTCCTACTAGCCATCCAAGTCAGGATTTAAATTTGAATGAATATTACTTTGGTTTTGGCTTGATTAATCCAATTGTGATTCAGCTTGTCTACACAGCTTAATTGGAGGAATATTGATGCAAATCAGTAAGTGAAGCAATCAAATACTTTCATATTTGTTTACAATTAATCTTTTAACTTTGTTAAGTTTTCTTCTTTTAGAAATATATTCAAAATCTAAATTTATTTATAAGATTTATTTGAATATCAGCTAAATTACGCTTTCATATACATATAGTATTAATCGTATGTTTTTATGCGCATCTTCAATACTCACTAGTTAATTTTATACATCATATATGAACATCTTCAAGACTGTTTAGGAGATCAAAATATCTCTAGTGGTTTCAAAAACTTGTTTCACATCACTAAACTGATGTAAAAAATATAAAAAGGTAAGATTTAATCGTCAAGTAATCAAGAGTTGCATGTCGATCAATTTGGTGAAAAAAATTATTACATAGTAAAATTGTACCAATCGCTGTTAGAAAGGTTTAATTGTATTAGGTTTTAACATTTTTATGCACATCAGTGTTAATTCTCCGCGCGAGAATTTATCGATGGGCATGATAACAATGTAAGATACTCATTCTGCTTGAAATATCATGCAAATAGACAATAAAATAATAATTATGTGTATCTATCTTCAGAGAGATTAAATTATCTGAATGGTCGCAATCCAACTTCATTCACTTTACAGAATGTATGATTATTCTCGTTAATATTTTCCTCTATCAGCGAAAATTTCCCTCGTAAACAAAATTTTCTTTAACAATTTTTTTATACTTAAATAAGTATAAAACAGTTCTTGTTATTGCATTGATCAAATTTTTTACTAATCTGATTAGTATTGTCACAATGTGAGCCATGTGATAAAAATTACCCATATCTTGATTTGTGAGGTTTATCTTATAACAGTATCCTATTGCTTTGAGCATGCTAATGATTAATGTGATTTACACACATATATTTTGAGCAATGTGATATCTTAGGTTTAATTTTGATTATTTGACTACAAAGTGAGATTATGATTACAAATTACCATTATAAATTTGAACTTCAACGTGTCAAAATAGAAAGTTTTATTTTCCAAATATCTATATTTTTTAATTTGCCAAATAATTTCTGACATCAACAAGTGTTACACAAGATAATATTGTCACTAAGATATAAATTATGGATATCAACCAAAATATTCTACTAAATACTATAAATTAGAAATATAGAGTTACCAAAAGAAATGAAACATAGACTGAGTCATCTAATCTACTCTTAGAGATATCACAGTAACTCGAGCTTGAAAGAATATGATCTTATTTCATATAGATAAGATCAACCTTTATCGCTCTGGGTAAAGCTTAAAAAAGAAAACAACAATTTGGGGCATTAACTTTTGAACGTTATGTAAATAGTACCATTTCTATATTCTTTGCCATTACAAAACCTAAGTTACATAGATACGTTTGCGGTCAAATTATTATACTTCGTTTTGGAAGTACGCGATGTAGTACTGAGTTTGTATGAACTCCCACGAATAAAACTATTAAGCCGCTCCTGCCAAAGGTACCTTTTAGGTTCAGGTTTATAAACCAGTGCGAGATTGCGATGGATAGTGTATGTCGAGCACGAATATTAGGGGCTTTCTAATGTTCAACAGTTGGTTTATCTTTATCCAACAAATTGGACTTTGGTGTAAGTTGAGAGTAATCATTTGGCAGCATTGTTAAGCCCAATTGATTGCGAACAGCTTCACAAAAGGATTAATTGTCGATTGCACAATATCTTTTCATTTGCAGCAGAGAATCATGATTCCGCATTGAACGATTACAAATTCATACTTTCAAAAGAAACATTACTGTATCAAGAATGGCTTCCTAGCACAGGTTTTGCTGCATAAGCAAGGCTCTGACACGTATTCAGAAACCATCCTTTACATCCTTCAGGCATGATGTCAACATAGCCGAAGTTATAATTCAGACGTTAACTTCCAATTCCAACCCTGCTTATTCGTACGCGTTACATTTACAACAAATTTATGACTTGTAGGAACCATGAAGGTATACACGAAATGATGTCATAGTATGCATTGTCAGCCCTGAAGATATAAGAAGGTTGTTAAATAGTAAGTAATCAATTTATCAGATCATGAACAAAATTTACACTTTCATAAGGACTACGTTTGTACACTCTGCTCAGACACCTGCTGCGTTCGCAAGGCCTCGGCTATTGGTTGACATTGACCCAAGCTGAAAATTGTGTCACGAGTTATGAAGCCCAACGGAAGCTCCCTCGAGGTATTCTTGGTTGAGGAGTACACAGTTCGACTACTAACGACGGCTAGAAGTTTTATTTGGGGTTCTAACAAAAGTCCAACTGCCCTTAAAATAAGTGTTGAAGTCGTAACGTCAGGAGGAGGCCCTCTCATTACATCTCGTAATCTCACATCAATCTGCAGAATAAACGCAGCACAGTCAGTTCAAGAAACATATACATCATATACTTCACAATTGCGCAAGTTTCAATCCAGAAACTCCTCATTTATCAAGGACCACGGTCGTGAGTAGAACTGCACAGTACCTCAAAAATGTCCTCTGAATAAACAACACCAACGCATCCTCCTTGTTCATCGATTACAGGTATGGCGTCTTCCTTGAAGAACCGCATCATGACTGTCTTGATGTTTGTTTCTGCAAGTAGCGGTCTTGCTTCTTCATACGGTACCATTATACTTTCCACTGTGTCATAGGGAGATATCTGCACGTCGAGAATTGGGTCCAAGTGTTAGTACCACGTGTAAGTAGGAATGTCCAAAAGACCTAGAAGGATGAGGCTTCTCATGTCCACGGATGGTATACCACCAGCCTCTTTCCCTTGTGAATAATAGGAGGCATATTTGAAACATAGAGACGAAGAAAAAAATGACCACAAATGCGCTACGTGTTTATCTCACCCCTGCTTTAAGCATGTAAGGCTTGAAAAGGTTGTCACCAAAGCCCACGAGAGTTTGCAGGCGCACCAAAACCTACGTCAGTGCAATTAACGAGTTAGTACAACTCCTTTTATTATTGAGCATGTAATGGTTTGGTTTCATCCTTCAAACACCGCTGTACAGCACATGTTTGTTGTTACTGTCCATGCCCGATAACTTACAGAATTTAACTTTCGAGCGGTGCATTTTGTACGAGACTGAACTTAGAATACAAATATATACATCAAGATTTTCTATTTGACATAATATAGATAGCACTGCCAAATTGTGGGAAATAGGAAGGACGTATTTCTTTACCATGTGCGCCCGGTTAGTCAAAGGGATTCCCTTTTTCAAACCGACCATTGTCCTCAAAAGTTGCCTCGCTAAACCAACCTGTCACAATTAGGAAAAAATTGGCGACATCAGAAAGTCTAGAGTTTTCCAACATCCACACCAGGACCTTGTGGATATGGATTCAGGGTGACTTACGGTAACGCTTGAGCTGCCCAATCACAAGGAGAAGAAGCAAAGGTCTAAAACGACGACTCCTGACAAACATCTATTATTATCGGACCTTGCATAACATTCATAAGTATCAGTTACATGGTTGGTTTTCTTCATCCGTAGTAATTGCTGCGATAACAAGAGTGTCACTGAAAGTTTTGCTTCAGTGTATTTAAGGACTTCCCCCCTTCCACTGAACATTCCAAATACGTCAACAACTTGAACTTCAAATGTGTCAAGCTTGACTGAATTGAGGTATTGCTATACCTGCCCGAGATTAACAGCGGCCTCTATCAGAAGTTCATCGGCCTGAGCACGGTCCTCTGCAGTAACATTGCCAGCGGACAGAGGCACCATCTGCTGCTTTAAATTTCTGACCATTTCGATGTCTCCGTTCTCCGCATAAGCTCTCATGAGAGCGAGGAAAGCATGAGACTTGGGCTTCATATGCGGGTCACTCTTCGCTAACTCTTTCATCTCCTCAAGAAAACGTAATCCCTCTGAACATACATGAGAATCAGACCCTGGCGACTTGTAAGGAAACACGGTAAACAGGCGACGGTTTCGGAAGGGAGTTTACAAATCATTCGATCACATGAACTTTGCAACTTTCATCGTGTCTACACCAAAAATGACGAAAGGGAACAATCAGAGAGCTCAAGAAAGCCAAAAAAGAAAAAGGAAGTTGTACATGATATCGAAAGACAAGATAGGCAAGACCTGTTCCTCGGATTCCAACATACCTTCAGGAGCTTGAGCTGCGATGCAGGCGTCAATTATAGCCGTGTAAGCGATCCGATCCAATACAACAGTGGGAGACCTCTTCATTTCCGCCACAAGCTTTAGCACACTATCAATATTACCATGAGCTGCTCCCTGCTCGAATCGCATCGTTGTCCAGTTATCAGTAATCCGCTGGATCTAGTCAAGATATGTGAAGACAAGTCACAGTATGAAGAATTGCAGAAATACCTTTAAAAGAGTAGTGTACGTTACAACGTCCGGGAGCAGCCTAGATGTGTTTAGTCTCCTGGCCTCAAGCTGCAAACAAAAATTAATGAGTATATCGGTACTTTATATACACGAGGCAAATGAAGAGCTCTGCCCACACTTACAATACCACGACAAGAGAAACTGTCGTCGTTTCTTTCGTACATGAGATGAAATAAAAGACTTCAAATTATGCCGGCAGTTCGTTTTCACATACTTTCATCTCCTTCAGCAGCTCAAAGGCTTGGTCCATATCACCTCCTTTCAAACAGGCAAAAATTAATGAGTTGTATGTCAATCTCTGAGGCTGCAACCCTTGATTGATCATCTCCTCCTTGAGCTTTAACGCTTCTAGAGGTTTATCCGACCTGGCACAACCCTGCATAATATCAACTGTCCTTTAGACGAGGCCCCTCATTACGGCAGGGCGTAAAATGCACGCATGTGTATGACTCATGACGACGATATATCAGTACTCACACCATAATACATTCTTCGTACGCTTCAGCGTCATAAAAGACGGGTGAAATGGTCTCGAATAAATGCTAAATTGAAACCATTATGTAAGATAATGCCGAAAATTCCTTAGAAACACAACAGCTTATGTTACAAATAACAAAGACGTCGCTCGAAACGCCATTTGTGCTTCATGAACGATTGGCATCAGGAAAGGACATGAGATAAAAAAGAAAAACTAACCTTTATCAACAAATTGTAAGTTAGTGTAGAAGGGCCCGTCTTTGAAACCGAGGAGCGATATCGTAGCAGTACACCTTTCGCCCGAAGAGAGTCGCCTAAGTAGCAACACCACAACCAAGCTTAGTTATCGGCTTAAACACACAGCTCGTTAAATCTAATTATAGGTGAGAAAAATGCTATCGATACATAGCATAAGTTTTCTGTTCCATCCGACACCTTTTAGCCTAGTGTATTGAAAACCAGATCTGAATATGCACCAATAAGGTTCGATGCAAATAGTAAACTATACAGGTGGATTTAGGAAGTACGTCCACCAAATTCTGAATCCTTCTTCATCAGACGAACTTCAAACCAGTAGAGAACACTGAACAAGGTTACCCACAAGTTTGAAGAAAGGGAACAAGGCTTTGGAGCGCGAAGTATGTACCTGCTTCAACGCAGGCATTGACGAGGGTATTCAAATGCACATCAGTTAGCTTAGGACTGCCGGGGGCTTGGCCCCCTACAATTGTTTCAACTAGCTCAAATGCATCATCCAGCCTGCGTGCCTCACCAAGTCCCTGTTCCATGATGATCAGACGAATGATCAGACGTCTGACTTCCTGATCTATCATCGACGACAGCTCTAGTAATAGAAGCATCAAATCACAGCAATGATGAAATCAGGAGACTCACCCTCAGGAGCGTGCCATATGTCACATTATCAACCCCACAACCATTATCTTCTATCATCTCCTGGTAGACTTGAATTGCCCTATCAATATCATGACAGCGGACACAAGCAGCAACTACTGTATTCATTATGATTATATTGGGTGTCCAGCCCTCTTTCTCTTTCTTCGCCTCTTCGATCAGTTTAAACACCTGAAATTGCATCGCATGATTTCCAGCAGTGAGCGGCAGTAACTCAAAGCACTTGCATAATTAACAGTAGTGCCTGCTTAAAAAGAGGATCAGATCCATTTACAGACATAAAGATGTCTTTAAAAATGGTGTCCACTCGTCACAAATGCGTGTGTAGCAGAAACCGCTCTGGTTATCCCCTAGCTTGACGAAGCATGAAAATACTGATCATGAAACTGCTCATAAATGCAATCACCTGATCAAGTTGCTGTTTCTTACTAAGCTCAACGATCTCTTTGGTCATCGCCCTGTCATCCAGCTCAGACTTTTTCTTTTTCCTCCAAAAGGGCCAAACTTTTTGTACTTCACATTCATCTTGAGACAACACTTGCTCGCGCTGCAGCCATGCTAGCTTCTTCCTATTTCGTACCTGGAGATCAAATAGCAACAGATCAGAAAGACCTGAAGTTTCCGCACCACTTGAGCTGCCATACTTCCCCCAGTATGAATCAACATCCATATCGGGCTCATATCGATGTACTGCAGAAGCCAGTAATATCTTATGCAGGAGACTAATGAGAGCCTTAGATTGTCTACAAAAGTTCAGGTGAATTTTTTTAAGCAAAGAAAGTATTAAGGATCCCGAATCTGAAAGGAAAGGCAAGAATCCTTGACGGGCTATTGTTCAGCTAGTAACAGCTACCGAAGTGTTGTACGTGTGCAAGACAAAAGACTTCAACGGTGTACAGCAAGGTACGTACATCTGAAACCAGGACAACGTTAAAGCTAAATTCTAAGAGACCATGTACTTCTCCTCCTAACACGAGAAGGAGCCGACCACCAGGACGAAAGTGGCGGCTGGATGGACAAAGCTGGTTGCATGCCTAATGTGTAATGGACTATGAATTCTGCACCCATCGCCATATCAGATTTATGAAAAGCAGTGCTCAAAGATTAAACATTCTTGCGTGCTAGCATAGTTGATGCAACGATGAGGGAAATGCTTGGACAGGGGAGACGGACAAAGGAGAAGGAAAAACCTGTGCTAGAAGTTCTCTCTTTTCTCTCTGATATTCCTTCTCCTTCTCCCTTTCTAGAGCGTCTCTCAGAGCTTTTTTCGTTTTCGCTCCCGCGCGTACGAAAAGATGAATTCCGCTGCTATGCGCCAATTTCCCAAGGGGTGCGTCAACACTCACGTGCACTTTATCCAGCCATAACCTCGTACAATGATCCTCCTCCGCGGAACCGATCCTAGCAGTATAGAGCGGACTCCGAGGCAAAACCGACGCACAGAACTCCATCGGATGAATTCCCAGACCATTCATTCAGTGAATCAACCGCAGCTAGCGGCTGCGACTCTGCGAGTCCGCCTCTTCCTCTTACGTGCAAGACCTCGAAATCGAGTGAAGGCAAAGGCAATCACTTCCACCGGACTCCGTGGAACCCAGGAATACAACTCCCCCACCAGCCATGGAAGCCAAAATCGAGCCTACCATGAAGCACATATCTCCGACCGCGACCAGCTCTCGAGCCCGGCTAAATCACACGAGGCGCTGGGTCAATCTGTGGGTCCAATCTGAGCATCCCTCCCAGAGAAAGAGGCGACAGCGACCTCCTGCTCTCATGAAAAAGGTGGCCATTCGCCTCTCCACAATCCCGACCGATTCGACCGATTCGACCTCCGTGGCCATAACGCAAGCTTCATGATCTTCGTTCCGCTCGAACTGTGACTGGCCGCGCCTGCGGGCCCCAGCGACAGCATCTCCATCTCGTCCGCGAGTTGAACCTCCGTCCGTCCATTGTCCTCTTGACGAACGGAATCGTTCCTCGGCCTCTTTGTACAGTAAGCTTTGCCTTAAACCCTCCGTCTCACTGTTCGTATGACCTGGCAGCAGAAGTGGCGGACGTGGCATTCTTAAAAGCACTTCGAGTACACTTCTCTTACACAATCTCTTCTCGAAGGGCATTTCGATGTTGATGTACGTTATAGTCTATAACGTACATCAAAATGAAAGAGTAGAAAGGTCTATAACTTATAGACCTCTCTACTCTTTCCCTTCCACGCACTTTACTCTATTTAGTTTCAATACAACAGATGTATCATGACAAGTTATCTCTTGTCCTGTTACCATGGCTGAAAAATACTTTCATTTTCATATCATGATACTCCAAATTAATCGATTCTTGTGAGCAAAATATGTATTAAATTACATATCATTATCGTTGATACACCAAAATGTAATACACATCAAGGCTTACATTTTGACTAAAAGGTTTGTCTAGAGTAATCTCAATTGAAAGGCACATATTGTAATTCTACATTACTCAACCTTATTTTTTCTTTTTAGGTTGACTACATAAACCAATGAAAATTATAATGCATTATATCAATGCAAAATAGAATTACTTTGTAGCCATTAAGAAGAATGATAACTTTGCAATTTCATTAGATGATTCATAGATTACATCTATTTGATTTTTTAGTCAATTGAATACATATAGCCTTTTATATATATATATATATATATATATATATATACTCACTCTATATGAACTAAATCAACATTGCATTGAACAAATTATGCTATACATAATTTTAATATTAGTATTATGTGTGATAAATATAAAATCTAAATTAGACTTCACATCAGTTTTTGACATAGAGATTTAAAATATGTGCTGTAAATGATATAGAAGTGACACATTCAATTTTGAACACACATCAAATGTGAATAGTTCAAAATTCCATTAAAATCATTTTCTATTATAGCTATTTACACAAACTAGTTAACCATTCACAATTGATGAATAATTCAATATAGTTGATGCATTGATCAAAATCAATCTGAGCAATAAAAATTTCAGAAATTCTGCATAAAATTCAAATTATTGCATAAAAGTAAAATTAGTATAAATTTATCTACATAAGTCTTGATAATCACTGATTAATAATACAAAATTTCACTTTTAAACTATTGAAACTTTTTAGATAGTACATCTTACATCATTTTGTAAATATTGAGAAATTTTTTTTATCTATGAATTCAACATCCAAATTTTTCATATGATGCTTATTTATAACACAACTCTTACCAAATTGCAAGTCATTTTATCTATACCAAGCATAAAGCTCTCATCATCAAAAAAAGTCAAATATTTATTGATTATATGATTCATATTAAATTTTCATACATTAAAAAGATCTCCAATTTAAATTTTAAAACAATTTACTTAAATAGATTTTGACCTTCAGCATTGAATGGAGGTCTAAGAAAGGCGTGTTAGATGTTAGATCACATGATCAAATTATCCTTCGAGTACACAAGCACAATAATTCATACATGTTAGAGTATAATATCATCTATTGAAAAATTCACTTGATCAGATCTTGAGTTGAGATGTTTCATGTATGGCATTCTAGTTTAGTACACATGAGTGACAAATACATGTAACTCCTTGACGAGAAAAAGTTTTTACCTAGTTTGAGTAAAGTTGATTTGGCATTTTGCAAACATTGTATCATGGACAAGTAGCACGGGCAAGCCTTTGATGTTAGGACTCATAGTTTTGAGTTATTTGAACATATACATAGTGATGTGTGAGTATACTCTTCTATTGCATCACTCTCTAGGAAGTTGTACTATGTATCAATTACTGATGATTACTCAAGCTATGGGTGGATTTATTTTCTTACAAACAAGTCTAAGGTGATTCCAACTTTCTAAAGTTGTCGAGCTCAAGTTGAGACTCAGATTGAACTTATGATGAAATACTTGCGTATGAGTAATGGCGAGAAGTATATTTCTAAGAATTTTCAAATAACTGCAAAGAGAAAGGTATTACTCCCCATCTCACTACAATTTATAATCCGCAACAAAACGTTATTTCTGATAGACTCAATCAAACAATGTTGAAGAAAGTATGGATTATGTAGAGTCAATCAGGTTTATCATGTGAAATTTGGGATTGAAGTTATCAACACCGTAATTTGTTTTATAAATCTTTTTATTTTTAATGTGATCAATTTCTTAACATCATTTGGATTGAATCACAAACGGATGGCTGATAATAGTAGTTTGAGAAGTTTTGATTGTACTCACTTATACTCTCATACCCAAGCAAAACAGAACTTAATTAGATTCTACATACAAGAAATGACGTTTTCTTGAATATGCTAGTGGTGTGAAGTATTACAATCTATGGAATTGATTAACCTATAAGTTTATTGTTATTAGGTTTTTTACTTTTGATGAGCCTAGATCATTGGAAGAGTGGAAGAGTTCTTAGACTTTCCATACTGAAAAGGAAAAATTTCCACTCATGTATGTTGTTGAAGTAGAGTTTCTACTCACGGATGTTATTAAGGCGGAATTTTATCATTATGTGATTAATGATCTGACTCAAAGAGTAACATTAGTACAGGTGGAAGAAGTTCACGAGAAATAAGAACCAGAGGAGCATGTTATCGTTGGTGATGCTCACATATTTGCACCTGACGATAGAGATGAATCAGAATCTTCTATTATGAGATCATCAAATTGGACTAATAGAGCTCTGTAAGTATGGTGTATGAGCTAATTCATACATTTTTGAAGATCGTGACTTTGGTATAGAGGATGGTGATGGCACTACGTTGATCTTGGAAGAAGTGAAACCTTTTTTGATTATGGAACCTCAAGCTTCGATCAATAAGCTTAAGCGAAATGCTGTTATAGAACGTGAGATGTAGTCGCTAATTGATAACAAGACTTGAAAGTTAGTTGAGGTTTCTAAGGATCAGGCGTTGATTAATTGCAAGTGGATGTACAAATTGAAGGATAATTCAATAGGTGACGAGGCAAAAATCTTTAGAGCCAAGTTGATAGTTTGAGGGTTCACACAAGAGAAATATGTGGACTACAACAAAATTTTTGCACCTGTAGCAAAGTATGCTACAATTCGTTTGGTATGTGCATTGATTGCAATATTTAGTCTTGTTATGGATGTGGTTATAGCTTTTTTCTATGAATATTTACAGTAATAAATTTCAACCAGTTGGCTTTAAGGTGAAAGATCAGGTTAGGTTGGTTTGTAGATTGCTGAAATCAATATATGGATTAAAATAAGCTCCTAGGTAGTGGAACACACGTTTTGATGAGTTCACGAATGCACAAGGTTTTTCATAAAGTGTGTATGATACTTACGTTTACATGAAGAAGATAGATGATGAGATTTTCAATCTTATTATTTTAGTACTCTACGTAGATAACAACTTCATCTTGGCACAAAATCAATCTGACATTGAGAAATGCAAGAACTTGTTGAAATCTGCATTGAAGATTAAGATTTGAAGGGATCAAAGTTTATGTAGCTTGTTCATATGATTTAGATAAAGAAAAGTTTATGGTTGAGTCAAAACAAGTATATTTACATATAGTTGACAATTTCAACATGACAGATTTTAAAGTAGTTTGGATTGTTTTGGTAGCATATTTCAGACTTTCCGCATCTCAATGTACTACCGATGCCATTGAAAAAGAAAAAATATCATGTGTTTTTCATAAACAAGTTGTGGGCAACCTCATGTATTTGATGGTGTGCATGAGGCCTGATATTGCTCTAGCGATGGGCAAGGTGAGAGGTACATGTCAAATCTAAGGAACTCTCATTGGGAAGCAATGAAATGGATTCTTTAGTATTTGAAGAGTATTAAGAATTATGATTTATTGTTTGATGGTTCATTAGATAATGACATATCCTTGTTAGGCTACGTTGATGCTAACTAAGTACAGTATCTGAATCAAAGTAAATTTACAACTATGTATGTGTTTACATTTGATGCTGAAAGTATCAGTTGAAGATTTACCTTGTAAAAGTGTGTAGCTCAGTCTACAACGGAAGCTAAGTATGTGGTGGCAGTTGAAATGGCAAAGAAAACTATCTGGTTAAACACACTTATCATAGAGATGGAATTGAAACAAGGCATGATCAATCTTCATTGTGATAGCCAAGGTGTTTTACATCTAGCTGCAAATCAAGTGATAGATAGTGTAGTGAAGCACATTGACATAAGGTATCACTTTATTAGATAAACAATGCAGTCAAATAGAGAGTAAAGTCAATCTAGTTGATGCGTTGACCAAAGTTATTTTTTTGAGTAATTTCAAACAACATTGTGTTTCTATGCAGATTATGCATGGAAAACAATATAGAGTTTGCTAGCAATCTTTTAAGTTACCTCTTTATAGTATTACTATATACTGGTATGACTACATCTTAGTTCTAGTTAACTCTAGTTATAAATAGATATCTTGTGTTAGGTTTCTTTTAAGAACTTCCCTGGAATAATTATGTAAGTTATAGAGGTTATTGTTCCCTCAACACGAGTTAAGGGAAAGATTGTTGGGATTAACTCATTATATGGGTTAACCAGCTATTCTTAGTCTTCTCTAGTCTATTGGCCCAAGGGTACTTTGACTTCTCGAGGACGTAGCCCTTGGGTGAATCATGTACTTGTAGCGCCTCCGTTTCTTCTTTTGGAATTCATGTGTTTACCGAGTGACTTGAGTTCCGCAAGTTTTTGTAACTTATTGATAGAATTATGTCTTGTGATGCAACATGTACTTGCATGAAAATAACCATGAAATCTCAACCACATAATTATGAGATATTATGAAAAGTAAAATATAGATGTTAAGTTTGACAATGCATTAGACATGTAATCAATTCCATGAGTGTTGAAATCTTTAAAAAAAGAAAGCTTGAATCCGTATGCTGATAATTTGAAATAAATTACTTACAAATAAATGTAAAGAATAGAGTATAATCAGTTACAACCCATTCACACATATAAACATACTACATCATTTTTCATATATATGAAATATATCCTTTGCTTCTCTAAAGGAGTGATGAACTCTTTAAAGATTGAAATTTTGATCCAGTTTTCTAAAGTAATATCATTGTATCATACCAAAACAGTAATTGCTAAAAGACAAGATACCATCAAGTCCATCATCGATAAAACTGAACTGTTTGTACACCACACTTGTTTTTTGCGCTTGGAAAAGTGCAAAGGAATTATCTTCATAGTGTTTGAACCTCCTACACTTGGGATATCTCGGATACGTTTTCAGTTCATATGCTCAAGATTTGCGTGACAAGTGCTAGAGTTGCGTAGTTGATCATGATTGTACTTACATAAAATGACTTTTTGAATTTTTCTCCATTCAGTGATGGGAATACTGACGTGATTCATTGATGAGTTTCATATGTCCGGCTATATATACTAAGCATGATTTTAGGTACATGTCCTGCCGTCAATCGATATTAACGTTTTAAACAATTCAATTAACATGTCAACGACTTGATGAACAACTTGATTGATAAATTCATGCTAACCAAAGTTAGACTGGATTGACCAGAATTTCTTAGCTCTATATTCGAAACGATTTACTATCTAACATAGTCCGAAATGGGGCATACTTACCCGTCTACATGGTAAATTGCAGGTACAAGTGTTTCGGAGTTAGTAACAAAGTACTTGCTAGAGTCCATGGAATTAAACTTACGCTACTAGCAACTCTCCTTGACCAGATATGAACTCGAAGTGCATATGACCTGCACGAAGGAAGTTCCGTAACTGAAGGTGGTATCGAGCCGACTTTGTTATCCAGACGTAATGTGCTATTAAGGTGTGGTAATGTCCATCACGATGATTGTATTGCGTCACACTGCTACGTGGCTCGATGATAAGCAACTTAAAAAATTGAGACATGTGTCGAATAATGCATGCCAGATAGAAGGAAAAAGAAGAACATCCAAGGCGACAAGCCTACAGTAGTTACCTTACTCACCTACTCGGGTAGCAAGGAGCAGCGTCCTTCTATTCCACATTTAAGTTCATGTCCATTTGGTTACACACGAGAGAGAAAGATCATAAGCACCTGCATCTTCATCTAGCCTCAACTGGATACTCTCCATTCTAATACAAATTGACAAATCGAGTGCTTCACTCGTTTGTACCAGTAATCGCTTTTTAGGACCAAGTGAAGACAAGGGTGAAGGTGTGCACAAAAGAGGTCCATCACATGGAAACAACTTCAACCTAGAGAGGAGGCAGTAATTCCCATTCTCTTCGTTATTCACTCACGCAAGGCTTTCCAGTGTGCTGTTGACGGCGTACTTATGAGTTGACTACCTGTACTCTGCCGTTGTAAAAGAAAACCAGCAACTGAAGTATCGTCAGTTTTGGGTCAATCATTTTAATGATGGGCGTACAGAACGTATCCGTTGCGAAAATACAATCAGAGCAGGGTTCTGGACCCACCATGGCGTCGTAATGAGGGTAATGAGAACGGCTCATTCCTGATGGTAAAGATTTTCAACTATATCCAAGCGCTGCCCGTCACTCTTCTGCTTACTGCGACAACTAGACCCTACCAAAGTTTGATAACCGAGCCTGAAAAAAAAAGGAAATGACTAGGTGGTAATTTACAGTAGTAACACGCTGTAACAGCAACTAAGAGACTAAGCAACATCATCGAACCTCGAGTGAACCTCAACTAAGTGGACTATATCAACGTGGGCAGATGGCTTGACGAGGATAAATTTTTCTAAATATAATCAGGGAAAATTATGTCCCATCACAATGCATTGGTCAAAAAAATTACTCCGGCGCCATAAAGAGAAGATAGAATCACTTCGATCGATTTATGACGGTTTGAGTCAGTTCCGTTAAAGCCCGCCTGCAAAGCTGACCCCTACGCGAAGACGAGGGAGGTAAACCAGCAATAGCAAGCGCAGCTTGTTGGGCGTGGTAAGCGGCTAACTGCTTAGTTCTTGCGATACCCTGACTACTCATCACCATCTCTAGTGCCTGCATCAAGTAGATGAGCACTAAGTCAGATACTCCACGTGCATTCAATTGACAGTTCATCGCCATCCTAAGTATTTATATAACTAAGGTATCAACAGAAACCATTTATTTGATTCACTACTCCAGTTTGAGAGTTACCGCGTCAATATCTCCGGCCTTCCTGAACTTTCGATTGATTAAGTTATACAACTCAGGATGTTCCTCTAACGCGAAAAGAATAGGTGCTGTAGCTATACCCTGCAAAAAAAAGGCCACAGAATCTATAAGACTCATCATAAAACAAAAAGTAAAGTTAGTGGTACTACACCTTGAAATCGCTTGATTGGCCTCCGGGTGGTGTCAATTTGAACTTATAAGCTGAAAGGGACTAACGTCCAGGGTGGAGAGAGGAACCTGTGCGATATCATTCAATGCTGGTTTCCCGAGACTGGATTTCGTCCCGATGAAGTCCAATGCATCATCTACTAGTTGGTATGCGATGCCCTGCGAACATGATGTTCATGAGTGAGTGATGTACATTTCCACGAACAAGCAAGAGGGCGAAACATGAAGGAAAAAGAAGTGGATAAAAACGAGCTGGGATCGTGCAACAAACACTCCTTGCCAACATAGTGTGCTGGTTTGAAAGCAAAAGTAATTCCTAGACAATCAGTAAAGAAAACTGACAAGGTGGCGCCCGTATTCAAATGCAAGCTCAGCAACATCTCGCGATTGTTCCGCCAATATTGCAATTGACTTGCAGCTGTTGGCCATAAGAGAAGCTGTCTTGTAAAATGTTTTCTGCATGTAGTATTCCATACTGCACATGAGGCACAGGCGATGTATCTGTTAGCTGCTACTACAAACATGGACCACTTAGTTATGATTCAAATTTATTCATCATAAACAAGACTCCAATTATTTTCCAACAAAGACTATCATTGATGATTTCGAAAGAGGTTATTCAGGCAGATAAAAAGATTTCAAATGTTTATATCCTACTAGCAAGGGGTTCGGCCGTAGTTCACCCGGGCCACGGTGTAGGGCACCGTTGAGTATTCACATCAACCTTATAGTAAGAAGTACAACGTTGTGAAAGACAAAGTACATTACGTTTCAAACTCCCACTACGTATGGTACATGATGACTAGCATAAACCAACCTGAGAATCTCTTGAGCTTTTGACGTCAGCTGCATTAATTCACCAGTGACAAGATCGTCCAACACACTAGAAATGAGAGAACCCACCTGCAGAGTTCTTCAGCATTGGTTGTCAGCTGCATGATTGCACCAGTCACAAGATGCTCCAACACTCTAGAAAGTAAATCCACAACCTGCCAATCAGGAATCTTTCGTATAAAAAAAAGCTCAAAACTGGGTTCACGCCACAAATAAACCATCCAAATAAAACCCACTGGAAGTTCACTTAAAGACTACGTGCCCAACTCCGCGTAGTATTAGACGACACATACGATACGCCATGTCCCAAATTTGGGGAACTTCAGCCACAACAAAAAGGACCACTAGTCACAGTGTACATAAAGTTTTCTGTCTTTCGGTTAAAAATTGGATCAAAAGATGAAAACACGAAGGTCTATGATCGATAGAAAGATAGTAATATGATCCATACACAAGGGGGAAAGAATACATAAGGCTAGACAGGAAAAGAAGAAGGCTAAGAATCGACTAACGAAAGAAATAGATCAAGCAACGAATTTCTCAGGAGAAGATCTGACGAAGGTCTATGATCGATAGAAAGATAGTAATATGATCCATACACAAGGGGGAAAGAATATATAAGGCTAGACAGGAAAAGAAGAAGGCTAAGAATCGACTGACAAAAGAAATAAATCAAGTAACGAATTTCTCAGGAGAAGATCCGATGACGGGACTCAATGCACATCTGATGTAGCTGACCCGCATGTGCAAACCTAGAAAATTGATCATATACGTTGAACATTCGATCAAACGGAAACTTTAAGTGTTTGGAAGACATACATCAGTGTTTTTTAAAGAGGCCAGGGCTACTGAAGCTCTTGCAAGAAGAAAGTCTCCAGCTAAAACTGCCAACTGCAGAACAATACGATGTTGATCAGTACACAAAAAGCCAAATTCGGGTCGAAAAATCTGATAATAGTCGTACCATATCCACTTCCATACTGCATCCCTGCTACCCTTCAAAACTGGAGTGAAATCGAACGTTCAGAACATTCATCAAGCTAAAAACCCGCTGACAGTTAAGTTCAAGATAAAGACAGTATCTTCCAAGAAATGGACGTAATCTCTTACCTTGTTTCCCATAATAGAATTTAAGGAACCGATACCCCTCCGTGTGTCTGCGTGATCCAATACATCATCGTGCAGAAGGCTGGCTACCTGGATCCCATGCAACTCAGATGTCAACCTTGATTTCAAAAACATAGATCTCAGCGTTTCAGATAAGGAGCTAGTTCGACACACATATTCGAAGGAAGGCCATCTGACTATCATAGTTATGTGGGTCACGGGATGTACGTGAATCATTTCTGTGATTTCGGCAATCCGCTGTTGCTTACGCCGCCGCTCATCGGCGAAATCATCATATAATTTTTGCTCACTGTAACTCAAAGCCTTGTCCGGAGAAAGGGCTGTCATTGAAGATGCCATCAATAACAACACCTGCAAGAATTACATCATTCATAAGCCAATTCTACGGATAAAAGTGACTTTGTCAGCCTTGAGGACCCTCTTTACTATCATATACTGTATCTGAAGAGGCAGACTTGATAAGAAAGCTCAGGAAGTCTACCTCGTAATCCACCACCTTCTCCCCAGAATAAATATAGGTTGTGATGATAGGCCATAATATGATTGAAATGTTTACAAGATTGAACCCTTCAATATTCCCTCCGTAAATTTTCTCAGATACTTCTAGCCAACCTGGCAAATAACGCAAACTTAAAAATAATCACACCTCGCTTACAACACATGAAGGCAGAACATTTTGCACAAAGGTGGGATACCATTGGCCTAAAGCGCTTGCCCTCAACACCATGCTTAAAGAAGTACTCCGCTGCCTCTGCTAACTTTGGCACCTGTCCAAACAAGAAAAGTGGATCAAGCGACGGTGAGAGAAGGACAAGAGGGCGGAAACAGTTTAAGGACTATAAAAGTACGTCAAGTATGAGGCACACGACCGATGCCATTGCAGATCAGTACGTATAATTTTACTTGCTTCTGATAGCCTACATGATAGCCTACAATCGCACCACACAGAGCAATCCTTCTCCAAACTATACAGATCAATACTTCATTCTCAGATGATATTTGGACTTAACACTAAGTACTGATCAATCGAGTTACCTCTGCCGTCACCATATCTCGAAGTCTTTGCCCTAGAAGAGTTAGCTCATCTGCAACTAGAGCAAACGGGTCCAATTTTCCCTGCAATAACTCAAGGCAAGGTAAAACTTTTAAAAGCCAAACAACTGAGATTCGACAGAAGTTGATATGCTAACCTTCGAAACGCAAAATGTATATGAATATGAGGTAGAGGCAGTTTGAACATTCAAAGAACAACCTGATCTTGAAAGCCGATTAGGTCAACCTCAAGAGATAAATCTGGGCAAGGTGGCGGTGCAGCATGATATCCTGAGGAGCTAGTATATATGCGCTTCAGCTGTTTCGTTTGGCCTTCATTTCTCCCGGGAGATTGTGTATTCCAAAAGTGGCACCCTAAAGAACGGCCTATGGTAACCTGTCACAACGTGCAGCGGTTGTATCAGCCTCAACGATTTTGGCAGGTACCCTCTTCCATCCACGTCTCCTGCTTCCACGTGACTAACAGGAGGCATCAAATGAATGGAAAAGACTGAAGGTAAAATTTTAGCAATTCTTTCATAAATATTTCGAAGGAACCGCACACATCGAGCTGGACCCAGAGCCTTAAAGAGGAACATGACTATTAAATGGGTACCTCTGGCCTGGAGAGGGGCCCAGCCGCACAGCTTGATATGAGGTTTCGCAGTGCGAAATCTCCCTCTGCAGAAAAATTTCGACTAGTTGCCTGCGGGAGCAATTATACCGCAATCCTCAAAAATCCCGACCCATCGGAGAAAAAGGTAGGAGCTTTCACAGTGGAGGACAAACAAAGAAATTGAACAATGTTGTTACCGTGTTTGAGAGGAAAGCCTGGGAAGGACGCGATTTGGGGTGAGTTGTATCTTCATCTACTAGTCTCCCTAGTCCTGCCGCAGTTCCAAGTGCATCTGCAAAAAAGAGAAAAAAAGAAAATAGAAGGTTCATTATGAAACAAAATAGAACGTAAACCATGAATTCCATAATTCGCAGTTCAAAGCATGAAGTCACATGATAATCGAGATCCACGGACAAAATATTTCCACGACGTTCGCTGATTTCACTGGCTAAGAATCCACATTGATATCCACAAGACTTCGAAATCTACAACCAGTAAATTGAACAGGAAGAAAGAAAAATTCTAAAGTGCTTTATTCGTTAAATTTTGGTGTTACATACCAAGGCAAGGGAGGGATACAGAGCAAGAGTGCTGACAATCTCCAATTTCAACAACCCAGATTATTTTCCCAGCCTCAGCATAAGCCCTGATTCGAGATACCGCAAACAAGGGTTTACGATAAACAAGGGGGCCCTAAATATTATTGAGATTTCAAACTGATCTACATTTCCTAACTGAAGATCGTAACTTGGTACGTTCAGATGGCAGAACCTTGCAAGATATGTATGCATGAAGTAGTTAGACTCCCGTAGTCATCTTTTTTGATTGCAGATTCTGGTCCACTTGACACAACGAATTCGCGAAACTGAAGAGAGTTCACGAAAGAGCAAAACCCACCTCCGCCTTCGACGCTGTCTGAAGGCAACAGCGCTTTGGACCAGCTCTCTCGCTGATTCCAGCTGTTTGAAGGAGAATCCGCAGCAGGGATGGAAGAAGACGATGTGGAGGAATTCGGAAGTGAATCGAAAATTGAGCAGCGTCCGGCGCTACGCACTAAAGTGGGCAAAGATCGTGCACAGCTACGTCTACAGGTCATCGCCATTTCGACTCACAAGACTTGCGCGTCGAACCGATCTGCTCGAGTGGGCTTTTCCCCCCTGCACTTCCCAACTCCCTCAAAGCTCTTCCTCCGGCCTACAACTATAATAACAGGCCGATTGCTGCATGAAAGACAGACCGACTATGCCAAATGGCTCTCGATGATGCTCTTCCAACACCCTCGTTCCCAGCCTCCACCTTCCGGACCCAGACCCAGACCCATTCGCTGGCTCGCTCGTTGACGCAGAGACCAAGTCGTGGCCTTTTCCCTGGCTTCTTGCTGAGCCAGTGCTGTCATGCCACCACCATCAGCATAACCTCAACCCGCCGCCAAGGACGACGGCTACACTGCCTTCACTGCCTCTCCCTCTGCTAAACTGGGACCCGTGAAATCGGTTTCCGCAGCTTTGCTTACTTGTCCATGTCAGCCGCCTCCTTCTGCATTCGTTCATTCCCCACGCTCGTCGTTTCTACGCCACTGACCGCATGCACCTCGCCACTCGAATCTAGTACGCTCGATTGAGAATCTGGGATTCCGCCCTAGCGCACTTTGTGAGGCTTGCGTTAAAGACTTGCGGTTGGTCTGTCGAACTCTGAGCTACTCTAAATCGTGGACACTTCAGCAATGTCAATCGATCGAAACAGTCTCGAAACATTTGTGCTTACGGCAGCTTCACCAGCGTGCTCAAGTTGCTCAGATTGTGGAGTGACCTTATCTTCGATCTTGACGAATAATCTTGTTATCGACGTCTACAGCTGCAGTTAAGTTATTCCGTTCTGCGTGGGGTTTACGTACACAAATGCCAAGTTTCCTCGTTGCTTGACTTGCAGCTTCACAGACCATTCTTGTTAGATACCTTCCGCCTCCGACAGGGCAGAATTTGATGAACTACAGCTGATTACAAAAATCACGTCTGGTTCTATATCCTTCGTCCCCAAAGCAAGATATACTGTGCGGTGTGAAACACGGCCGTGGATAATAATCAGGTTGTTCATGAAAATGGCCTCGCTCGCTAAGTGAGCCTCGTTAGGAGCATTTCATGTCAGAACCTGGTGTGTAAGTCTTTCGTATTAATTATAATTCCCACTGTTTCGACCTTATTCTTGGAGCAATATAACTTTCAACGTCACGGCTGGCCGATCCTTAACTTCCAAATGCGTACACACCCTCTAAGCTCGTACATGGGGGTAAATAACATGATATGATAAGCTTCCATTTATGTACAGGTCAGTAAGGTACAGTCCAAGAAGCTTTCAACACGCTGGCCAGTCCAAGTTCCTCCACCATAATGGATTGCTTTCAAAAATACACATCCATAATCGTAAAGGCCGGGCCATGATACAAGTTTCCACGACCTTTGTACCACACAGAACTTTAGACACAGTGCATCCATCTCACACGAATGGACGGACAGCTAATTGCATCAAGGACCTAAAAAATATCACGGATATATCAGAGATAAAGAATGAGACTACAGCATGAGGCTCGAACACCAGCACCTAACTCAAGCTCAAGGCTCAAGAAGGTTGGACTTGGAGCATTCTTGGTTCAAGGCTCCTTTCAATTTTGAAGTTGAAGATTTAGATGGACTTGTACCTAATCGATCTGGCCTTCCTCACCCACCCAAAAGGGGTCTCTGATTAATGATCTCGATGATCTGTGCTTGCTCGGCAGAACTAGAAGTTCAGGCCAGGGGACATGAATTTTTAAGGACAATGTTCCTCGGTGCTTTCCTTGTGGTATAATCAAGTGGGTTTCACCCTGACGAGAACCCGGAGACGAGATTGTTCATCAATCGCTCCTTCTGTTTAAATGTCAATCCTGGGTTGTTCTGCAGAGAACAAATCGTTCGTGTTACAAATCGGCACAGCAAGCATCCAAAAAAAGTTCAGACAAAATAAATTCTCCTTACTACCTTCTACGACTGACTGTTGAGTGATCAGAGAACAATACACATCGAGCATAAAAAAACTAGCAACTTCCCCTAAATTCGAAGTATTAGAATTTTACTAAAGACACAATATTGAGACCAGAAAATGTAAGTTGGCTACCGTATTGAGCGAGAGAAAAAAATTCTCGTCAACCCATTCACCCCATGAGATCACAAAACCATCCGTATGCCTCCCTCTAAACAAGGGGAGAGCCCAAAACAAACCTGTAAGGTGATAAGGGCGCGCTGCGTGAAAGCTGATACTTCAGGAGGTACACTTGTTGGCAGCTTATTACTAATCGCTTCCATCTTCTGAATCTGCTGTCGAGCAGTCATACGACCACGACCAGCATATGCCTCCACCAACTTCTCCAATTGTGGTGCGTGAGCTAAGGATGCTTGTACAGCTTCCTGCACAGCAAATGAGACCAAAGTCGACGTTATTTTTTATAGTGACATTAGATGAACAGATAGGACAAAACACTGTAAAATTGACGCTGAAACTGTAACATTGTAGCTGCGCTGCGTCGAGTATCTGCGCAGGTTAGAAGTCCAATTGAGCCACTGTGCCAATCTGTGCTCGATGATGAAGGGCTTTCCGATTCTCATTGAGAAAATTACCTCCGACAGAAACCCTTCTTGCCCTTATTCGTTACACTTATTCGATTGGTGCAGACGTTGGGTTTCTGTCTTTTGTGCATCTTAAGGATTACAAGTTGAAATACTAGACGGACCATCGAAGGAAGAATCAAATGCCAAGAAACAATCCACTGCTCAAGCATAACTCCTGGAGAAGCAAACACACCTGCCACTTTTGCTCCTCAGATAATTCGGCATCCTTCCGTAAAAACATAGGTTTCAACTTCTGTAAATATTCTTCCAGTGAAAGAACAGGTGGTTCATCGATGTCCGGGTTTCTGCCGAAGTCTTCCATTGCATATTCCGGTTCAAATTGTACCTGAACGGATACAACAGGCATCTCATTATGAGGGGGTGTTTTTTCTTCATCCATGGCTGAAGTTGTGTCAAACAATAACTTGAGAGCAAAATCTTAGAGGAGCATCACTTTGAAAATTCCTGTCCACAAACGATCATATGCGTAAACGACGAATAAAGCATGAAAGCTGTGGCACTCGAACCGAACCAAACGTTCAGGGGAACTGTATAAAGAGAAAACAACGAAGACAAACCAAAACAATCTGTTGACTCGCAACAGCAACGAAAAACCTGTCCAAGAGAAACATAACTGTGGAAGAGATTCCTCACCAGGAACAGCCTATGGAGGTTTTCTTTGAAAGTGCTCTCATTATCAAGTCGCAACAATTCTGCTTCCTGCTCAGGTGTAAGTTGTTCCTCCACAGAAGGCTCTGACAGAGATAATTCATCAGCAGATCTGGGCCCTCGTCTGGGACCGGGTCTTTTAGGCCTTTCTCTTTCCTTCCTAGTTCTCTGGGTTTGTGATGGTGCTTGTCCTGGTTCTCGTTTAAACCTGTCTGCAAATATTTCAGTGGCATCTGCAAACTTCTCCATACCTGCTTTCCTCCTCCTCTCTCCTTCTGCCGCCACATTCTTCTCAATTCCTTCTTCCAAAATTGCAATCGCTCGAGCTCTGGCCTCTTCAGTAGATAGTTGTAGTCTCTGTGCTCTAGAGGATTTTTGTTGGCCCCTTCCTGCTTCCCTGCTGACCCGACCAACCTGCTGTGACTCCTCCATTTCAGCACCAATAATGGATGGAGCAGCTTCCTCAACATGTCCACGGCCCCTCCCGGCTGAAGGCAAAGAAATCTGAGGTGCGAAAAAAATTCTTGGTGCAGATGGAGGAGTTGCCTCGACCTTGGCAGGAGAAGCTCTCAATTCACTGTCGTCCTCTGCGAAGCTAGCAATGTCAGATGAAACCCTCTCAGGTTCGCTCGAGTTCCCGAGGGGTGAGCTAAAAATTCTTCGGAAAATTGGAGGAGTTGCCTCGACCTGGGCAGGTGAGGCTCTCACTTCGCTCTCCTCCTCATAGCTAGGAATCTCAGATGAGACCTTCTCGGAATCGATTGAGCTCCCGAGAGGAGATTGTGGGAGGCCTCTGCCTGCAGCTCCCAGCGCAGGAATTGGAACAATCCTCCCTCTTCCTCCACTCTGCTGAGGAACGACGTTGATTCCTCTCCCTCTTCCGATTCCAGGAAACGCATCCGATTGTGCGGAGAATGGGATTGATCTTCCTCCGACTGGATCCTCAGAGGCAGAACCTATCCCAATCCCTCTACCTCGGCCAGCAGGTCCACCATCCGCTGCCCTATTCTGCACATCCATCAAACTGATCCGTCTCTGCACCGCATCTCTCCATTCAACCCCATCATCCCCAACCTCCCCGGCTTGCTGCTGATTGCCGTCAATCCCCTGGCCTCTGCCGACACCGCTCGCAACATCTTTCTCCTCGCTCTCGGGCACAGCAGCCCCGATCGGCCCTCGGGGCACACCAATTCCTGCTCCTCTGCCCCGTCCACCGGGACCAGAGAAGGAATTTCTCAAGAAGCATCTCTGAGCCAAATTTCCTCCACTTCTTGCCACAGCTGCCAGAGCCCGGGGATTCCCAACCCGCCTCATCGAGTTCTCGATCCGCTCCAGACCCTGTCCACTCCCGACCCTGTCACCTCACTCGTCCATCGACAATCTGTAGTGCACGAATCCTCTTTCCCCAGGCTCCTGCTCCCGCACCCGTTCAGCTTCAACCTCGTTCAGCTCCTCCTCATGATCGTCGTGCAACATTCATCCAAACTTCGTCCTACTGTCACTGTCACTGGACACAATTGGTTAAACCCTAAACCATTTAGCTTCGGCAATTTGCAGTTTAGCACTTCTCTCCGAGGCGGGTGGTGGTAATCGATATCATTATCAACGCTTTTGAGCTAATCAGAGAGCGGAAATATGGGACGAAAATGTTATCAGAGTCAGCAGCAGCGCATTAGATTATCAACGTTGTTATTATTATCCAGTAAAATGAATGATCTCTTACCCATATTTTAGTATTTCATCGAATTTTTCTGCTCATAGCATGATGCGCTGCTTCAATTGCTTGATATGAATTAAGGTCAGCTTCACAACTTTTAGTGCCATATTTATCTATAGACGTAGTTAGTAGATGTGTTAATGAGGAATCAAATTGAGAGCTCATTTACTTGAGTTGAACTGCTACCAAAGAGTCAGAAAAGAAGATATGATAATGACAATCTAGTTTCACTACAAGAAACATTCATTACTTGTTACCATTGTAATGTTGGAAATACTAGTTTCCCAAAATTCATGAATTAACTTCGATTCCGCATATCTACAAGGTTGCAACCAGGTGAAACTTCATGTCTGTCTTGATACATGTATTTACATTAATGATTTCATGATGTCATTCGTCCGTGATAAAAGATTCATTCAAACATAATTTCTAAAATCAGGAATACATGTCTTGTTTAATCTATGTCAAATTAAAACTTTGCACATCATATCAATGATATACATATATAAATGAGATTTTGTTCATAAATTGTCAAAATATATACTTCTAGTAATGATTTAATGTTCATTCATCTTGTCAACTGTTGTTTGATATCATTTGACTTTTTTACATTGTTATTACTCTTCTAATTAAATAACCTCATTTACAATTTAATGGTTGAAAAGACTAGATGTAATATTAGTTCATATGTATCATTGTATTTGTCCAAGTATCAATTAAATCTATTGACAACATTAAAGATGTGATGTTCGCCATGTGGCAGGAAAGTAGAAATTTTGTGCTTCATATATGTGATAATCAACTTTGAAACTCTTAGAATGATTGTCTTGTATTATGATTATGACTTCAATAATTACAAACTCCACTCTTTTCTGTATTTATATCAAGAATTTAAATTATCATTTTTTTTTTACATAATACGATATTTTTTTATAGAAAAAGAAGGTTAGAAATTGTGTTCTGTGACACTTGAGTGAAAAATTAAAATTTGGCGCATATGTGTATATATATATATATATATATATATATATGTGGATATTGAAGATAAAATTTAACAGTCATTTTTAAATACAAAACTGTGTTGTGGATTGAAAGTATGCAGAACATTTTCATAAACACATTTGATTAGGACTAGCTCTATCAAAAGCCTCATTATTAGATAAAACAATATAGTGCAGGATGAATTTTATATTTCTTATGAGCAACTCATATACTTCTTTTTTATCATCACTTTCATAACATCTATACGATGATTTTACAAACTATATGATTTTTAATTGTAATGCGCCAAAATATTGTTAAAAATATAATTTGAATAATTATCAATCTTTCTCAATTTTTTATTTTCTTAAAACCATGTCTCAGAGTTTGTTACAGGTTTTAAAGTAGGAAAGATCATGAAAAAAAGATTTGAACTGGAAAAAAGCTAAAACTTCCAACTGATTAACCTATATATATTTTCGTAAGATGTAACATTGTCAATGACAAAAACATTGATATGAAATGAGTGTTAGTATGACATGTGTTATACTCGTCACTACGTTACATCGAATGATTTACTAGCAATAATGAAAATCGAAAACTGATTTCAGGCAAGAGAATTTTTATAAATTACAAATAAAAGTTACATATATATATATATATATATATAGAGTAAGTATCAAATTTATCATAAATATTATCATTGTGCTTTAACCTTCTATGCCTTAAATATTTATTGTAAATAACTGATTATATGATACTTTAATGACTGATAACTGAATGATATATCAAATTTAGTTTTTTTCTATAAAAAAGAATGTAATGAAACATATGAAAATCCATGTTCCGCAGATAAAGGATCCAATGAAAAAACATCCAAAATTTTCGATATATTTTTACCAGTGTACAAGCTAAAGAATGCAAGAACATTTATGAACAATTATTTTTATATATTTTAAAAAATAAAGTAAAATATTTATATTTATATTATTAATAATTTTTATTCTATGTATGATATTCACTGTTTGAAATTTTGTAATTTAAGGCTATTGTTCAAAGTGCATTATTTAACCAACATCTTGACTATATTTGATTTCCCTTGATAAGATTGAGCTAGAATAATCAAACAAACGAAACCTTTGGGTTAAAATCTGTACGATTACATATACTGTCGAATATACAACGCTCATTCTCAAGAAACTCCTGTCACCAGCCATCTATGACGTGGATAATATCCAGGTTGAAATCCAGTCCTACTGTCTCCAGCAAGTAAACAGAGAAGAAAGAAACTGTCAAGGAAACTACTTTACATCAGGCCGACAACGCAGCAACCAGAATCAAGTCATGACACAATAGCGACACACGCCCATGAGAGACATTTTGCTGGTCATAGTCGTAATACAGCTGTCTATCGCTAGGTGACTGTGGACTAAACCGCAGTGGTACTGTGAAAATGGAATATATTTTTTCCTTCTGTCGCTTGCTGTAATTTGGATTCTCCCAAAAGGATCAACCCAAAGTTCATGTGGATAAATAAATAGTTTTCAACTCGACTTTAACTTGCAGGCGATAATTAAATAAACATAAAGCCATATGACGAGGGCCAACGAAGAAAATCGAATAGTCTACGCCTCATGATGAGGGAGGCCGGTATAAACCTCTGAGATTTGTTCCCAACCTTTACCCTGATCGTCTTGGTATTCTAGATACCCTTCAAATGAGAGAAGGGATATGTTTATTGGTCATGCATTCAAAGTCAATGCTGCAACCTCATGATACTGCAGGTAATGAACATTATGACACGTAATTCATCTGTCTCAACAACTAACAGAATGCGTGAAAGAGGTTCCTGTTGACAAGTTTCCAAAACTTAATGCTAAGAAATTTATAGATAAGAGTGTGCTTCACCACTACCAGTCATATCTGATATGCCTCTGCGACTGAAATCGCAATCACGACCTAAGGAACACAGTTTGACACCAGAACACACTTTTCTTAACTAGGAGATTCCTACTCTTCTCGAAGCCAATATGCGATTGAAAAGACAACAAACTGGACGAATCAAGGAACGAACAGTTGGGTAATTCTTTCCGATGAGGTGCCGATACTTTGAAAGTCGTTCAAATTAGCATCTATTCGAAACATTAAACATGGTATATTAAGAATCTAGCGTCGCTCTCGAAGAATGCGATTATTTGGTCGATTCAAGACGCTCTGAGACCAAACGGAGTAAGGTTGAAAATATGTGGTATTATTCAAATTTCTACATTGAACAGGAGACAAGATCCGTACAATCGGATCGCGTGCACCTACTCTTCGTAACAGGTGCACGTGGCTAGCAAAGACAGTAGCAGAGATCTCGACCATTTGCTCCTAGGCTACTCACCGTCCTTGCCCGACCTAACAATCCTCACTCTCAAATATGAGTACAAGTGATAGGAATCACTTGTTAAACGCCTATACATGTATAGAGGCCTTCCCAATTCCATCGTCAGTTTGCTAGCCGGATTGATTAGGCAAACATTCAGATGATTTTATGTAGCCTCTGATTACAACTATCACCAATTTACAGCCAGGAACTAAACCATGGTAGTAAGACCCTCCCTGCATGGACTAGGATCCAAAAACCTTCCCAATTGCTGTTGAATTATAGTCTGGGCACCCTCAACTAAACCCTTGACTATAGATGCAGCAGGAAGAATTTCGTGTATCAGTCCAACCCCAATGCTCGCATACATTACCATGCTCTCCACATCTCCTGCAGTCGAGAAGTTTGGTACCTTTCCTGAAAACCGAGGAACGTCTTCCTCCTGATAATTGGCAAAAATTACACCCTTAGGTAATGCCCGTGCACAGTCACGAAGAAGCCAACAAAGAAAAATTTACCTGAAAGCATATTGACCTCTGAAACCAACGTGATATTCGTACGTTTCCAAACCAAGGATGAAGTGTAGACATCCGCTATCGGCTTCAAGGTCTTCTAAGGATGTTCTTTGTCACTACTGCAGCATTTGTACTCAGGGTTCATCCATCGGGATTTCAAAAAGTTACTCCTTAGGATAAGGCATGTCAAAGTAGAGAATTTTAACAACTTCCACGCAGCAAACATTGAGACTTGGGGACTTGGGACGCACCACATCATAGATTGTTGTATGACCGATGATGGGTTGCCCTACTTCGGTACCATCAGGGGGAAGTTCGCCCTTCCATAGCTCATGAGAGGTTGTTCTAATTACCCGGTGAGGAGCTCTCCACCTCCCACGACCGTACAGGTTGGTGTATTCAGTATCTGACTCTCTGGCATCCACGATCTTTCTTTTGTACAATGGATGGGCACAGGATTCAACTGTTGCAACAAACCTGCACAAATAGAGTCCACAAGTCTACATGATGCGACTCGAACCTGATCCACAAGATTGAACTTTTTCAATCCCAATTTTGGTTGCCATGAAATTTACACCTTCATGATGCACCTGGGCTTTTATGGATCTTGTTCGAAGAAAGAGGAGACATACCAGAGGCTCATAACTAAGAAACATCTCAACATTGACCTTACAAATAGGTTTGAACTTTTACACTTAACTTGCGGTACCTTGTTCCAAGACACACTCCTTGAGCACCGAGAGAGAGAGCTGCAACATAACCACGTGCATCTACGATGCCACCTGCTGCTATAATGGGTACATTATAGCCCCTCAGAGCATCCACAACAGCCGGAAGGAGAACAAGTAACCCAACCTGCCCACCAACACTGAATGAATTTCTGTAGTTTATAGATTTTAAGCTCATGTCGCTATTCACCTGACTGCAGTTCAGTAGGCCGTTCAAAAGTAGATAAATCCTTCAAAAACATTGCATAATTTTCAGTCCAAAATCAGAATTATTATTGTATTGCCCCTGGTCCAGTAAGATGATGACAAAATCAACTGATAGAACAAAGCAAAGACTTAACACTCTAGATCTGACACAAATTCAACGATTTTTTTTTTTTAGGCAGTCTTCGATCGATCATTGGATCAATGATACCTGGCTGATAACATGCCCCCCAGCTTCAATGCCCTGCACAACTATAGCATCTACACCAGCTTGTGCTGCCTTGATTGCTTCCTCCACAGAACCTATCTGTCAATATGTCCAATGTACGAGAATATCCAACAAAAATTTTGAGCACTTTAAGCAGCAGAAAGAACCACCGACGCAAAAGAACCAGGGTGGCAAGGCGCTTTTCATAATTTTACTGGATATGCTCCCAAGTGAAAGCAATTTCGAAAAACTGCGTGGCAAGACATCAAAGGCAACGAAAGAGAAGGACTGGAGAGTCAAAGCTCTACATAACTAGAAGTCACACACCTGGTGAACAACTTTCACTCCACATTTGTGGCATTCATCAACTTTTTCTTCCGGGAAATCGCCCCAAAACACCCAAAGGGCTGTCACTTTCTCCTCTAGAGCCATTCTAATATTCTCATCTTGGTCAAAGTGCAATACGACTCCGATCCCAAATGGACGCTCTGTTAGTTCACGGGTGCTCTGAATCAGCTGCCTTACAATATCCGGCCTTGGCTGCAGTCAAAAGATAAAGAGAAGCGTGTGTCGGTTTCACGTTATGAGTTTTAGTGTACAATAATCGTACCTGAGTAACTTCCGATCGACAAGTAAACCAATTTAACCAATTTAAGATGATTGGCAGCATAGTCAGCTGAGACTCACAATGAAGCTGAACAATTTCTGATTTCGATCAGCAATTGTCGTTCAAAGGGAATTATAAAAAGAGACGAAGCCAGTGGACAAGCGAGGGGCAAAACCCCGAATGGAATTGAACTGCAATGTCTGTAGGGAACAGGGAGCTCCATGCGAGTGGCACAAACCCAAAGGGTTTTAAAAAGCATGAATTCTTCTATAAAGACATCCCACTATCTCTGATTTTTCACCACGACAAGCCGATTGGATGCGAGAAAAGGGCCGTGAGATGTAGATGGAGGCGTGAAACGTATTTAGCATCAATCAATGGTTCTTAAATTCGACATACGTGCTTCTCTCTCGGCAGCGATTCGAAGAGACCAGAGTGCGGTGAGGATTTGAGAGGGCTGTGAACTTTATCTGGCATAAGACATATCTTCTTCAAATTCAACATGAGATCTTCTCTCTCGGGGGCGTATATGAACTTACAGAGGTGATACTCTTGTGGAAGGAAGAAAAGGGTACCTGATCTGGGGCGCGGAGGAATCCGAAGCCGCCAGCATTGCTCACGGCTGCAACTAATGCAGGACCCGATAGATCTGGACCCAAAGGAGCTTGCAGTATAGCATGCTGTGCTCCCAGAAACCCCTGGTAGACCATCTCTCCCCTGTCTGGCCTGTGAGAGTCTAGACTACGGCATGCACCACCACAAGCACTCTGGATGCGATGAAATGTCCACGAGATTCTCTAAAATTCACGATCTTCCTCTCCTTCTTTAAATCGTGTCGAACCTCAGCAACCTCTGCACCTCAAGAATTCTTCTCTGTGGTTGCGGCCGCTTTCTGAACATCCAGGAGCCCAAGGGAGGAGTTCTGCTGGTTCTCTCACCTTCCAGGAAGGAGGCGGAGGCGACTGACCCGACCCACCCACCTACAGAGAGAATTCACGTCCTGGGCACATATCCAATGTGCACCAAGATCTACGCCAGAGCTCTGTGACTGCCGGGGCGCTCACACGAACGCACGCACCGTCGTCTTTTGAGCCGAGCGGACTGCACCCTGCAATTCCATTCGCATCGCCGTCGACGGGACCGGGAACCTTTCTTGAATCCGATCCCAGAACCTCACACTTCAGTCGTGGCAGGGGCAGCGTGTGCCAAGTGGCTCGCATATCTGTCTGCACCTCTGCTGAATCTTCTCCCGCTCTTGTCCGCTTCCATCTCCATCGCTGCCTCTCTCTCTCTCTCTCTCGGTGCGATTCTGTCACACACAAAGATATATCATCGATGAAACTCCAGACTCTTGATTGCTTCTTCCAATCGTCAGTCTGAGAGCGGGAAAAGAAGATGCCGTCCCACTAACCGCTCCGACCAATTTTCTTTCTGGATTTGGCCAATCAGGAATATAATAAAATAAATCAACAAATGGCAAAAAAAACCAATCAAAGCTATATCAATCATAAATGGATTGGGGGTTTTCCGCTGACTTCACCTCTGCCTCCACTGTGGAGTCTTTTCTTACCAGCTCCGGTACCACTGCAACGTTCACAGTTCTTGGTCCATCTCTACCTTGCGTTCCGTCAGCAGGCCTTGCGGTCCCAATGCCGCATCTCTTTTCTCTCTCTCTTTCTCTCTCTCGTTCATTCGTTCTCTAGTCCATGCACTTCCCATGCATTTAGTCGGGACGGTGATTCAGAATCCAGCTACTTAATCGGACCGCCTGATTTCGCTCCTTGCTTCCATTTGGGTGTCAGCTGGGAAGGGGATGGGATGATAGAAGAGCATATTTAGCGCCTGCCTGCTGTTCGGATTGGGATATGGGCACGCACCCAACCCACTCCAGAGAAATGGCTGCGACGAAGCAAGATTGGACGCCGTGCTCTCGGCACGTTCCACACATCGATCGGTCGCTCGCTCAGTCAGTCAGTCAGCCAGGCAACGTTCCATTCATGCGCATGAGGGTGGGCGATTGCGGTGGGGATGGAATCCACTCACCGCCTTGGCTGCTGCAAGATAAGCAAGTCCATTGGGAGAACTCCATGGCCTACTTGCCATGTCGCCGCCTCCAAGGGAGCCTGGCCTGGCCTGAGGACCCACAGCTCTGCCTCTTGGTCCCTTCCCTCGCCTCGCCTCCAGCTGAAGCACCAACAAACCATCCTCCTCCTCGAGGATGGTTTGTTGGTGTTAGTAATTTTACGTGGTCGATGGAAGGTTTTCATCTTCCCATATTGGAACCTGCCATTCAAATAAGGAAGGAATAGTATAATTATCTTCTCTATTGACCAGGATCATTTAGCATAGAGTAGAAAAGGAGACTATGCAACCACATCGCCCTGGGTACAAGCAAAAATCGTTTTCGGGAAAGTGAATCCTGCCTGCATCTCCAAAGCATGCAACAACAAGAACAATAACCAAATCTGAGGGCTGGAAGTAAAGGTGACAACTGTCCACTCTCGTGGAAAAAACTCCATGTTTCCAACTCGGACTGTGATGTGCACTGTATTATATGCAAAGCTCATATCAAGTTGATAACATGGGGTCTAGAACTGAGGTCACCGATCAAACTTGTTTTTCTCTCAATGGCAGAGACACATCTTCAAGGCATGTGCTGTCTAAATACCTGAATGCAATCGGACAAGAATAAATGCGCACTAATATTTCAAAGCTGAACACACACTGAACAAAACTTGCCACTTTTTCCCCGGCATCCACGAAGCAAGTAGAATCAAGATAAATCTCTCACAAGTTTCTCCATACTTGCGAAGTTGAACATCGGCTATAGTCTTTGCAATTTGTCCTCAGGACGCTGAATATATATGTGGCGACAGTGTGTCGAGTCGGATCAAGAAGCACAATGCGGGGCATCTTATCTCATTAGCATCTTGGCAAGTAGAATTGTTTCAAATATGATGATAAATAATGACATAATAAATGGAAGCTCCTAAGAGAAAACATCAAGCTAAATAAGTCTATGATACATTTATACTTCAAACATATTTGTGCGTGAACGTGTTCAAGGTTGGATGCAACCCAGTCACATGAGTAAGGGTATGATAAGGGTGAAGAGTGCGAAGTACATAAATCAGCTAAATGATCTTAAAATTTATCATTAGTCTTTAACCTTGCAAGACGGAGAATGATGGCGACTTCAATATTTCCGGAAAGAGAGTAGTTGAGTTTAATACATTCGGATAATATCTCACATAATCACGTATCTAATCCGGATCTAGAGTCTCGAATGAGAGTTATTATAGGCTAGCCAAAATGACAAACCATCACATTGCATCTTGAATCACTTGTACGACGATGTAGAACATCTAGATATGAGATATTGAATATCTATGAAATGAATATATGCATATCTACACAACGACTTCGCCATACGAAGGTAAAACACTCGTCACCGGGCATCGCAGCAAAGTCATTAGCCATCGAGTATCGTCTTCCAAAGAGATGCATATTATCATAAAGTAGCGTGAAAATTGGTCGAAAGAAGGGCACAAGAGAGTTTGCCATAACTTCAGTTACTACGAGACTATCTCTGAGAATGAGATGGTGACGGATTTTGTACATGGTGTATCCACGATAAAGTCGTAGATCGTGTTGTTGGGCAACACCTTCGGAATCATGAACACGTGTTGGAGTGAAAGATGTTCAATCATACAGAAAATCACGTTTTGTGGCAAAGTGTGGCAGAGCGTCGAAGTGCAATGTCGTCTGGTAAGTTGTTCACAGAATGACATCAATTCTAGGCTCACATATGTACAGATCCAGCATCTGCATATCGAGCATCATAAGAATGAAATCTTGCCCATCCACGGCAGTATTTGACAAGGATTCACGCTCGCAGGGCGGAAAGATGGACCATGAATTGTTGAGCATGTCGAACATAGCCCCGTTGCGCCTCGAACTGGCAACACACAAGAAGTCGCGATCAACAGCACAGTAGAACTGTTCGTTGAGTCGGTTGGCGTTGAGAGACTCCAGAATGTGATCCGGCATCCTGCAAATCTCCACCCATTTCTTCCTTGAGGTCCGACCTTCCACACGAGAATCTTTCTCGTCGTCTTCAGCCTCTTCGGATGCGTTCAGGGCTACGGCTGGAGTACTCAATTTCCACACACAAAATTCCCGCAAACCTTGTAGGGGTGGGAACTCATCATCGCTCCAAGGGTGGGAACCAATTCTGCCGCCTGCCACCAGAATTTCCTTCTGTCGATGGAGCAGAGTTGGAAAGAAAATAGGATGCGGAGGTGATGGGTGCAATTTCTCATCAGTGACCAAGAAAGGAACGCTGGAGCTCGAAGAACTCTCGGCGGGATCCGCAGGAGAACAACCAGTCTCGTCACGTGAGGAAGTATCTTGGCTATATACACGAAATCTGGGAGGCAAACCTGAGAAAGGATTGCTGCCCAAGCAGAAGAATCCGCCTTCGGTCAACAGCGGATCTTGGAGTATTTCGAGCCTCTCCTTCGGCCATTTGGCGACCTGATCCCACTCGTTGCTTTGCACGTCATAGCTGTAGAAAGTACTTAGTTTAGGACCGTCCCATTCTTGTATAGACGTGTAATCTGGACTCTGAGGATGATGGTGAACTATAATCCGATGCGAGTGAGATGACTCGTTCCATACCAATCCCATTGGCCTACTTGTGTCATAATGTCGTAATTGAGGCAAGAGAGGAACCTGTTTCTTGAAAGAAGCGTCCACAGGGTTCATAATAAATAGGAGATACTTCATGCACCTAGCTCGGTGGGTATTCTTCGGCTCATCATACTCACCATAGACCAAGCCTTGAGGTACCAAAACCTGCAACAGCATGAGACCTTCTGCTGCTCCCATGAGTCGTACATCTGTGGCTGTAAAGCTAGTTCCATCGTCCAGAGTAAATGTGTAGAACGAAGGAAAGTTCATAACGCAGAGTTGCCATCGGTTATTGTCTGGATTGTAGATGCTGATTCCATGCTCCTTGGCAAACTGCGTGAAACACAACGGCGCTTGATGAGAGTTTCTCCCACGCCATTTCCTTCTGAAGCCCGTCGTTCGGAGCAGTGTATTCCATTTCTGACAGACGATTCGCAATCGCAGGACTTCATACCAGGGCAAAAACGAAAGGATCGACGCCAAAATATCATCGGAAAGACCAGGCAAATGCCTCCCTTTCCCTCCCTCCTTGACGCTCATCGAAGCAATACCAAACGCCTTGCTCCTCTCGGAATGCCAAATCTACTTCTCAATCGCAGACTGCCGTAATCCCGACCTACAAAGCTCGAAATTCGTCGTCTACGTTCCGCATGATCGCAGAATTCGTCCCACGACCGCTCTGCTCATCCCACATGCTCCACCCCCAGGAAACATCCACCAAACATGCTGATCGCCACGCAAGGAAAAACCTCCGACCTCTGTATCATCAATCCGCAGCTCTGCGCGACGACGCCGCTCTGGTCTAATGTTCACATCCTAAACCCTCAGCTTCCGACCACGAAAGAGTCGTCAGGCCACAGCTCATCGACTACTCGCTTGCCAAGTCCCCGTCGCCATCACTCGTCCTCTTCCTCGCTCAGCGGGCAGGCAGTCCATCCGACGATCAATGCGTCGCCCCGATCGTTGCAGACCTACTTCCCAAACCCTACGGGTCCGTTCTTTTATCGCCTGCACACATCCTCCGCGAGAGGACCAATAAAAATGCCGACCCCATTATTCTCCGCCCACAATTGAATCCTTTTCCTTTCCCTTTTCCTCGCCGAGCCCGCCTCTTAAGTGGCACATCGTCTCGACGTTTCTCGATCAACTCAGCCTGAGAGATTGTCTTCTGTTGATGTTGGACCCCAGCCTACGACTTCCCCTGAAGGTGACAGTTCCGTTTCTTGTACGAACAGGTGGGCCCGACTGCTTCGGTCGTCGCCATCACCGACGCAAGTGCACGCTACCCATGAGCCTCGCTCGAGGCCTTGTCGATTTCGCAGGTCCGATACCCATTTCACCATCAGGGGTTTGGAGATGGTGCACTGTCCCTACCGCACTGAGGTCACACTTTTCGGGCCTTGCCAGTTCTTGCCGTAGGATTGATCAAGACCCGAGTGACAACTTCGACACGATGCCCGAGCGGAGATGGGCAGGCAGAGATGCTCTCGAGAGTGTCTGGGCCCTTCCACATCTCCGCTGTTGGTTCAGGTTCCTTTCTTATAATGTCCTGTCTCAGATGACGATTCGCCCACTTCGGTGAAGGTCTCGAGAGTGTCCGGACTCATCAACATCACCAATTGGTTCGAGTTCCTTTCATTCGCTGTCGAGTTCAGGTGACCACTCAACCACTTTGGTGACCTGTGTCTGCACTGTGGCGACAATGCTCGTCAATTCTTGCGACCTTTCATCTCGTCGCAAAAATTTGGGGTCCGAGGGAGTAGCCGATCATAAGCTTCGGCCTCAAAACGACATCAGGGACATACTTGTGCTGTTTGTGGATATTGATGAGATCTTCGGAGCATCGTTCAGATGTCGAGCTTAGTATTCAGCGGAGGGCGAAAAGGACTCACATTAACGAGCCCGAATAGTTCAGGCGTTCCACTACTAGATTGGTTTGTTTTTTACAACTCGATTGCAATCTCATGTGTCATGCTGTGTGCCTGAGAAGCTTGGTCAGAGCTCGTTTGTTTGCTGAAGTGAAAGTTGAGCCGAGTACCAGATTTCTTATAAACATGGCCAACAACAAATCCAAATTGATTGCTCAGCTAATCTCACAAACTTTCCAAAATTGAGATACGATGCTGAGGGCACTCCGTCATAAGACACACCTTCCAGCATACCTTATCTGAGACAAATCCAAAAACAACACCAGATTAAGAAGTTGACGTTCATACAACTAATCTTACAGCATACAGCTTCTGCGATGGAATCGGGATGACCTGTATGGCTCACGCAACATGATCACCTTCTCGAAAACACTGGTTACGTGGCTTCAGAAAAATCGAAAGCCCAAATCAAGGTCAAGACAGCAGGGTTACAACCCTGCCTTATCCACAAATATTGTACCCTCTGCGTGGAACTACTACTGAACATAATACGCCGCGGTGCTAGATGTGATTTTCATACAGATGAAGTTGATGACGCTATTACAGGCCCTTGTCCTTTCCCAGTGGGCAGCACATCTGTCGTGTGTGTAATCTTCTTCAGATCGACCTGTAGATACATGAAAACGCGGTCATAAATCTCGTCTAGTGCATAGTCCCACATGGTCTTTCCTACTCCTAAAAAGCCCCTACTTCAAGAGACTGCATGAGAAGTTTGTTTTCAGTGTACATGTGTTTCACTTCACTCTCGCAGGTCCAATATACAGCTAGCTCCGGAGTTCTTGCTTCTCAGGTGTACTAACAGTGCATTTAACGACAATGCAAGGCAGGAACAATTGAGAAACAAAAATGTCAGGAGCTTAAAAAAGCTTGATCCTCCACACTCTCCAAAGACTGCAGTCTGACACATGAGAACTGGTGATTATCAAACTCTGAAGGTGACGACATAACGGGAGACAACGCAATACGTGGCGAGTCTTAGATCAACACCAGGATGCCGTAATGCACATTTTTCTGAAAAGTGCCTCCTAAGTAGGAGTATGATGCAGTCACTGAGTTTGAGAATTGACAAGAAATCTTACTGGAAGAGGTAGCGTGACAATTTTGAGCAAGTCTTGTAAGTGACTTCTCAGGCTCTGGCAATGGGCACAGGAGGCGACAGTCCCGTCGGAAAGTTCAACGCCTGCAGCGACTTTGTCATCGTCTAATTGAAGTCTCTGGAGATAGTCCCTCACGTTTTCCACCACCTCTTCGGCTGCTCTTTTCTTTTGTTCAGCGTCTTCCTTGAGCTTCAAGAGCCCATTCCCGGCTGACAAGGGTGTGACGAGAACTTTACCCTTCACGTCCCGAAACTTCGCCACAGTCAACCCTTCTGGAGCGGTGCTGTAAGCGAAGTATTTGTCTTCCTTGGGATTGTTCAAGGCTTCCTGCCAGCCAGCACTATCCAACGCTGCCCCTGCGACTGCCTGTCTCAATGTGCTGTCGACAATTGCGTCACTGGTGTATCCCTCAGGTACTTTCACAATCCGCCGAAGCACGTTTTCTTCGTACGAAACCACGAGGCTCAGCGGGTCCCTGCCCTGCCCGAATGCCACTTCCTGTGCAGCAAGCTGAAGAATCTGCTGGCGGGGTCTGCCCATCTTCCCAAATCGCTCCGATGGTGGACATTTACCTTCTCGTCGCCGTGCAGTCTGCTTCGAGTTCCTTGCGTTGTGCATAGTGGTACATTCCGTGGCCTGAGCCGAACATACTGGAGGTGTAGCTGCGACGCGTTTGGCAGCTGAATTCTGTCCAGCGCTGAACACGAACGAAGGTCCAGACAGATTTGGTTCACCAAGAGAGAATGCGTGTGTGCCCATGGGTGGAGTAAACTTGGGTGTGCTTGTGCCCTCTGTAGGGAGGGACAGAGGCGAGGGTTTGGGCGGACTGACTTGGGGTACTGCCAATGACAGCAGAGGTTCGACGATTTCGACGAGAGTGGAAGAAGTGTCAGCTTCGCCTTCAGGCTTACTTTTCGAACTCGAGACTGTTTCGAAGTGAAACTGGCTGATTGCATCGGCCAACTTTACATCGATTGTTGGTAAAGGCACTTGGTCCGCCTGGACCTTCCGTCCATCCTTTTTTTTCTTTTTCTTCCCCGTCATGCTTCCAGTGATTGGTCGCTCAGCGCAACTCAATCGGCATCAGCGGCCCTTTCATCCGTCAGCATTAAAAACGATAATCGGAACCCATGAAACTTCTGCAACAACCATGCCGTGACCTTGAAGCACTAAATGCGAGCCTACTCAACGCCCCATCACAGCGTCACATCTCCAGGGTCGAACCTCAAAATATCGCACCCTGATTCGACAACCTCATCCATTCCTGCTAAGATCCACACGCACGATTTAAAGGATCAGAGGCTAATCAGCCACACCAAACGAAAACGCCACGCATCCCATCTACCTCAAACGCCTTGGGGTTGACATCATCATCATCTACCCGCACGTCCTTGCACTCCCCTTCAAGGACCGCAGCAGCAGAGATGACACCAATCCAGAAGAGAACCCATCGGAAGCTTCGGATAAACCATCGAAATCACGCTAGAACACTCACCAGACGAGACAACGAGCTGAGCTGACATCACATCGCAAGAAGCAGAAGCAGAAGCAGAAGCAGCACCGGCTGCTGCAAAGAAAGGACTCATAGGATCGATGCCACCCACCTCAGTTTCGTTCGCGATCCTGAGGGCCACAGTTGACCCTTCGCCTTTCCAGCTTCATGAGCATTTGGTCCTTGGATTTCTTCGTTTGCCTCTTCCTCAGCTGAGCTGCATCTGCCTGCTCTGTGCTCCTCTCGCCTGCCCACCGTCCTCGTGCACTTTTCAGACACGAATGAATGATTCGAGCTGCGATTGATTGACGCCACGAAGATTCCCCTGCCCAGCCACGGAAATGATTTGGATCGCCTGGCCCCAGAGCCAGTGCCAGAGCCAGAGCCGGTTCCGGTTCTACATCTGGTGGGCCCGTGCAGCTCTCCGCGCTTTTTCCTTTGCTGAGAAGGAAGGTTTAGGGTTTACGGTGCGTTGTCCCTTAAACCCCAAACCCTAGGCTCTGTCCTGCCACTGGGTTTGGTTGGGTCTCGGTCACTCTCTCGACACCACTAGGACCCGAACGACGAGTCGAGGACAAGGACGTGCAGGAGTGGATGTCTTTGAAAGGCAGCATGGGCGCCGTGCTGCGCTTCGGAATTTGATTGGAAGCAAGACTTCCCTCAATTTGTGGAATTTTGCGGGGAATTTTGACGAGATCGAAACGGAACGGCATTTCATTTCATGTGCTTTGGTTCAAAAATAGTAGTGTGCTGCAAAATGTAGACGGATGGTCGCAGACAGGATTCATACGCTAAGCTGAACAGCTGGTAAAAGAAACGAAGTCGGGGAAGGAGCACAAACAAGTGTATAGTATACTGGAGTTCGGCCTTACAGAGATAAATAAGAGGCAAGATCGATTTTTTAAAGAGCCCAGGGGTATACATTTTTATGGGATATGGTTGAATGTGGCAGCAGGAGTATTCTCGAAGTCGGAATTCTAGGCGTTTTGGAGAACTAGGACTCGCCTGAAATCGCACGGCAACCAACATGACTTCTCATTTGGCTGCTCAACTCCAGGCATTGGCTGTAGCCAATGGTGCCTCTACGAAGGCCAAGCAATCCACACGCCCATCTCTGCTATACCATCCTTCCAAAGCAGCTGATATCGATGTTCGCACCATCTTCGATGCAGCTGAAGCAGGTGTGATCATTAGTAATCAACCCCTACACATTTGGCTGCCGCTGAAGTCTGATTATCACAGTCTAAATGGTCTCTTTGAAATTCAGGCTCTCAGCCTTCTGATTCAGTTGAAATCCTTGAGAATAATACGAGGGCTCAAAATGTCGATTTTTCTTAATCGGTTTGGATACAGCCCTCGAGATCTGAACTCAGAATATTCCGAAGTAAGGCGAGTTTCTGCACATTGTGTAGAACACACTGCTGGAATTGTCCGAGCTTTACCTCCAGTGGGCAAGTCACTGTCGGGTTTGCTGTATCAACACATCTTTTGTGGGATTCTCTTTGGGAATTCGGAGATTTCCTGCAGCGAACAGAGCATCTGCTGGGCGTCGATAATTGAACCTTTTTGGGTGGGCTGTTTTGGACAGGTTTGGAAGAGCTTGTCCTTATGGATGGTCGCTTCAAAATATACCGGCATTCGTTATTCAACTCAAACAAAATTTACGAGGACAGGGAACTGCAAACCAAAGAAGAAAACGAGAAGCTGGACACTCTTATATCTGCGTATCTTCGATTGTTAGCTGGCTACGTCCTTTTGACCCCGGCACATAGCACACTGGAATACCTCATCAGACGATACAAGTATGTCCTGTAGACCACTGTTTTTATAAGGCATAACCTTTGTATATTTTGTTGCGGAGTAATTGGCTTTATGAAATGAGCTATTAATCTAAATCTTTTCATACTATCCTCCTACCAAATTGTGTGTTTTCTGAGTTATAAACGATTGGCTCCCGAATTTGGACATTTACACAGGATTGAAGTCTATAACGCAGAAGACGTGGTTCTATGTGTTCTCCCCTGCCATGAGACCACCTTGTTTGTGAGGATAATTCAACTACTTCACTTGAAGTAAGTTCTAGTTCTCCTCAGTTTTCTCAATTTGTATCCTTATTTTCGCTCATGATGGTTTGTTTTCTACTTCAGTTAAAATGCAGATCACAAACCGGCAATATCAAAGAAGAATTGTTGTTGACCATATTTTGAACAAAACGTTCTAAACCTTGGTCTTGCATTCCAGAAAGACTCGCTGGCATTTCTTGGACGCTCTGAAGGAAACAGGTGGACCTCCTCCCAGACAATGGCTTGTAAAGAAATGTACTTCGGACCTGTCAGTTTTGGAAGCTATATGTGACTCGGTAAGAATTTTGGTCATACAGTGTAGAGTGTCTTGTTGCCAGTGTGGGAGCTCTTCGATTTCCCGCATTTTCGAATAATGACCTCTTGTTGATCCTTGCAGCCAAGGGTCTACAAGAAACATGTGGATATTCACGTCGATGATGTATCTGTTTCTAATTGATCTAGACCCATCTGCTTTAATTGGAGGGTTATTGTGGACTTTGATTGGAGGGTACCCTTTTGACATATCTTTTCACATTTCAGGCCATGTCTGTTTCAGCTTTAGCTGTAAAAGCGAAGACCATAATTTCTTTCACGTTCGTTGTCATCATTGAAACCCTGGCTGAAGTGCGTACGGTGACATCTGAGATAGTGAACAGGATCCAACCCCTCATATTACACAGCTTGGACAAGAAATTGGACGAGGACTACCGGGTAATGCCTGTCTCTTCATTGGCTTTCTAGCACTTTCAACCATAATCCAAATTAGTCTTGTAGATCTGTCATAACCTAAGTGCACCGTTTATTTGTGTTTGGAATGAAAGGATGAGCACAGTCACTACTATCGCTGAAAGCCCACTCTACCAACTGTGAAATTATGAGATTAACGCCGTTGGTTGTCTTCCAGGTTGGAGCTTTGATGGTTGTTGGTGCATTGGCAAATAGGACTACGTTGTCGCAGTCATTTGTTGATGCATTATTTGATCTCATTGCCAGAGCTTTTGTGAGGGGCCTGAAGCGAGATGGAGCTTCTCTTCTTCAGCTACAAATTATGGTCCTAATTCAGCTGGTGCAGGTTAGTCGCTTTTAAGTTTTGCCTGCTTGCAAAGTCTCTGCGTGTTCATGTGGTGGATAGTTTTCCGAATTTTTGTACTTTCTTCCTTATGTCGGCCTGTAACTTTTTTCTACCTGTCGTACATTGCAAACATTGACGGTTATACTGTTCTGAGAGCGCTCATATTTTCTATTGATGCATCCAGACTCAGGAATTGGTGGCTTTCCCTTTGAAGGCATTCAAAACTCTTGTGAAGACAAGGTAAGCACACTTTATGGTGCTCATATAGCCAACCAAAGTTTCGTCTCTTATTTTGGACACCCTCTGTAGCTTTTACCTAGATTAGAAGGTGTTAGCAAAGTGGGTTAGCGAGATTCAGCAAAACACTAACGCTTATTCTAAAACCTGAGATGACTCATTTTGAGAATTGAAACATCGATATTGCGAATTTGCTTGTAGATGTTTACTAGAATATATTGTCGGTAGTCCTATTGATTCAGAGTTGTTGTGTTCGTATCTTTATCGCAGAGATTTTTTGTCCATGTTGACTGATCTTGCCAAGGTCTTTCACGCTCAAAAGTTTCTCAAGCTTTACGTTCAAGCTTTACTAGACCATTGGTAAGTTTCAAAACTCGCTGGGTAGCTTCGTCCAGCGATGAGCAAATTCACCCCAAGTTTTTTGAGTTATTGGGCCGGGAGGAGTTACCATCTTATTCATGATGGAATTTTTGCTTCTTGTTTGCAGCTTGATTAACGAGCATTACGAGATGGCTCTTGTTCATGCCATAAATCTTCTTCCCTTGACCCACCAAGCGGAGACAATGGTGGTGAAGCTTTTGGACCTTGGATTCGGAAGCGAGGGAGATGCTGACTCGTCAAAACTAAGTGAGCTCTACTTTCTAGGACATCTATGAAAACCTTACACAGCTTAGGTCAGGGAATGTTACAGAGGAAGCTACTCTTGTAGCAAGAATACAGGAGGCAACTTCAAATTAACATGCACGATAAAAAACGCCACTTGCTTTCGTGGGCTTAACTTCTCAGAGCTGTCTGTGCGCTACGCCCAGGTCGCCAGCGGTAGGAAGTTTGAGGGAATATTGATTCGGAGTTAGGCACTACAAGCTCTCAAAGTACCTCTTGCTTTAACCATAATTTTTTGCTTGCTATAGGGAACTTTGTCAAGAGGCTTATACAAGCCGCCGAGACGTGATATCCCGTAGAATATTGAGGGAATATTGATTTGGAGTTAGGCTCTAGAAGCTCTCAAAGTACCTCTTGCTTTAACCATAACCTTTTGCTTGCTATAGGGAACTTTGTCAAGAGGCTTATACAAGCCGTCGAGACGCGATATCCTGTGGAACTGGACAAAGGAGTTAGTACCTTCTTTAGGGTAAGGTGTCCGATCTTACCTCATGAGCAAAGGCTGAAGTAATTAAAGGTACAGTTGTTTGTTGTTGCATGTATGTGTCAGCCATGTTTCTTTCAAGGTTGCCAACAGGCTTTATGCTTGTTTTTTTCTTCAGAATTCCAAACTCTCGACTAAGGATAAGAAGGATAGTCCACTTTTCGACTTCTTAACTCAAATTTTCCGAGGCAGTCTACGTTCTCCTCTTAAGGAGTCGAATATGAGCCTGTATCTTTCTATCGATCATCCACAGGTAACACATGAGACTTTTCAATTTCAGTATGGTCTTCAGTCTTTCTTAGGGTATCTAGCAACAACAACCAGTTTTGTTTCGTTCGATCCCCAACCCTGATGGCTTCTTTAACGCTTTTGATGCCCCATATCTTTTCAGGCTCAAATCAGAGAGCTTGCCCTCAAGAAGCTCTCTGAACTAGCTGCAGCATCAAGCCCAGACGAGCAAGGAGAGGTAGGACGTTGCCTTCACGTGGAAGCAGTGAATCCTCTTTATCCTTTGACTGTACATCACTGGTTTTTGCCTTGCCTATTGTAAGCTAGGTTTGCAATATTTTGTATCGAGGTGTCCTCCCGGGCACTTACAAAGATTTTTGCAAGAGCTGTTTGTACCTGACGGCATCTCTGGACCGTGCAGATGAACACTGTCTTGCGAGAGGCTTATATGCGTCGTCTTAGTGATGATAACTATAACATTTTACGGGCTGTTATATCTGCCGACGATCTCGTTAAGCTTGTTCCATCCGAGCGACTCCTACACTCGCTTTCATCTATCCTTGGCACATGCTCTATGAAAATATCTGAAGGTACAACTTTGCCTTTCTAACTCAAGTCATGAAATATCGGTTCTTTGTTTTGAATATATGATATGAGCTGGACAATGTCAGCCTGTGGAAGGTTATGATATAGGACTAACTCGTCCGTTTCTGCTGTTTTTCTCAGGCAGCGATTCGTCGACTAGTGACGTGAAGTCTATAGCCAAGAAGACAGTCCATCTTCTTGCGACTCGGTTTTTAGAACAACACCCGAGTTACGTGGAGGCCGTTGGTCTTGTTTTTATGGACCACCTGCTTCAAAATCCAAAGGTCCGTAGTGCACCAACATCACTTTTGATAGTTAGTGTCCGAGTTCACATTAACTTAACGTCTTTTTCTCACTTTCGTCCGCTGGTTTGCTCAACCAAGAACACAAGCGATTTGGGACTAGTTCAGAAAGCATGTGTAGAGCTCGAATACGAGAAGTTTTTTTAAGAATGTGACCTCACTAAAGCTCGTGCTATATTCAACATAATACCTGCAGACGCGGAGACTCAACAAGTACGTGTTGGAGGCAGCTGGGACATTAAATTTTTCATTCTTCAAGAACTTGTCGAAAGTTCTCGAGCAAACACCTTTCCAAAATGAGAAGGAAAACATGAAAGCCAAGGTCTTGGTCCAAGACTTTGTTTAATGCCTCTTTCTCATCATAGTCGTAAGGTTATGTAGAACGTGCTTGAATTTTGTTTCATAGCCCTCGGAGATAGATGGGTTTATCGGTGTCATGACACCCCAATAGATGGTCTTATACTAAATTCTGCTTAGTTTCTTGCAGTAGCCAGCTCTTGTTTAGAACAACCAGTGGTAACTCTGCCGTATTCTTTGACATCCTCCAGGAGAAGGTGGAGAAGCAAAAGGAATGGATTGCAACTGTCAATCAGAAGATAGTCAAATGTTTGGCGGTACGAGTCAGTAAAGAACCGAATACTTTCGCGCCTTTCCTTCTCAGATCGAATATGAGTGACGATTCAAAAGTTCTCGCGGTTCTCGTTCTTCTTCAGTGTTTTCACAAACACACGAAAGGTTCAAATCTAAACTTTACTTTGCTCTGCCAGATCAAAGACACTCTATCTGGACGGTCTGTTACTCTTTGAGTTTGATACTCCTAGCTATCCGTTGGGTGTCGATAGCAGGCTTAATTATTCAAATTAGGCTTGCTTTACTGCCTCAAAATCAGTTGTCATCTATAAGGCAACCGCAAAGGTGGATACAATGGTTTTCATCACATTTGAAAGCAAGTGTCAACGTTTTCTGGGCAAAATCGTCTCTACCAGAAAGACTTAAATCAAACAGTAGTCTTTCTTCCTCCTCATTTTTTCTCTTTAACTCCTTCGCTCCGAATTCTTAGGGCCGCTCATCCTGGTCGTGGAGTCTAAGCTCTTAAGCTCAAACAGGCGAATAAAGACGACCCATCTAAAATTGATCATTGTACCGCAGATATCACTCCAAGTTTTGTCGAAACTTCTCTACGGTGGCTTAGAGATGAGTGGACAAGTGTAGGTTCTCGAATATCGTCACCAGTGCCGGAGCTTCAAAAGGTAATCGATTTCTGACATGTGGCATTCACTCACGTAGCGTTGCATTTTAAGTAACATTCGAATATTACATTGGTGAAAATGTTTTGCAACCGGTACATGTCTCTCTCGCACAGGCGATCTGTACTTTTGAGTTCTTGTCGAGAAGTTCTATACTTTTGGTGATGTACTATAATCGATTGTCTTGTATGTACAGATCGACTATTCTGCATGGCAAGATGTATTCTATGTACCTGAGTCTAGCTCAACGTATGTATATATGGAGCTTTTACTTCGTGCTTTGCACAGCTTAGTCGTATGTGTGCCTATCACCACCGATGTGAACTTAGAGGTACAGCTCATACCTGAGTGGGTCCTGCAGAGTGCGTTTTATTGAACAGTTTTGGATATTTGGTTCTCATTTAAAACAAGTAACATCAAAAGCATGGTGCTGACAGATTTACACACTCCGATCAACTGATGGCCAGAGTTATGAATTAAGAAATGTATTAGCTCTTGGATTTTGCTATGAGAATGCAAGGTCAGAGCTCCTCCGCTACTTGCAAGTTCAGGGTATTCACTTTCAGTTCGGTACACTTGCAGAAGGACGGTGGAATCGGCCAAGATACCAGAAATGAGCTCTTTGTTTTCTTTGCCGGATTCTCTTCTGTGAAAATCTTCATCCCTCACATTGAGCTCCTTCTGAGCTGCCTACCTGCCCCAGATACTTTCACATTTTTGTCTAAGTTCTTCATCTCGGAAGGTACCATAAACGTGATGTCGTTTTCACAAACGATGGAAGATAAAATTCCTGGTTTTTGCGCATGTGTTTTTGTTTACAGTCATACTACAGCTTTCATAACGTCTCCAATTCAATGCCACCCTTAAAATGTCAGTCACAGCCCCCAGGGCTCGTACGTCATACGTGTACTTGGTCTCGCTATTTATGTACACAAGAAGACAAAGACGTGTTTTTCCAACCTCGAGGATACGTTGTTCAGCATCTACTTTTGGATATAACATGACTATCGTCTGCAGGATCAGCTGTTCCTGCGTTCGTCCAAGTTCATAGTTTGGATGTACTAGCTTCTCAGCTTCTGAACTGCTCAAGCAAGTTGAAGGGGTCTGATGGCATATCGGTTAATCATCTTGAAGGCATACTTCCCTCGTTGCTAGTGGCATTATCTAGTCCGCTTAAGGTACTTGTCAGGACTTCAGTTTCGCTTCGTGCTTTTTCCTAAAGCCCATGAAAATAATAATAGGGTTTAATTTCGCTAATTCTAGGGGAAGGGGATGGATTTCGTAGGTCATATGTACTCCGGTCCTGTCTGTACATAAAATCTAGCAAAATCTTTATGAATATCTTTTATTGATGTGGTTGACTATTTAGGGGTTTTAATATAGCTGAATCTAGGTATTTACTTAGATTATAGTTAGCCATCGTATAGGCTTGCCGTATTCGTAATTTTATTCTTTTGGCGGTGTATGTCCTAATCAATCTAGCCTATGCAGTTATCCTCGTTATTTACTTCTTTCGCGCTCTGTGGCCAGGCTGTCCGTACCAGTGCCATTAGGTGCTTGGAAAATCTACTTATTACATGGGACAAGCTGGGTCAACGAGGGAAGAAAGGTACATCTTTTATGTCTTATAGAGGTTCTTGTCGCGTGTCTTTTATTCACCAGAGGTAGCCGAAAGAAGCAGAAGCTGAATTTGTTCTTTCAGTCCTCCTCAGTGACTTTCTGGGTCTGTCGACCTCATGCTATGACATGCAGAACCAAGGAGTATTGATCAATGCACAGCATTACGAGTTTATTACTGCTCAACACTTGCTTATGATTTCTTATAACTTGTCTGTGTAGGACTGAAGAAAGCACAATCCGCTTTCCTGGATCCTGCCACATTTGGAAATGTTATCCGAGCTTTGGTGGCAGCAAGAGAAACCTTTATTGGGAGTGGAACTTCTCTTGGTCAGTTTCTCTCTGAGAAATTCGGTCCCAGCCAAGGTTCGGCTATGGAAATGGACACGAAAGGGTATGCAACCTCTTTTGTGCAGGGTTTCGGCAAGATGAAGATGCATAAACTGCAGTTCACATGTTTATGATTTTGCCTCTTTGAGTAGGTAGGGCAAGGAATCCACGAGTCACTGAAAGTCGCCTTTGGCTAGTTCACGCCTCGGGTATGATGTAGTGTATAACATGTAACATTATTTCCAATTGGTAGGAATGGAGATGCAAGCCACCAGTCAGTCGTGTGCTTCCTCGTCGATCATACCTTCCGTCTGCCTGTGCATGCCCAGGTAATTTGCCGTCTATCCTGCCCCTTTCTCGTTGTACTGTTGGACATCTATTTTCTTGGTTCTAATTCCTTACATTTTCATCAGTTAAAATGGTGCTAAATTGCATTGTGTATATGTTTTACAGCGAGTGATATTTTCAGCTCTTCAAGGAATTGCACACGGTTCTGAGCTCGTTAGTGCAACTCATGAGAGATTCAAACAACTCGTGGAGTGTCGAAAGCTCTGCCATCTGCAAAATCCTTCGGAAGGAACATTTGAAAAGCTAACACAGGGCGAAGTTCAACTTTTGGAAGTTTTAGTTCAAGTAAGTCTCAATTTCGAAGACTATAACATGCCTACACCGTAGCAATCGATTCTCACTCTGAATGGTTGTAGAGAATAGAGTTTCTCGCTCAAACTTTTTAGTAAACAAACCAATTTAGGAGAGCCGAGCTACTCGCAGCTGAGTTACTCCTTCCTTTCAAGCATGATTACTCTTCTGTGCGAAATGCTAATGTCATTGTGGTATGGTTACACAGATGTATACACCTGAAGTAATCCTTGATGACGATAAATTCATACCTGCGTTCCTCGAAACTCTTCTGGTAAGCTCTCAGGTGTTTGGCACTTGAGGATTGAGAGGTTTCCTATAGACTTCTATTTCTATCCTGATTCGGTTTCTATCGAAGAGTTCTTTACATCTTTTCCGCCATATCTTTCTGCCAACACTGCCAATTGACTTCTCTTGGATGCCTATCTACCGCCACACCACATGTTAGCCGAGATAAGGTTTTGCTGTGAAGGTATTCTTCAAATGACGCAATCATATCATGAAATGTATACTGAAGGTCGAGTAAATACTATCTTTTCATGGACGAATATATGACATCCCGGACGTGTTGTATTTCAGATCGAAGGAGGATCTTTACTAGACGCTGCTGTAGTACAACCATGCTTTGCAGCGCTGAAGTGCTTGAAGCCAAATTTCTACGCTGCTCTCAGTAGTCCATCACAGGTTTACATCTTGAAATTTTATCCTATGTTATCTCTTGTTTTCTACTACTGCTACTGTTAATCTTGCTATCACCCGTTGAGATGAGATTATCTGGGTTGATACAACACAAGCATATTACCGTTGCAAGTAGTAGTACTCTTGGAAATACTCCTGCTGTTTACAAACTCCCGGTTCGTATATGCAGTCTATACTAAAGATTTAAAGAAGTAATCCGTCAGTTACATATGTTATTGATTTGCTCTGTACTGGTCATCATTACAGGATTTGGTGTTTCAATCTCTCATCAACCTGTCCACTATCGACAATGAAGTACTTCGCTCTGAAGCGCATTCTGTACTCAGAGCAATCAAGGTAATATCAATTGTAAAGCATTAAAAGAAGCAGCAGCTTCGCAATTGTTGAATCTGCTCCACACAGACCACATCGTATACGGCCCCTTCTTTGGAATCTAATTTATCTTCTTTGCTTTTCATGCGGACTTAGATTGGATGTCGTTTTGTTGGCATCGTAACTTTTCTATCTCTACTTCTCTATGGCCTTCAGGTAACCATAGCAGATGTACGCAGTAAATTATGGTGACTAAATGGAGTTGTGTTCTGTGCTTGTGGTGTCTTAAAGATCGACGCGACAACGGTAGCAAGACACGTAGGATATTTATTGAAAGAGGAGCCTAAGCCAACCGTTGTTGCGAGAAAAAAGAAGAGAAGTAAAGTGGTGGAATCTTCACCCTCTCAATGCGAAAATTGGCCTCTTAAAGGCCGTTTGCAAAGTAGCACGTCTTCTATCTTGGAGCTTCTTCTGTGGAAGTCGGACATGCACGGAAGGTACAAGACTGCTTAGTAGATTTAGAAAATGTGTGCCAAACTTGCAGCGTAGGAGAATTTTCACCTACCATTGTCGTGTGTCACGTTTCTCATAGGTGGAAGATGTACATTGATAATTGATGTTCTAGACTGGAACTTTTAGACTGGGGAACGTGGGGTGTTTATATATCTTAAATTATGTCAAGTTCTGCCCATGCCTATGATGTTTCGCTTACGCTATCATATTTGGCATTGGGAACACACAGGCAAGTACTCGTCTCTCCTTTGTGCAAACTTTTGAGGAGCATCATCAGCGGAGTGTGGCCTGTTTCGAGCAATGAAGAAGACGCTTCCATGGAGGAAGCCGCTGCAAAGAAAGAGCGAGATTCAGCTCAAGCTGGGACTGTTATAAATATACATCACCTTTTGTTGATGATCTTGGATTTTATAGCACGAGACCTCGTTTCTAAAGAGGACAATTCGAAGGTACGGGGTTGTCGATATTATCTTCATTCTCAAGTTAGTCTCTTGAGTACTTGCTCTACTATATCAATTACCTCAGACTTTCAATCATAACTCCGAGGCTTTACTAAATCACTTCTACATTTTAGTTTGTGTAGTAGGTGTTAGTATTTTCTCTGCTGAAATTGCTGATATACTTTCGAGGTCTAAATTCGTTGGACTTACTCTACACGCAATTGGCTGCACATCACAGGACACTACAAATCAGACTGGATTCGATGTTGATGCGGTTGTTGTCTCTGTAAACAAGGCAACAGATGCAGCAACAAGAAATTATGCCCTTGCCTTACTCACCTCGTTAGGAAAATTAATACCTCAAGAAGTTTTGAAGCACGTGATTGACATCCTCGGAGTAGTCGGGGAGTCGAGTGTAACGCAGGTAAAATTTTAATCTATTTAGATTCAAATGCAGATGTGAATCTTGACATCTAGATGGGATGCAAGGAGCCGTAGGACGGGAAACTGTCACGTACGGTTCTGAGTTTGTGGCGAGGTGGGAGACCCCTGGTCGACCATAACATGTTAGCAGATGTTGTCACCATCATAAGGTTTCTATGCTGTATCTTTTCAAGTTTGTCTTAGCTTCATCAGACGCTACTTTGATAGACCGAAATAGGAAGATATTAGCTCAAGGTAGAATTTCATGTCCACCAGGTGGACAGTTCTTAACGCAGCTTTCTCTGTTTCTCAGGATGACAGTCATTCGCATGAAGTCGTTTCGCAAATGTTGACAGCTGTTGTACCAGTTTGGTTAGCCGTGGAGAAAGATCCAACAGCACTGCTGCAGGTAATAGGGTACTTCATAGTTTCTGGATTGTCTGGAGCTTCAGCTTGAAGCTCCAGACAATACTCCAGACAATAAATCATGATAAATTTGCATGATGACACCCAGTTAGGTTGAACGAGGCGAGAGGCCTGGATTGGATGTACTTATGACCACCAACTTGAAGAAAGTTTTCCTTGTCTTATATAGTGCTCTCTCCTTTCCTCTTCCTTATGCCAAAGTCAGTAGCTTCTTCCTTGCAAGCATGGGGGATGCAACGACTTTTTAAATGAGTAAATTTCCTCAATGGCCATTTCATTCTTACGCTATGTTTTGATTGAAATAAATTTGTCCTCTTCTGATGTTGAACATGCTTAATGAACAGGTATTTGTGAATGCCCTGCCAAGAGTTCCACCCCATCGGAGGATGACCCTGGTTACAAATCTTCTCAGGTGACGGCTGGTGAACTGTTTTTCCTTTATTCACATGTTATTTATCACGGGTGTGGATCAGTCTGGACCATGTCCTATCTCATGTCTGTCAAGTTCTATTTAGACTATAGTAGACCTCAATTTTCTATTAGCAAATTTCCGGTCATGACTCTGAATACCATGTTCAGAGTGACAGCAGTCGAAGAGAGCCTGCACATCTTCGTCTACCTACTTTTGCGACAAGCGACTGTACACGATAGTTTGCAGATGGAGTTTGGAGCAACTTTGTGCAGACATTACTCTTTGGACGCAAGACTCCCTGCCATGGTCAAGCTGTTGAGTATGGTTAAGGTGGATAATAGAATGGCTTCAAGTGAAAAGTCTTCTGTGAAGAAATCTTGGTCAATTCAGCAGTCAGCCACTAAGTTTGTTGCTAACCAGTTGCGAAGTTCAGAAGGTCATGCCGACGCCGATATCTCTGAAGTTCTTCAGGTAACTCGGAATAAGTGTTTAGCAGCTTTCATTCATAAGTGCATTTTCAGTACTTGAGTGCATGTTGTATAGAAGTATTTGTTTTTCAGTCATGTAAGTGCTTTTGTTTTCAACACTCACATCTTCAGGCGTGCATCGTGTAAAGTTTGGCCCCACAGAAATACAAACGTGAGCAGATCCTTCCAAAATCAGATAATGATCGTCTATGATGGTTTTCCTTGCAGTCGTCTTATGTTGCCTTGATGGAGCTAGTACTCTTACAACTCCAGACCCTAGGAAAGAGTGCCAGTATATCCAGCGCTTTAAAGAAAGATTGTCAAGATACGGCATGTTTCTTGTTGGACAATCTTACTCATTTGATGGCGTCTTCGGAATACATCAAAGGCATCAGCTTCTTGCTCACGCACTCAGATTCAAGCATACGAAGAAAGGTAAGTCCAGTTTGAATCAAGATAATCTTGAGTTCAAGACCTGTATTGCATGATCTGGCTTGGGTGAAAGAGAGTGATTTAGAAGTTGGAAGGTTTCCTATCCATATGCTCTGAAATAGATCGAATAGAAGTCAAGAGTCCTAACGTTTGTACTTCTGCAGGCCCTACGTATGTACGCAACAAAGTTGAAGGAGCAAGAGGTACCTAAGCGGATGAGGCAATCTAGACAGAAGCAGGCTTCTGGAAAGGTTACCAATGAAGATTCTTTCACAAAGGAAGAGCTTGATATTCGCGTCCAAATTGTCAAGGATATCACAGATCTTCTCTCTGGTCCTAAAGAGGAGCAGAGTGTCAGTGCAAAGATCGCTGCCATTGATGCCCTGGATATTTCTGCACTCAAATTTGGAGGAAGAGTTCCAGAGATCTTCACGACAGCATTGTCAGCTCTTATTAAAAACTTCCAATCTCTAAATAGGACTCTTATTGCTGCGGCTTTGAGATGTGTGTCCACAATCTTAGCTCAGTTGGGTCCCCAAGCTTTACCTGTTCTACCGGACACTGTGATGGGTCTTTTTGATGTTGCAGACAAGACGCTTGGCCAACCACAGAAACCACTGTCCACAGCTGACGACCATGAAGATTTAGTATCAAGTGGCAGCGAACAATCTGACCTTCTGCTTGCAATCCTCCTCTCCATTGAAACCTTACTGGACAAGCTGGGATCTTTCCTCACTCCCTACTTGTCAAAGATAGTCGGTCTTGTTGTCTTGCAGCCCTCCTTGGTTACAGGTTCTGTAGTGGAAATTAGTAAGAAGGCCGAGGATGTACGACTTCTGATTCCAACAAAATTGCCGGTAAGGAATGAATGGACGAACGTTCTCTTCAATTAGAGTTCGAACGGTTATTATGGTTGGACCTTACGCTCGGGCTCAAAGAATGTATTCTTTCTTTTCTCATTGTTTTGATCTGCTCTAAGTTTTTAATCTATTTGCGATTTTCATGAACAGCTTATTGAATAGAACCTTTGAATGAAACTGAGATATTGGATGTGTTCAGGCTCGTCTCCTTTTGGATCCTCTCATGAGTGTATACAACAAGGCTGTCGAAGCGGGCGAAGATTCGACTTGTGCTCTCTTTGATATGCTTGGGGCAATGACATCAAAGTTAGACCGTTCCTCAGTTGCAGCATATCACGCCAAAATTTTTAACTTCTGTTTGGCAGCATTTGATCTCCGCCGCAACTCTATCCATTTCCTCCCGAATATTTCACGGGTTGAGAACTCCGTAGTGTCGGCGATAGTGTCCCTGGTCATGAAATTGAGCGAGACCTCATTTAAACCATTGTTTGTGAAAGTTCTGGAATGGGCCGAATCTGAAGAGTCCACAGGAGTTTCCGTGGCGGGCAAAAGCGTCGACAGAAATATCGTTTTCTACAAGCTCGTAAATCAGCTGGCTGAAAAGCTCAGGTTCGCTTCTTTCAATGGACCTCCGTGATTATGATCACTCAAGAGCAACTAGTTTGCGTTTGTAACTTCTGGCTGGGTCAGGAGCATACCTCTCCAGGAATCTCTGGTCCAGTCAGAAATTCCTAGAAGAATCGTTGCAAACTTTCGTTGCTTAGCCCGAGAACTAAGGTCAAAGCGAAGGTCAACTATGCAGGAGCCATTTACGCAACAGTCTTGACATTGAAACCCCCTTAACACAGTTCCCTCTTGTGTATGGTGTAGGTCTGTTTTTGTCCCCTACTTTCAGTACCTCCTAAATGGATGTGTGCAATATCTCATGAGCGGAACAATCCCACAAAAGCCGAAGAAGAAGAAGAAGAAACAAGTAGAAGAACTATCAGCCAGTTCTTCAGAATGGCATCTCCGGCAATTGGTTCTTTCATCTTTGCACAAGTGTTTCTTGTACGATACAGTGGGCTTTTTGGATACAGCTAGATTTGAGGTAAGATGCCTGTTTGACATTGTTCCTGCTCATCATTTTATGCCGTAAACTTTGGTTTTCAAGTTGAGACGGTTCTAACTTTACATTCTATCTTTTACTCCGCAGCAATTATTAGAGCCTGTCGTGACCCAAATTGGCGTGGACCCACCGACGGCACTCTCAACTACAAAGCACGTCCCTACTGTATCGGAAATGGACGATACAATTGTATCTTGCTTGGGCCAGATGGCCTTGACCGCAGGAAGCGATCTCTTATGGAAACCTCTGAATCATGAGGTAAGACTAGTTTTCAGTACTGGACATTGGTGGTTATGTTGTCCGAATCATCCCTCATACCCACGGGTATGAGGTGACAGAGTAGAGTCAAACATTACTGTCCAGAAGATAGAGTCATCTTTTGTCGTTGTCATCTGAGTTTGGGTCATGAGTCATATGAAGGCTTGTGGATGCATGGGTCTTCGGGTTCTTCAGTTTACAATCGACGACTATTTGACAACTTTCATGTTGGATTTGTTGTGTAAGTTTATTTGTTGGATATGCCGCTAATAGCTACCTCTGTGGATATTAGCAATTCATCCCTCATCCTTCAATGTTTCCATTAGTTCTTTTCACCACCAGCACTAACTCCCTTTCCGTGTTGATGCTGTAATGAGAGCAGGTCTTGATGAAAACACGCATGATCCATGAGAGATGTCGTCTGCTGGGCTTGCGTGTCGTGAAGTTCCTTGCTGAGCACCTGAAGGAGGAGTATCTCGTTCTTCTTCCAGAAACTATACCATTCCTTGCTGAGTTATTGGAAGATGAGGAACTTACAGTGGTCGCGAAGACACAGGAGGTGGTGAAGCTTTTGGAAGACTTGAGCGGTGAAGATCTAGCTCAGTACTTTTAGAAGTACTGAGCTAGATCTTTCATTGTTCAAATAATTAATATATTCTCGTTCAGTATGTAGATGAAGTGTTTCCCAAGCTGCTGAGTACGTAGGAGAATCAGCTCTCCCTTTTATGTGTAACTGTTCCAATTTCTCGCTTCAAGTTTTCTTCCATTGAAGCGAGTATTGTTGTGCGATATCGAAACATGTTTCCCCGAGCTGGGAAGTCACTTCCTCCAATTACGATTCCTGGGGAGGACTCTTACGGTTTTTAGATTATAATGGATTCAAGTACTACGTTGATGTGCATTGAGAAAGGAAGAAGCATGTGTATCCAACCAACGAAGCGTAGGCTAAGATGTCCTGGCCAATATTCCCGAGTATCAGTGTGGGTGGCTACCATTGAGAAAAGCCTTCTCTTTCTTAGTGGATGTGTGGATCTCCATTTGATATCACGTTAATCGCCCGATCTATCTTCATACAAATTAAAAGTAAGCCATGTTCGTTAAACGCCTTGGTATTTTCCATGTACTGAGTTGCTTACGAGGTTTTTTCAAAATCTACTCTTTCTTTTGCACATTTTGTAGCATAATACATGTCGCTTCAAACATAACAGCCATGTTTTGTCAAAAACGAACTAGCAGGACGTTCTTTACTACCGTATCACTCATTAATTATATATGAATTTCAGATTTGAATCTAATTCTAAATTGGACTTCAAAATTTATGTATGTATAAAGGAAGAGAATTGACTTGCTACTACTACAAAACTGAATTTTTTGGACCCGTGAAAAAATATATAGGCCATACTGACTCTCCAACAAGATGTCACATTCTAAGTCTTCACAAATATTAGGAGATTTGTTTTCTTACCGCAACACATATACTGAGCTTCTTCTCGTACATTTCATCTAACATAGCGGCCTTTAATAAAACATGAAAGTAACATAATCATCAATCACATTGACAGCATCCTCGTTATTTCGTACAAATGAAAAAACAAAAACAAGAAGATGCATCTTTGTGGTGCAAAGCTGATTTGTTTATCTCTACCAATGATTTTTTATCCATAGCAATGAGAGAGTATATTACCACAAAAATGATGGCTTACACACATTTTAAAACATGTGAAGAAGTAAATGAGGATACGACACGTTGAGATTATCAGCACTAACTTTCAACAGCGTTTTCATTGCTTTAAAGGCTAACAAGATCTTTTTCTTCAGAAAGTAAATCTCAAATGCAAGCATGTGAGTGTCAAGAGGTCCGGCATACTTGATTGCTTGCTCTAGAGGAAAAGAGACATGTAATAATATATCAGCACCATGATCATCGTCAAGCTCCATTACTTTCTTACTTGACTTCGTAGTATTTGATGACACCAATACCTCATCTTTGCTTAACCTTCTCTTTTGCCATTTTTAAGCTTTAGTCTCTACTTTCTGCAATGTGTGCCAGATCAGTTTGCATTCACATAGAAATATTCAACTATGGCTATTTCTTCTTTGACTCCGGATGTCTTTGATGATGTGTAGTGAAGTGACGTAACATTTGATGGTGGAATCGTGAAGTTGCAAAATGTCTTCAAATTTCAAGATACAAATGTAGGATCAAAGAGTCATCCTTTAGAAACAATATGATTGAAGGTCAAATTGATACTTCCAAATGTTTGTGTAATGCTTTCCCACAATTGGCTATTTCATTGATGACTTCTTCGGCATTTTTTTTACTGCATCTCATACATCAGCCATTCAGTCTGAATTTCTTTGTTCAAACACTTTTGACATCATCTTAAATGTTTAACTAGTTTGATTCAACTTATTTTTTTGTCTCTTCAAATTTTGATCTAATTTCAACATTATTGTCACTTTTTGCTAACAACACAAATTCATAGTTGTTTGTCATATGAAGTTTCAAATCTAACGTAATGGATATTTCTACAAACCTTAGTGCATTACTTTGCATTAAGCTTTCCAAGGAAATCTTTCCAATTGCACCATTCGTGTATGACTGTCGTGTAAATAAACTGTCTCAACTGCAGAATTGAGTCTTAATTAGAAAACTGATTTAAGGTTGCTAGTCTATCGCTGACTGGTTTAGCTCCATTGCTCATTGCGGATATAGATCATGATTTAGTAGGTAATGCTAGTCCAGCAGTTGGTGTGGTACATTGTTCAGCGACACTATTAGCATTTCCTGCGAAGCTCTTGGTTACTCATCAGCGAGGGCAATCCGGTAGGAGCAGAGAGGTGAGGTTTGTCAATACGAATTTAACCTCCTAACAGTGACATACATCCGTGCTAGGTTTGTAAGTCACAATTGGAAGGTCTCACTTACAAGAGGAAAGTGTGCTATCTTGAGTGTTACCTCCCGATAGTGACATACATTGGTGCTAGGGTCGGACGTGATTATTGGGAGATGTCAGTCATAGAAATAATGTGCTTAGTAGACGTTTTACACGTCCTAGAACCTTCTCTCGTTGTTTGGTTGCATCTCATGATTGGAATTCTGTCCACAAAATTATACTTGGAATTGTCATCATTAGATAGTATCATGTAATGTTATTATCAGACAGATATATTAATTACTAATGTAATGATTCTCGAATTTGAAGTGACTAATGAGAGTATGTCACTCGCACTATATGACACTATTGGGAGTTTAGAATTTGAAGTGATTAATGAGAATATGTCACTCGCACAAGATGACACTATTGGGAGTTTCAACTTTGTATAGTGGAATTACAATCAATATCCGCAACAGTTAAGACACAATTGAAACGGCTTGAAGCATGGCGTCGCATTTCTCCTCCAGTTAAGCTACACGTAGTCATCGTCCACCAGCTCTCTTGAAAGCTCGAGATGACGTGCTGGGAATATGGATGGTACAATATGATGTATATAGTGCAGGCCTCCTAAAATCTGGCAAATGCCAAGTTTGCTAAAATTATATTAATTCCAGCAAATTTTTCTCCTTAATTCTGGCGTTTTGAGCATTAACATTGTGAGTTCATTGTTTTTTGTTTGATGATTTTAAGCAATTTGAATTGCTTCGCATGCATAATGTATCGTCGGGTTGGTGTGACAATCATTATTTTCCGAATCAATGATGGAGAAGTCCATTTCAACATATGTTGTATTTAGAAACATGTCACAAATATGATATGAAAGACAACAATTGAGTGAAAGATATCACATATACTATATAACTTCTGTTTGAGCCAAGAAGAGACACATAATTATCAAAACATACATGCTATAGAAATGGTCTGAAAGAAAGAAATAGAAAAATTAAATAAAATGTATTTGGATACTTCTAATCTAACCAAGAAGATACTCACAATGATCAAAACAAACATGCTATAGAATTGATATGAAAATTAAAAATGTAAAAAAACAATATGAAATGTACTTGGGCATAAGAAAAAATTCACATTGATAAAAAAAAATTCTTAATAAATAAAATGACACGAATAAAATGAAAAAAATATGAAATATATGAGATTCGTATTTCTCTTACTTCTTCTGTTTTTTTCTTGCGCAACTTAGTTAGTAGGACAATAAATTTGGACAACATAGATCTGTTGGCGATCTGCAGTTCACCAACAATTTCAAGCTCATGCAATCATGGGCTGTCTCGGGAGCACGCATTACTACCGTAACTTTCTACTTGTACTTGCGTGTGTGCACAAGAGTTACTTGTGGCCGTCTTTATAATGTATGTTTTGGCGGATTAATTCTGGCAAATTAGCAAGATTAATTTTGGATCACTTAGTCACTTTCAAAGTGGTTCATAAATCATTATGTTAATATTGGTTTCTTGATTCCTAGTTACTTTTTCATTACTGATATTAACTTCTCCATAGCACTGAATAAAATGTAAGAGTACTAGTAACTTTCTTGTTAAGAGATGTGCTCTATCTAGAATATTTCACTCTTTAACTCAATCTAGAAATCAAACCATGACCAACTTTTTCTGTCATCGATTTTAAATACATTGCTTATTAACAATTGACTAAGAAACAATGATTCATCTTCTTGGTTGGGAAAAAAAAAAAAGTAATTCATACACTAAAATCTGAAAATTAACAACAATGTAAAGCTAAATCTCAACATATAAATAGATTAATTTTTTTGTTAAATAGATTAATATATATAAAATACTAGGAAACTTTATGAACAAACTTTTTTGTAGTCACAGAAGATCAGATGAAGAGAATAGAGAATCTTATTGACGTAAAGCACACTTGGGTTTAACTTATCAACACATATTAAAGACTACCTTGAAATGGTTATATGTAGTCAACATCACCTCAAAAATATGTCAGCTGTAATATCTTGTACTAATGTATCTACCATTCCTGTGCATTGACATATATTGATAGCCAAAGTATAAATCATACAACCGATCATTACACCATTAAATCCAATACATAATAATGTGGGAATAAGACATAACTGGCTGTTTGAAACTTTCAAGTTGCAACCACTATCCATTCGGTTTCATCTATGAGATTTAAGACAAAAAATGTTGAGGAGTAAAACGCGTAAGAAGAATTTCCAACTAGATTTCCATATCTTGTTTTTGAAAGTGATAAATGAATGACTGTTTCGATATATCCAGAGAGAGAAATCCTAGTCTGTGCTTCAGCTGGGTCCCCTTTAATAAGAGGCATTGATTAAGTTAGATGATTCAGGAGGTTATGGTCATTCTGAACATTCTTTGTCGATAAGACAAACTAGTTAATGGTGAACGATCGGTTAGTTGGTTCCGAAAATGCGATCGAAGTGACAGAAACCTTGAGGCCACTGATGCTTGTTCAATATGTTTAATTTAGTTTAACATCTAAAAGTAACGTAAATCCTTCAACTTTATGGAAAAGGACAGAAGCATTTAGATGGAAGCTTAGTGTATCTGTGAATGAAGGTTAGTATTTTTTCTATATGGAAATTATTTTCAAAACTCCGGTTCAAGATACCATCATCACGTAACTTTGAATCCCTACTCACCTGATCAAGAAGGAACTTTTATGCAATTTGATTTATGATTAAGTACTTAAGTTTGATTACTAATTCCACCAGGGGATTCGTGGCGCAATGGTAGCGCGTCTGACTCCAGATCAGAAGGTTGCGTGTTCGATTCACGTCGAGTTCAAAGCTCGGAAACAGCTCCCCCGAAATGTCTTTTGCGAAATGGCGCCGACACCATTTGTTTCCCGGATTGAAGACTCAAATTTTCTACTGCAAGTTGTTTCGAGTTGCTGTAAGTAATGCCATGTACTCTCTCGTGCAAGAATGGATCAATTCGGAGTTTAAGGTGTCAGGGTATCAAAAGCCTTCATTTCTTTCTGATTTCCTCGGTACAAGTCAACTGAATTTGTCTTCTTCTATGCAACCATGTTCAAATCTCCTGAAGTGATGACATTCGCATTTACATTTCGGAGAAGTTAGAATACTACTACTGAAATGATTTACGAATGACGAATGATTTACCCAAATGACTTTCCTTCTTATATTGCTCTTGTTAGTTCTTGTATAACAATTGGGCTCTTGAATAGGAACCCAACACTCCAAGAACCTGATCCTGTAAAAGAGTTTCAAAAAACTCACATACAAACTACATGACAGGATACTGTAAGAGGAATCTCCTGTAATTACAAAAGTCAATATTATTTTATGATAACTTAGAATTGTTGAAAATGTTACAAGTGTAGAACTTTACCTGTAGAATCATCGTTGACCCATGGAACCAAAGTCTGGAGAATGACCCTAAGGACTTCTTTGAGGTTTCTTAACAAATAGAATTGTATAATCTCACAACATTCTCGTCATCGAAGAATCCCTGTAGGCGTGGAGTTTGTCGGCGAGAACCTTCCTTAAGAGGAAGGTTACTCAACAAAATGATGGTACTGCGTGTCAAATTGAAAGTGCCGAAACCGAATGTTAGCTCTAATGTTCATACTCATGATTCATAATAATCATGACTTGAAAAATTATTCAAAAGTTAAACAATACCTTTCATACGATAAATGTACTCAACAACATACAGTTTAGTATTCTTAGAAATTACTCTTGAATGAGAATTTTGTGGGATGTTCTTAAAAATTGATATTATACAATGCACTTGTTTATAATGTGTAGCCCTGTATGTCATCCTATATGTTACCTATGTCTCACACAATTCTGTAAAAACAATCTCTAAGTATCCTTCAAGCTAAGTTCAAATATTCTTTATCACCGATTCAGAGTATTTGTTCAGCTACAAATGTACAAGTTATAAACACATTTTCTTAAAGTTGCGTCCACCGTGAGATATTATTTCATATCTATGAAAAATATTTTTAAACTATTTCATGCATCTTAGTTTTTTAAAAGTTTTGCTAGTTGACAAACTTTTACTTCAAAAAATTCCCATAGTTGTTCTCTCTGTTCTTCACGTTCATGGAGGAGGCGGCGGCTTCGAGAGTGTAAATGAAAGGGTGCCTTTCATTTACACCGTCAGGAATCAATCAGGAACATAACTTACGCGATTTCCTCTCTTATAAACATCGCTGTTCTCTCCGTTGGGGATTATGGCAAGAATTGATCCTCTCAAGGCGGCCATGGAGGTCGTACCGGCTAATTATATTTTTATATTCTTTGAAAACATCGTTCTCTATTTATTAAAATTTTTCCTATAATTTTATATTTCAATTTCCCAAACAACCTCCCCATGGACACTATAGATAAACGAGTTGGTACCTGGTTGCTAAATAACTTGTATAACTTGAGCATAAAAAATATCTATTGCTTCAAGTCTAGTTCCATGAGATCCACTCTAGCTGGTATTGAAGCTCTAACCAACTGATTGTGTACCACAAAGTTCTGTAATTGCAACGACTACTTACTTCACACCAGAAACCCCTACCTATACTTGAAGAATACTCTCTAGCTCTTTGTCTTCATCTCTCTCTATACCATATTTGAAGTCTTGGCTTTTTTCTCAAAAGCTTTTGACTTCACCGTCTTAGTTGGTAGAAACCTCTATTATGATCTTGTAGTCACACATGTAGATTGCAGATGTCTCTGCTCATCTGATCAAAAGCTTTCGATCCATGTCAAACAACTCAAGTACAGAGCGTGATCCAACACGTGACATTGTGATGACTTCAGCGAGTTCACAAGTGTTTTAGTATTATTACAGTAATCCATAGATCATCATTACCTTCTTAAGAGTTGAAATCCACTAACCGCTGAAAAGCTAGATCAGCCACTTGATTTTTCCTCTCTGTGTGTGCAAAAAGTGGTTAATTCATCAATTTGAGTCATATAGCTCTTGTCTGATCCACGAATTTTATTCTCTTTTCGAAAGTATATATGATTTTTAGGTTTTTGTGTGTGAGTAATTAAGTTCAAGTTCTCTCCTCACCAAATCCCTTTCTGTACTTTCAACAGACGGTGTGAGTTGACTCATTAACCTGTCATGCAAGTAAATAGTTCTCGTGTCATACATCACAATACACAAGTGTATTTCAATAATATTTTCTCATCTAAAAAAGTCGACCAGTCAATAGAGCTCATGGTACAAATCATTTGACAATTTAGCGCGATCCATTTTGTGACTGAAAGATTCCTAGTTATGCACTATATTAGGCTCATTATTCTTACATTTAATTTCCCTCATGGTATCTAAATCATATTCTATCATTCTTAGTCCTAGATCTAGGGACATAGCTTTTGTCTAATCTAGCAAAATGTACCGCATGCATTTGAGGCTACAAATGAGTATCTATCTAACGAAGTATCTAATAAATAGTGATAGTTTTTTTACACATGACTACTGTATCAAAACATAAATTGATGTTACATTTTACATCACAAGAAACTTAATGTCATACAACTATATTGTAACACAATTTCACTCCGAATTGAACAATAGCTCTCTCTAATGTAACGTAGTCTCTAGTACACACGATTATCTCTCTCTAATATAAAGGATGTATCTAATCTATAACATGATATGTCTTTTGTACAACAAAGATCAAGAGTCAAAGTGCTATCATACTATTTGCAATTCATATCATGAAACACTCAAATTACCATCAGCTAATTGCAGTGGATACATCTACACCACTCATTGGTCATTGCATTGGAAGAAGATGTCAAACATCATATATGACATACTCGCAGCTTCATTATCTAATACTCGCAACATATGCTTCAAACCTATTTGCATCACTACCAAGCTTAGATCCATAATATCATCTATGTTTTGAATATGACATGAATTTTTCAAATTCACACCATAACAAACCTCTAATTACAAGATTTGAATCATTAAATCTCACGGTACAATTGTGCAATCAGTAATGATATCCAATGTAATTGGTGCACTGCTACAAGTAATCAACAGATAGATGTTATCAAGTAGAATCCTAATATACTATTCTTAGTTGTCTCGTCAATGACATGTGTGCTTGTGAAATAGTGTATTAGTTGTAAATTTGCAACAATCTATGTATTTATTAAGGTTATCCACTACATAATTATTTCACAATGAGTTAGATGGATGTTTGTGAAGAAAAAGTTATCTCAATTACATATTTTTAAACATTTCATATAAGACAATGTTGAAGCTATGTAAATATTTATCTTCTCAAAAGTTTGAATGTCAATTATCAAACATGCTTTTTTTTTTATAATGTGAAATTTAAGTCTTTCTATATAGTGTGTATAATTTATTAAGAAATAGACAAAAACGATGAATATACATTCTTAGAGTTGTATATAGTACAAATAAATTATTTTTTAAGCGTGTAGTGTTAGAAATAATATAAAAATAATTTTTTGTAGTTACAAAATTGTATAACAAAATTCATGAACAAAGAGCTGATTAGTATTATTGTCTTTTGTAATTCCATTTGAATGCACAGCCTCATTTGAAGATGTAGTGAGATTGCATTGTAGATGTGCAATTTGGTGAACATTCAGATACAATTCATGAAAAATAATCAAACGTATTATTTTTAATATTAAATTACAATCATATTGACAATTTTTTGAGACTCAACTTAATGAAACAATTCACAATCTAAGTGATGAATTAATGAAAAAAATTTGATATTCGCAATTAATAATTTAATTTTTGTATAATTTAATTATACTGTTTAAATTATGTTATTTATAAAATTTAAAAAAATGTAAAATTGAAAATAAATTTAAAACTAATCAAAATTTTCAAGATTATAGTGTTGTGAAATCATACGAATATTACAATTTTTTAAACTTATAAGTATCATTAGAAAAAATTATATATTTTGATGAAATTCGTTGAAGTTACTTGATGTATGTATTTTTTTATTTTGAATTAGTAAAAAATATCACACATGTTACAAATGATGGTAAATATAAGAAAGAAAAAGTAAAATAAATTTTCATTTAAATGAAAATAAATAATTTAAATTCTAAAGATAATATTTTTTGAAGAATATTCAAAAACTTTGTTTGATGTTTTTGACATTATTGATAAAAGAATTAGATATTTGTTTTCATCATATTATGAATATATTACACATATTTTGTGGTTTTATTCTGTTGATGCACATGTGCAGTTAAAAACATTGGAATCAAAGGTGGAAGCATCGAGGAACATAGACACTGCCACTCATTAAATCAACGGTGTGCATGGAAAGCCAAATCATCCTACAACCAGTCTTCTCTTCATTATCTTGTGCTCAGTTCTGATGAACATATACTTTCTTCACGTTTCTGATGAGTATAAGCATCGAACTGATAGGGTAAGGTAAGCAGCTATCATCATCTCGTTGACGTTAACAATGTATCGTGACAAATTAAGAATATATGTTTCCAAAGGAGCCGCAGCGATCTGTAAGTGTATCTGATGTGAAAATTGAACAAGAGAATGTTGAAGCTTCATCTGCAAATGACCCTTTACCTTCGAACAGTTTCCTATCTCCACGTTCTCCCATCGACACTATTTGTACACTCAGAATGAAATAATTGCCCTGAACCTAACCGAGTATAATGCTGAGCTGATAGTGATTGAAAAATCCTAAGTGGAGGAAAAGAGAAAACTACGTCCTACTGTGGCAGCTTTGCGAAATAACCTGGGACGCTGATACAGACAGGAAACGTCGTGTCACCAGGCAAAATCATCCATATCGTATCCATGGTGCACTCTGGCTTGTTCGGCTACAGTTTCCATCTCGGGAACATATAACTGTTAGACATTTCGCTTTCTATATGAAACCTCCCAGTTGGGGTTGAAGGCGTTTTGAAGGCTACTTTGGACCATTACTACATACTGTAACCTCCTTCTCAGTATTTTCATACAATCCGAGATTGCACATCGTGCACCAGTATCTCGCTCATGCAATTGTATTCGGACACTCGGAAGCGAGAACGCCTTCATTACTAGGTGCACAAAATTCAGTGGCAGCTTCCAACAGTAAATGAAGAAACCACAACATGTCAGCAACCAGAATGTTGTTAGAAGCATGGCTGCTCCCAACGTGTTTGATCGACATGTCTTCGATCAGAATCCTCGTTTCAGGAGAAAGCCCCGCAAATGTCCTAGAAAATCCATGCTGCTCAGGAACATGTCAAAACGGTTCCATCCGTAACAAATTTCTACCCACTTTCCTCTTGAAAATGCTGTTCTGTCCACTCTGTGGTCAAATGGGTGCAGGAAAGGGACACAAGGATTCAAAACAATGAGCATAATGGCAATCCTCCCTTCATCCAGATAAACCCCAGCCAAACACCAATCACTCCAGTCATCATCCAATACAGCATCCGGGCTGACAGCTCGATACACGGAACAAACCTCACAGCAAAATTGTGCGGGCTTCAGGTTTAAGAAGGCGACATTACAGGTAAGCCGGGGCCAAGGCAAAGTAAGATCGCCTGGCCAATAAAAATTCTACAGCTGATTCCAAGATACAGATGGACTTAGTCGAAAAGACCGAAACCCATGTCGTCGTCAGACTCCTCCTCGGGCTCTGCAGCCTTCTCTTCCACCTTAGCAGCGGCAGGTGCAGCAGATCCAGATGACACAGATGCGGCGGCAGCTGGTGCGGCAGCTGCGAACTTGCTTGGGTCCGCAAGGTACTCCTTGACCTTCTCTGCTTGAGGGAAGGAGTACTCCGTTGCCAAAGCCACAGCCACCACGTTCTTGTACGCGTTCGCGAACATGTGGGGAGCGGCTGCCAGAGTCGGGTAGCTGATGCCCAACGACAGAGCGGCCACATTCGACACTCCGGCAGCGAACCTCGCGCACAGATCGTCCTCCGTCAGGTCCAGAACCTCAGGGCTGAACACTGATCCGTTGTCGTACACGGACTGCACCACCAGACCGTATGAGAATGGTCTGATTCCAAGCTTCGACAGCAGAGCAGCCTCGGACGATCCCACCTTCTCTCCCTTGTGGATAAGCTCAACCGGGGCAACGATCTCGACGGTACCCTTGTTAATCTTGGTTGGAATGTTCAAGACCTGGAAAGGCGATATTCAACAATCCAGTCAGTCGGACATCTAAACCTGTGAAAAACGACTTCGCCATTCTAACAGCAAAATTCGCAGATTGAATCTCCTACGATTCAAACACTACACAAGGAGCATATCGAAGAGCATATAATTTACCTGGAAGAAAGATGTTTGAGACGGGTCAAGACCAGTGTTGCCAGGGGGAACCACGACATCGATGGGGGCGACGAGACCCACACGAGCAGGTGCTCCGACCTTGTACTTGGCCACTTCCTCACTAACTTCCTTCAGGTCTCCCTTGGTGAAAATCAAACCAACATTTCCCTGAAAGAGTAATAGCGAGGTACAATACATTTAACACTGGATAAAATCGCCTTTGTGGCTACACTTCCTGCCCACAAGCCCTAACACTCTAAATGAAACCGATATAACTCCCTCAACGACAAGTCATGCCCAGTGCGTCTCGACCATGCAGACAGCGTCCAGAACACAATGGCTGATGGTGAGGAGATGGACAATCACTGTCCATGAAGCCTAAATTACCAAAAGACTAAAACTGAGATAATTGTCTTGAAAACAAGTGAATAATGAAGCATCTGGACAGGATTAGACACGCAAAGAGGCTGATGTGACCTTTCAGATTAAAAATACCTAAGATAATAATTAGGGCTTTAACACAATGAGAAAAAAAAATTCAGCTCATTCTTTTCGAAACACATGAAATTTCGATTTTCGTGTTAGCGGGAGCAAAAACCTTACCACAAGAAGGGTCATCAGGTTCAGGTAGGCTTCGTTTCCTGTCCTCTCGGCATGGAGTCGGATAGAACGCTTCATCATAGTGTTCTTTCCCATGAGTACCACGGAGTCGGGCCTGAGACCCTTCCTGATTCCCTGCAACTGCGTGGAACCGACATTGTCGGCAGCGCAGACCAAAACCTGAGTGTACTGCTCGAGCAGATCACACAACTTCTTGTCGTAGTTCTCCTTCTTCTCCTGTTTGGTACCCTTGAAACCCATCTTTCTCCTCTACGAATGGCCGACCGAAGCTCTCAGCTTCCAATTTCGAGCTCTCCACAGAACGAATCAAATTCCCTGTCGAGCTAACAAAATCCAATTCACAAATTCCGCAACACCCAAGACTAGGGGCCAAGTCGAAATTCTCCAACAAGGCGGGCAACGACTCCTCGCTACCGCTTTAACCCCGAAATTCCCAGCACCACGGAGCAGTACGAGAGAATAAATCTCGAGCAATTCGCTGCGGAAAGAGACCGCAGGGCGTCGGTTTAGGGCTTCATATCTCCCCCCGCCACGTCCGAGCCCCTGTAGTCCTGCCCAAACAAAATAGAAGTAATAAAATAAATAAATAAATAAATAAATAATGTTTTTCCGGATGCATATACAGTAGTAAAGTTTACTGTAATAACAAAAAACAGAACAGGAGAGAAAATATCCATTTTCATTTCGAGATATGCAAGAAATTTTAATAATAATAAATGAATTTCCAAACCCTAGGTAAAACCGAAGTCTAACTGTAAGGAAAGTACAGTAAAGGAAATGGTGCGAGTGGGCGAGACTCGAGAGAAGAGTTCGGGGTCGATGAGTGGCTTGAGTTAGAGTAAGGAAGGAAGGAAGGAAAGAAAGGGAAGGAAAAGAAATAGTAGCGAAGGGCAGGGAAGGGAAGGGAAGGGGAAGGGGAAGGCAAGGCAAGGGCGAAGGTAAGGCGAGGGAAGGGAGGGACGGACTCAGAGAGAAGGGAAGGGAAGGGGAGGGAGGAGCTCAGGGATGGAGGAGAGCGAAGGAGTTGTCGAGGATGGAATACAGCGGCCGACGACAACGACCACCACAACGACGACGACGACGACAACGTCTCTGGGAGATGGGGAGTGCGATGAGTCGTCGGTAGTGCAGGAGCCGAAGAAGAAGAAGCAGAAGAAAAACGGGAGCTTCCACGCGAGCACGACGAAGAAGAGGAGGTGCAGCGATGGCGTCGAGGGTTTCGCAGGTGGATTGGCAGGAGGAGTGGGCTCAATTCTCAAAGAGCATGACGAGGACGAGGAGGACGAGGACGATGATGACGATGACGCGTCGGATGAGCCCGAGCAGGTGCAATTTTACATCGCTGTTGATGGGGATGGTGATGGTGATGTTGATGCCGATGCCGAGCACGATGGATGTTGGAATGGAAGTGAAGGAGCTGCAGGAGGAGGAGGAGGAGCAGCAGCAGCGAAGGATTTGCGCATCGAAATCCCGCATTCAGTGCCGACGTCGGAAGTTGTGGAAACGACGACGACGACGACCACCGAGAACGAGGACGACGAGGACGACGAGGACGACGATGACGGGGTGGGAGATGTTATTCCGGAATTTGACCCTGACCACAAAGGGCACAGTCTCTTCACCGAAGAATTGCGAGCTGCGGTGGAGGAGGGATCGGCGCTGCAGTTGCCTCCGATGATGGCTGTTATGGACTCGCATTTTCCATCGGATGAGGAGCAGCTGCAGCAACAGCTTCTCCTCATGGACGGCTCGAAAGATGCCGTGCATGTGAACGGGGGAGCATTGCAAGGGCAGGTGCCCTTGCCCTTGCCGCCATTGGCGACCGTGACGCCCTCCACGAACACGACGTACGAAGGTTTGAACGAGCATTTGGATGTGATTGCGTTCAAAATTTACTCCGCTTTACAGCAGGCGAATTCGCATCCTCCAGCTGTATCGTCTCAAGCGGGAGAGGGCGATGGTCATTATCAGCAGCTCGTCGACCAAGAACAAGGAGGGGACAAGAATCACGCCGCGGGTGGCATCGACGAAGGGGAGCGGACGCCTCGTCATCCTCGATGGACCAGGGAAGAAACTGCGGTTCTTCTGGCCGGCAAGAGAAAGCGGGACGAGGAGATTAGATCTCAGCAGTCGGGATCGAAGTTTGCTCTGAGTGCCACGGAGCGATGGGATTCCATTTCGAATCACTGTAAAGCGCATGGAGTCGACAGGGATGCTCATCAGTGTCGGAAGCGATGGAGTAATCTGGCCGCCGATTTCAAGAAAATCAGGACTTGGCACAAGATGAGCGGCGTCGAGTCGTACTGGTCTATGCGGGGCGATAGTCGTAGGAAGAACAAGCTTCCTGGGAGTTTCGATCCCGAGGTGTACGCGGACATGGAAGCTACCTGCGATTCTAATCCTCACAGGAAGAGAAAGCTCGTCCCCATGGCTGGCACCGCGGAAGACGTCGACGACCACCAACATGATCCTCTGGCCTCCGTGTTGGAAAGCAGCGGCAGGGCCATGCAGGCAGCTTTAGCCCGAAACATCCAAGCGCAGATAGAGGCCCACAATCAGAATAGCGAGCTGGACAGGAATCAGAGGAAGGAGCAAGGGGACAATCTGGTGGGAGTTCTGGGGTTACTGGCCGATTCTTTGGCCAAAATCGCAGCGAAAATGTGAGGCTGTGTATTCGCATGCAACTCGCAAGATTCGAACATGCGTGCTGTATGTGTGGCCGCCTCTGCCACCGTGAGCCGCCAAGAAGCTGCAGCACCGAGGACAGACAGTCAATTACTCTCGATGCCTGGAGTTCGAAAAGGAGCTCTTCCTCGTGGAAACATCCCAAAGGCATTGTCTGGGATTGAGTCGGTCAGCGTCTTTGTCAGTTTTCCTTCCGTGCATCTCATTCGTCAGTGGTGACCTAGCTGGACGGCGTTGATCACGAGGTACTCTCCGTTCGAGCCCAGCTCGTCACAGCTATCAAGCATGAAAGCTGCAGAGTCCTCGGTCACTAGAAATGCCACATCGGACTTTTCATCGATTATTCACGAAACGACACTTCCGTGTAACCGGACGCTTCCTGATGACGAGCTTGGCATCCAGGTTGAAATGTAGGCAGCGCGTAGGGACTGCATGAATTGAGGTACTTCAGTGAGTCGAAGAGCGTGGAGATTAGTATATTCTCTGCCTCATTGCTTCCCACAGTGATCGTTTTCCGTGTGGAATTCTAGGATCATTCCACAGTACTGAGTTGCATACATTGAATTGGTATATTTTACAAGAACAATTCAGTGCAAAGGATTGAAAAATGCCATATGATTTTCGGATGCAACGTGTGCAGTTTTGATGACTGACGAAGTTTGACGAAGTCTGAAATTTTTAAGAAGGGAGACTTTTTGTTTGACTAAGGTTTGCACGGTGGTCTGTATGTAGACAAGAAGTTTGCCTTGTAACCTCGAGCTCTTTTATTCCAAAGTTTGACACGAAACTATATGGATTGAAGGCAATGAATGAAAGTTCAACAGGGTCTAACCAGCAGTCTTTCCTGCTGTTTAGATGTTGATCCAATCACACGCAGTTTCCAACACGTAGCGTGTAAATTCGAAGATCGCAACCTGTTGATCCGGTTGAGATCCATCGCTGTGAAAGCATGGTGACTATTCTATCGTCATTTGCACTACCGCCGGTTACTATTGTACAAAGGGGGAATTTTCCAAGATCCCGAGAGCATTTTCAAAACCATACGTACAAAAATGTTTCTGGGATTGTGCACTGTCTACCGAGACTCTACAAAAACAGCTGTTGTCCTGGCGGGAATCGAAAATGTGCCGGACTTCGAGTCGAACGTCGATGTACGAACAATTTCGTCTTGTGAAGCTGCCTGCAATCCGAGAGGTGTTCTTATTCATCAGAAGCAATATGAGACATGGTATGTGATAGAAATGAACAGTCATCATCGTTTAGCACGAACCGTAATTCCCTATGTTCATCCTTGCAGACAGATACTTACTTGTATTGGATGCAAGGATAATGAACGAGCTTTGAAGGTCTGAACTTCGGTCTTGACTTGTGTTGGACGAGCGTTGAAGATTACGATCACATTACGATACCTGCAATATCAAGTCCGTTAAGGAAACAAAAAAAAAATTCATATAAGGTCTCCATTTTGGATCGCTCCCTTGAAATTCCAGAACACAATTCTAGCTTCTATCTCTCTCATATCCAAACTTATAATGAGACGACAGTTTGTACAGACCTGCTATCCAATTGCGTTAGGCCAGGTTTGCCTTTCTCTCCGTCTTCGATACTGTAGATGATGACACCAGGAACACCCGCCGGGCCGGTGTTGTGAAATTTCAACCTGGCCTACAACAGTTTGAAACAAAGTACTGGGATTAACAATCTTTTGCGGTAAAAGCGGTTTTCAACATGTATAATTTATTGAGGAATGTGCAAGCCACGCAGTACTGTGATCATCTGGCAGACTGACGAGTAAAGGAAGCTCAAGAGCTGTACCTGAATAGCATTTGCTGACTTCAGCCGGAAAAGTGGTGAAGAAAATCTGATCTTCAGAAGTTCTTTCAAATTTTCTACAGCAGCGAGGATTTGATTCTTCGAAGGTTTGTTCGCGGGATCTGATAAAAGCTTCTTCATACTGCACGACCGCACATTTTGTTAGTGACCAAGTCCGCAATTTGTATTATATTCTGTTACAAACTTGACCAGTAAAGACGAAATATTTACTGAAGACGAATATTTTTAGAAATAAATTTGGCCGAAGGGAACTCGCTTTGCGTAGACGACTGCATTTGAATCAAGTAAAATATGAAGGCTAACATCAAATTTTGTTTAGCATTACACATACATTGGCCACTTGAAACCGTTCTTCGACTTCGGAGGTAGACCAACACCAAAATTATTCGTCTCATAGGAAAAATCTAACCTGATTTCACAATGAAGCACGGTAAGTAAATTCCGAAGAGAAGATTTAGAAAATATGACAAAGAGAACCATGACTTCTGAGTGGCACCTACGGTGCAGAATGCTCTCATCTTCTTATCCAAATTTCAGAGATAACGCTTACTAACGGGTGGTCAAGGTCATTTCTACAGACAACAGCTCGTGCTACGAAGGATATCGAGGCTTAAGCTGAACTTCAAGAGCACCTGTTGAACCAGTCACCCGAGTTGTAAGAGTCGCGATCTAGCGATTTTGAGCGAAGCATGTCATCTCCTGCGTGGAAGAAAGGAATCCCCTACACAAACCGGAAATCTCAATTAATTTTTGGCGCTGCTAGGCATTGTAATCAAATTTGTTTTCGCACTCAGCGACAATATCACATTCATAATCCAAAAGATTTTCAAGGAAAAATTTACTCCATGTATAAAATTGGTGCATTGGTACCTGAGCTAGAGCCACCACACTGGTAGCCATGTGATTGATCCTGCACCGCTCCTTAAGTGAAACACCGCTTGCTGTCTAAGAGACATAAGTAGGAGATGAGAAAGATAACTAACTCATTCAAAATCATAAATGTTGCACCACAGAAGTAAGGCATCAAAATGCTAGGCTTAGGACCAAAAGTAACAGCTATTTTTTAACCGTAGGAAAAATGGTGATAGCATCTGCTTACCTTTAGCATAATGATGTCAAACAGAGACTCGTTATCATGGGCTGACACGTAGTTTACCTGCAGTCAAATAGAGATATTATTAATAAAGTAAAACGTTGGTTACTAAGTTCATACAGGCAAAAACCAAAGGACGGGAGTTCAATCCAGCTAGCATGAGAACCTACAAGATCTTCCGGACCCATAGCATATGCCACAGGTACTCCATCATGTGTCAAGACCTCTTCTCCTTTCACCTGCACGAACATTCACAACAGAAAATCAGCAGTTAATCAGCGTAATATTTGAAAAATGCAGTAGTTTTCAAAAACACGGGAAGGAATGAACATTTCTTGAATGAGATTGCTCTTGGAACGTCAGTTAACATACCTCTTCTCCCTTGCTATTGGTAAATACATATGTGCGCAGATTGCTTCCCAAACCCAGCTGCAACAAGTGAGACAGTTGTAAATAACAATGCACGAATTCCACGTCGATTAACGTCGAAGAGAAAAGGTAGTCCAAAGTAGTTTAATAAGCTTATCGATTCTCTAGATTCGGTTTATTCAGTAACTGCAGCTAAAGCCTCTGCAATGAACTTACTCGGATCCAGTCGGTTGTTGCAGCAAGATGGTTGGCCATGGACTGTTCATCGCCTTGATCCAATTCATTGGGCTGCATGACCCACCAATCAACATAGATTAGAGGATAGCAAATCACGGTCGTCATCTGATGTAGAGTAATGTATTTAATCTGCAAAGTCAATCAAGCTTAAGATTTGCATCACAGCAATTAGCCCCAGAAAGCAGAATCAGCTCTCTATGAACAAGTGGCTTGTTCAGGCGGCATACCTGGAGAGATAAACCAGTTAGGAAACCTTGCTGAAGGGGATCACCGAAAGGAGAACCACCGATGACAGTGTCCCGTAAACGATCATTAAAACTGCGAAGAGAAAGAACGATTTTGTTATAATGCCTAGTATTACATTCGGGCGAGACTAAGGGCCCAGTTCTTGATGCGTAGAGTGCAACTGTTCGGTGTTCCGATACCCGAACGCATTCAACAAGCACCGCACCAGGTGGAACTCCGCTGAAGCTCGTGCGACATCGTGTTTTGTGAAGAACAAAAGTCCTGGTTCTCTTAACATAGGAATACACTTTCTGTACGTTCAAGGACAAGTATCGTGAGGAGACTCACGCAGAATTCAGACAGAGAATTTCCACGAAGGAAGAAAAACATTACCTGCCGATTCCCGTTCCAGCAAGATTTCTTTGAGATCCATTCACACCTCTCATATTGTTGGAAACCTCCCCAAAATCCCATCCTTCACCGTATCTGTCGAATTTTCACAAGTCCAGTTAGAATGGTTAAAGAATAATGTACAACACGCCTGTAAATTTCCTCGCTACTAAAATTCTGCTAATTACTTCCTAAACTCCATTGAACCCATTATGAGCACGTCGATTCATTTGAATTCACTCACAAATAGATCTTGGATCCATCAACACCGTCTTTCTCCACAGTAAGGCTTCTCAATACGCTTTGGGCACGTAGCTGCGGCGGACGATGGTATGTTAGACGCAGCTATAGTGCATTTATTTGTATGTCAAACTAGCAACTTACCCAGCACACAGGACAGAACCGAGAAGATAAATGGAGTTTTAAAGGAAAATTGGATAAAGCAAGTACAATGAACTTCAGTTGCAAAGCTAGCATTAAAGGCTGCAAAAACTCACCATTGTGCTCTTCATCAAATGTCCCATGAGATCAAAGCGGAACCCGTCCACCTGGATGGATGTGTAATAGAAGTTTAGAGTGGCGGATCTTGTAAGGAGGGTGAGCAGAAATATGGCAACTGCCTGCCTTTGACTATATGTGCAGTGCCCAAGCTATTCTATCCATGATGTTAAAAAAAAACTACCTTCTTCTGACGCCACTGTAAAGAGCTAACTTCCATTCAGAAGCATGTAAAGTCTGTACACTGTGTAATTACATTGACGAAGAACCAGAATTACTGCGAGGGATTTACCTTGTATGCGACCGCCCAATGGCGTAGGTCGTCGACGATGAGTCGATCCACCATATAGTGCTCACTCGCTGTGTTGTTCATACAGGTACTGTTCTCTACATTACCGTCTTTATTGCGGCGAAGGTAATAACCAGGGACTATCTGCGCAAATTTGAAAACAATATAGTGCTTTTAGTTCATTATCACTTCATGAAAATAAGATATGACAGAAGAGAAATCTATGGGTCAGAAAGATATTAGACCCGACCTAAGTTTCCAGCCTATCTTCATAAATTATTCGATATGAACAGTAGCGCCCTACAAGGACTCCTGAGCTTCTGTATGTACAACAGCAAAACGGAAGCCTTTCGTCGATACATGTTTCAAACCGCTGTCTACACGTCTATCTGCGGTCAAAATTGGAGGATGACAGGTTTTCAAGTATTAAATCAAAATATTAAGTAAGTAAGCCAACGACAGTGAGAATTAACAATTTTAATACCTTGTCGTGAACTGTGTGTATGCCTGTTGGCCCATTCCCATGCAGATGATTGTAGACGACGTCGAGCACCACTCTAAGCCCCAGATGATTGATAGCCTGTCGTCAAATATAAGCATAATGATGTACTCACGGAGAAGGAAAATACTCGTTGTTGATTAAAACAAAGTGGCACCTTACAAAGTTTCTTATACACATCACAGTGTGTAAGAAACTTGTTAATTGAAATCTTCGTACACCAAAAGGAGAACACAAAATGATTGTAGACTAAGCAACTCGGTCTGTCCTCAGAACATCATGAAATTATGACAAAAAACAGACTCAAACTATTAAGAGTAATCACCAGGATATGGACTCAAAGAAAGGTTTGTGTCTTACTTGAACCATTTTTCGAAACTCAAAGGTCCGGACCGAACCATTTGCGGCCGTTGCATAGCTTCCTTCCGGCACTCCCCAGTTTACGGGGTCATACCTGTGTAAAAACCGCAATAACTATATGAGGAAGACCGCATACTTTCTTTCGTCGACAATCAATAAGCAGGAAATCCCCATTCGAAAAGTACTCAACTGGAGACTGTTCAGTACTAGATTAATGAAGAGCATCTATAAAGAGACTGCAGGGCAGATCAGAGGAAATGGAAATAACCACTAAAACATACATCATGGATGAGATTATATATTATATGATATGTGCTTACCCCCAGTTATAAGCGTCCTCATCCTGTATTAATGTGATAGCAGCTTGTTGCTCTTCGGAGTCTGGGGCAAATTTCTTGAGGCTCTCAACATCTGTACGCGGAAACGTTCCAATTTTCAGCGACTTTCAGATTTCTAAGAGCGAAATGATCTCTGACAGAAAAATGGAAACAGTGGAAGGAAGAGGATGCGCGTAATCCTTGGGACAGCAAGTCGGAAAAATTTACAGCCGGAACTTGTATGCAAGAGAAAAAATAACTGCATTGGCCTGAGTACTAGAATGACCTCGCGCTTAATGGCCTGAATAATTAGTCTGCCCAGATGAACGTAATTGGACTGAACTCCATTTTTCTGGAACCTGCATGCTTACGACCGCAAAATAGGGCTATAATAACTTACCCGCCGATTTCCAGTTCCGTTTTTTCTCATCGACACTAGCAAAGTCGAAACAAGGAAGCAGATGCAGATGTGAAAGACCCGCCTTTGCAAGATTCTTCAGATGATTCACTCCAGCAGATTCCTGGAAAAGAGGAGAGGAGAGTAGGGAAACTTAGGTCCTTCCAAAAAGTGATGGTTTTACAATTGGTACACTAAAAAGTTTTCATTACTTTCTGTACTGTCATAAGGTTGGAAATTTGGTGGTTCAGTTGTAAAGTCAAGACACCAATAATTACACATTGCAACATCGAAGACTACATCATTGCATGCAACTAGACGCAGAGAGCAACTATTAAAATACACCTGAGCTTCGATTGAGATGACTGACGATTTGTTACACACCTTCTCAGTGAAGGCCAAGTAAGTCCCTCGCAAAGCTGGATCAACAGTTTCATCTGCAATGCTGCATCAATTTAGACAATTGAGAGTTTCAAACATGTTATATACTTTCCGAGGTATAAGATACATAGAACATGGCCAAGTATCCAGTACCAATAAACTACATTGAGAACAATCCACAAAGACAAGCAGGAACTCTTCCAAAACAACGTCATCCGGAATAATTTGCTCCATCGTTGTCTGTTGATTGATTCCGACTGTGTGTGTCTGTATCAATGTACAACTAACCTGAAGTCTCTGATATGAAGCTCATATATAGCAATATCGGTGAAGGCTGCTAGTTTAGGCTTCTCGGCTGCCAAATCACTCCATCCCTCAGGTTTCAGAGACTCATCGTTAAGGTCTACAATCAATGATCTTTCACCATTTGCTGAGAGACTTTCATTCCCACACACAAAACGAAACCGCCGTTAGAACCTGGCAATTTCCCATACAGCCGGCTAAAAGTTTCCCTCACTTCGAAGCCGCTAAAACACACTTAAAGCTCATGTCTATTTGAAAACTCAATCGCTGTAGATGATCCTTAGTTTCAGACATCACCCTCGTCTTCTACCCATCAATGATTCGCAGACAAGGCATCCTTCAAGAGTTACACAGTCTTAGTTTATCACATAGTACGCATACAATAAAGCGTCTAGTACTAACTCGCGAGGTAAACCTGCTGGGACCTTTAACAATTAGCGGGAGTAGACACGTCATATACATGGTAGAGCATGGCATGACATGGCCGAATGCATAGAAAGCATGGCAAGATAACTAATCAAATAGAAAGAGATAGCCTAGAAGAAATAACAAAAAAGGCAAGAAGGAATGGCATGGCACAGCATAGTGCTGAATGAAATGACAGAATAGAACAGAGTAGAGAAAGTCCGAGCTGCGTGCGAGAAAGTGAAGCAGGAAAGAGACAGGAGTATGACCTTGAACCCAGGAGTACATATTCCAGATGCACACGACATGTTAATACAATCGAATGCCGAAGGCGCTGGAAACATAATTGTGCACTATGGTTCCCCAGATCCAATTGAGACCACAAACAACACCGTCGTCACATAACCCCCGCTTCATCAAGGGCTACCCAGGAAGATAGAGTTCTGCACCGGACCGCGCCGGGGTTGAGATGAACTCGAAACCCAACAGACCAAAAGACTGTTGCGAAGATCTTGCGAAGATCTTTTGTAGATCACGTAGAAAGGAGTGCCCCAATCATCACATACTGTTGCAATGTAACAATTAAGTGCGCGCTTTCCAGTGCACGGGATTCAACGATCCGATAGTCTTTTAAAGTCCCGTCAGTGAGTCTCACAGTGGAGACAAAGCACTGGACAACCAGGAACTGATACTCTAATTCTAGATCGAGATTGTAATGCTCTTCAATTTCGTTCTGTCTGCAAAACCTTAATGACTTGAGGCATTCGAGATAAACTTCAGTCTCAAAGGAACTCTCAGGGTTCACACTGTCTCGGTTGACCTCGACACTTGCACACCAAAGTTACGATTTTGAACATTGAAACGTTGTGAACGGGACAACTGAGAAGGAAAGTAGTGACAATTGTTAAAAGTCAGGTGAAGTGAGGACTGAGTGGATCATCTGGGAAAAAGCTTAGGACCTCACCCCCTTGAATACGGATCACAAGCCAGACTCTTCTCGACCTTCTGTGTTGTCGGATGAAACACGGTCACTTCGTACAAATAGTACTTTCCCTTCCATTCAGCAGGACCTTGAACACTCCACACTCCGTCGCTTTCATTCATCTGAAGTACTTCAAAGTGCTCGCCGCCTGCAGGGCTGTGAAACAAAATCAAACGCACACTCTACATCTAAGAAGTCAGTTTTACGTCACGATTTTTGTACAAAAGAGAGGCCATGCCCAAATCTTCTTCACCAGTAAATGTGCACTGTAGAATGTCGAAGTAATGAAGTCAACCATAAAGCATGTAGGTAAAAGCTGATTGGTCAAGAATTTCTACCTGAGCTGTGGGTGCCCATACGCTGAGGGACACGTTGTCCTCTATGATAGATACGCCCAGTGGGCCATCATAGGCGAACAAGTCATCAAGAACTCCCGGAAGTTGAACCCCAGTGGCGTCGAGTGGAACACCAGCAGCTGCATGTCAAACAGACATGGACTGAGAAACGACGGTATTCCTTTATAACAAGATGATCACCAAATTTTGAAGTTGAAGTTATGAATACAAGGGCAGGATTCTGAGAAGACAACGAAACTGTCCTTCGGTACATAAACGGTAGCAAAACAAATCATCCTACTGTACTAAGATACTGACATTGTGGCCGAAAAGGATGAGGAGTCCTTACAATCACAGGAAGAAAGAGCTAATTGACATTTCACAAGCTCCCTGGTGTCTATGCCCTTGGGCACTCGTAGTGCTTTGTACCCGGTAATATAAGGAAACTTTTCCACGACCTGACAAAATGCAATGAAGTTATCAAGAGTTCGGACAATCACGTGATCAAAAGCACAACCACAAAATTTTCGAGGTGTTTCTAACCTCTCGAAAGTAAAGAAGAAATGAAGAGACTGTGTTTTACAAAATCCTGACTTGACTGCATAAACATAACGTTGGGGGTACGCCTAGACTGGAGATACGAAACTGAATTCGTGATATTACGGAAAGCTAGTGAGGAGTTCCAGCTACATGAAAATATGAGAGGTCTTAAGAGAATTAAGAAGCGGCCTGACCCGAACCAGAATGACATACCTTGATTGGCAATCCTTGAACATCCTCTTCCAGCTGGATCTTCTCGCTTGCTCCTGCGACACAATTCTAAACTGTCAAGATTCTGAACACAATTGGGACGTTATCTATCCCTGACTTTTAATTGTCATGCTCCGTAGTTTCGTTGGACCTTCGACGCATTTAAAAGGTTTCTCAATGGATCTTGTTCGATTTAAGTCTCCCATCTCCACCAGCAGTTCAGAAAGATTCGTAAAATTCCGAACACGACCAAACAAGTGATGCTCACTTTATTGTTATGATACTCCTTTTGCCCTTTGACCCATCGTTGATTCACACATATAATAGACAGTCAGCTCGAGAATCTAGAAAATCACATATATTGTCCACAAGAAGCCTGCATCAACAAAAGTACAGGATCTCGTCAACTGATAACTGCTGTCCGAGATCCTGCATTAGCAAACAGGCCCTTGAACAAATGAGATTTGCCTTTTAAAAAATATTTACCTTCGACACCTGCAGCAGTGAGAGTCAGATTTGCGTTCTTGCAAGCGTGGAGACTGTAGCAGTCGCCATCAAAATTTACGGCGATTATTTGTTCAGAAACCCACAAAGCACGAGCAAAACCAAGATCGCCCTGTAGATTTGGACAAAAACTGTTGAAATTAAAAACAACGTCAAGAAGACAAGAATATTCAAATAATATGGGCATACGATGTAGTACCGTAGTCATCAAGAGAGGCGCCTTCACGCGATAAATAAGCTCAAAGATCCCTTAGAGATTTCTTGAGGCCAAAGAGAATACTAAGCTGCACGGATCCACTCACCTTTGGAATGGAATCTAGGTCTGGCTTCTCCATGAATACGTCTGGATGCTCAGAAACCACCCACACGCTGTCACTTTTTGCAGTATCCATGACTCCCTCAAATTCCTGCGCGAGGCACGGTGATTTCTCAACAGGTAATTTTATCTCATTTACCAAAATAATGTAATGTCTATCAGTATTAATTCCTCCAACAAAGCAACGGTGATATTTGTAGCAGGTAAAACCTGCTAAAGACGACTCCAAATCAATTGACGGGGCAGTCTTTTCAAGGTGATCGTCAGTACAGCACAAGATACTTCAAACTCCGATGGCTCTTGCTATCCGCGATACTAAAGAATAACACATATAAATTGGATGTAATCCTCGGCCATGCTGAGGATTCCTCTTTACAGAAAGACAGCAGAATCTTAAAAATCGGCTGATTTGAAAGTGTTCGCCAAGTCGTATCGATCTGTAAGAAGTCTAATAAGAGGAGTAACTTTCATAACTACACGTTTGAGTGCAACCCGTAGTCCAAGGAAGGACAAGGTCTACAAGTTACTAAGATGAAGATACTAAATTCCAGCTAGTTAAGTGCTTTCGTTTTCTAGAAAGCCAAAAGACGGAGCTCTTCGCGCCCTGCAAAAATTCTAAGTCTCTTGTCACATGACAAAGCTTTCATAACTCACATCAAAATCAAATTTGTCCATCCTAAGAGTCCAGCGTTGAATGCCTCAACTATCGTTGGGCTTCCAATCGTCAATGACTGATATTCAGCAGACACATGAATTCGGCTTGAAGTGCAATGAGATGTGCAATCCAGTTTTTAGAAAACCTTTAGACGAGTACGTGTTTCAGGTGATTGTCCCCTTCGACATTTCTACAACCTGCTGATAATCGCGTTACGTTTCAACCTTCGTACGGTTCCAACATAGCAATGATTGGCTTTGTACACGGAATTCGAAAGATTTGTTAATGCTAAGAGCGCATCTTCAGCATCCAGATAACGACAAGATGCAGCATAGCACATGGCGCACTAGAATCAGTGTCGGAATAATGACCGGCAGCATACAAACACCAGTCATTGCGCAAGCTGCTGAAGCACCTTACTCGACAATGGAAATGCAGTGACGATGCCAAAAAAAATTTCCAAGAAGATTATACAATGTATGTAATACCTTATCTCTGCCGGTGTGTATGAGAAAGTAAACTTTGCCTCCTTCGACACAATCGACGTCCCAGTAAGATCCGAAGTCATCTAACCCTCTGGCAACAAGGGGTGACTCCCAAGGGGTGCAATATTCAGCATCTCCCCAAACGTGAAGGCCCCATTGCTCATAATCTCCATCTTTCCTGTTTCAAGGTCATAAAAAAGGGTTCTTATTTGTTGATCTTAACATCGCCTCGACAGATCGATCAGACTTTTGGATGAGTAATCGCAATTTGAGAGTGAATGCAGGTTTATTTAGACTTCAAAGGGACAACTTCCGTTATCATCCGAGACATTTAGAGCAGTCAAAGTCTCGAATCTTCAGCAGTGTTTTGCAAAACGAAAGGTCGCCAGAAATTTCAGCATTGAACCAACCTATTGTAGTGAATCCGCACTGTTTTCACTGTCCGCTTCTCTTGATTATCCAGCTTGTCAGTGACACCCAGGGTAGCTTTTTGGGTGACTCTTCTTCGACCAGCATTTCTTTGCTCTCTATCTCTTCCACCTACGTGTGAGCCTTGTTTCGCATTCCCGGGCTGGGTCCGAGCCGAAACATGAACGACTGGAGATTGGCCGCGTGAGGCTTGCGCTGAGGGCCTGGAACTAAATGCTGCGATTTTTACAGATTCAATTCCTGACTGACCAACAACTCCCTTTCCCCTGAGAAGGTAATGTGAGGGAGAGCAAGAACTGACAGCTTGCAGCATTCCAACCATTTCAATTAAACTTTTTTTTTCTCGATTCTGCGTCGCCCCCGACGAATTCTCAGCGTTCTAATCTGATGAAAATGCGCGCACTCCTGAAAATGTCCGGAACCTGTGAAACACTAACTACAAGTGCGCCAAGATCACACCAGGCATCGCTAATCAGCTGTGGCTGGCTCCGAGGAAGACGCAGAAAAAAAGAGCCCGACACCGACGCCAACGCCAACGCACGCGAGGGTGAAGAATGAAATGAGCTCTCGCTTGCTCGCGCACCAAACGGAGGCCGCCTGAGCTCAAGAATCCACTGGCGACGCTCAACACGAGCGCGGACGGCCAGTGGATGATGACGAGACGCGCGCTTTGGCATCTTCTTGCATGCTCGCTCCGACGGCGCCATGCCTGCCCGCCCGCCAACTTGTCTGCCCGCTTGCCCGCCCGCCTGCCAGCGAAACAGCCAGCGGGCGCCTGCGGTCGAATTCGCAGAGCCTCGGGTCTCGACGACAACGTTCGTCTCGACGAGAGAGAGAGAGAGAGAGAGAGATCCCGAACGGAATGGGCCAGAGGTTCACAAGAGAGCGATAATGCCCGACGAACACTTGGGTGGTCCTTTTCCTGACGCGTGGAGCTCGCGTGGAGTCCACGTGCCGACTGCTCCGCGCCACCTACTACATTCTGTACTTCTGTCTCAGTCCTGACTGACCTTCCTCTTCGGGGTCGGGTCTGTTCCCTCGGCGCTATCTTTGGAAGGTGTCCCTTGGAGGGACTGACTCCCTCCACATTTTGGTCCTGTCCCTAGCACCAACCCAACGGAGCATGTATTTCCCGAACGACAAATCCGGCCCACATTGAACTCGAGCTCCGAGGAATGTGAATTGCACTGAGTAAAGATGGTGGAGAGACTCCATGCCAACCGCATTTCTCTCCTCCTCCTCTTCCTCCTGTCGACTTTCGACCCTTGACTCTTCAGTTTTCTTCCCTTCCACCTTTGGGATGAAGTTGCTTCACGGAGGACGGCGCACACACTCCGCGGAAACCATGACTTTCGTTTCTTTCGGTCATTTTGGTCACTTCCTTTCAAGATCGAGACCCGAATTGTGAGACAAACTTTGAGATGCGCTTGCACGTGACTTCACGTGGGACTTGATGGCATTTCATATACCTCTGTGCATCAACCGCCTCCATCTCACATCAGCGAGCGGCAGGTCCAGGATACTTACTACCTTCTACTTCTGTTCTTGCGTCTGCATCATGGGCCACATTACTTTCTGATACGTGTCGTTGTCATATTCATTGATCTAGCAGGCAGGAAAAGAACCGGAATCCTCCGATTCGCATGCGACGGAGATTTTGAAGAATTTCTGACTTTCATCTTCCGCCTGTTCCTCCTCAGTTCGCGATCTGCTAAGATGTTTCCAATAAACTTACTGAGATCTTGGAACAATAACATAGCACAGAGCGGGATGGAGTATTGAGGATTCGAGACCATATGATCAAGAAACCTGCTGAAGGGGGGCAAGCAGGCAGCACAAAGGATGGATACCCCCATCAAGCCGTACAAGAATGAAATGGAAATGATTTAGCTTCACCTGCCTCGACAAATCCTTCATACAGATATCTGACACGTCAGTTGATTTCCATTGCCTTTGACCAGTCGACTATATACCCACATATGTCGTTCACTACAACCACAAACTTGGGAGAATCTATGGCATTCTTTAAAGGGCGGAGAGTTGTTTGTTCGGCTATGGAGGAAAAGGATCAAGGTTGCCTTCCAAGCTGCCATCATTGAACGGTGTGGTACTTTAAGGATAAAACAGTGCATGGTCAGCCGCAAGGGCTTAGGACAGTATGTAGAAGAGCAAAGCAACGCAAATCTAGGTGTACTCAATTACAAGAAGAGTGAGGACAGTAATGATCGTGGGGCATGCATGCTTGGACTGAAGCATAGAAGAAAGAAAGACGAACGAATGCACGAAAGGTGACAATAGTACAACAATGAAGTACATGCGGAGAGCATTTTTTATTTGACAGAGTTTGTTAGCAAATGTGCAGTATAGAGGATCCACTCCGATGGCTCACATGTTTTAGTACTCTTGAATCCAAAAGTATGTTCTTGCATCTATTCTTGAATGTTTTAGAGTATTAGATCATCTGTAAGTGTCCAATTATAGAAAAGAAAGATGCTGCTAGATTTGTAAGGACTTCCCTGTGACCTATTCAAATGTTTTGTTGTGTTTTAATGGAACATGCACAGATCAGATCCTATACAAGACGAAGTCGAAACAGTATAAATATTGCTCCGAACTCTCCCCATCTTGAAGTAATTCGTGTTTTTCACCAATACACTTCCACCAAATACCTCCGGGACCAGATCGATCAAAATCGGCTCGCACAGTGATGGTCGATGTTTTTGTTGCTAACTTCCAACTGCCTGTTAGATGTGGGACGACTAGTGATGTGAAGTGTTTGTTTGAGACATTAATCTATTTCATCACCTTTGCGCAATCCCACTAATATGTAAAAAGTGACCGTTGGATAGCCAAATAAACCTCCTGTTGTGGAAAACGTAATGCTTCATAGACTCAAAGCAGTCAGCTGGCGTTAACAAACATTCGACGTGAGTTCCTCGAGATCCACACAAATTGACTTCGGCGATTTGATGTGACTTCACAGCGTTTGCAAGCTGACTCGACTCTCAAGATTTTCCCTTCCCAGGTTGGAATTTTTATTTTTTAAGACATCTCTTGCGTCAGAAAATTTAACAGATTCATTTGTTTGTTCTGAAGGTGATTCAGCATCAGCTTCAATTCTTCTTTGTATGAGTATTCCGATCTCGTAGATCCATCGTATGTCCTCAAAGATTCCATCATGCCATGTCCATCTGCCTTGTACTCACATGTAAGTGGACATATGTCAGAACTCTGAGACGATGATCGGAGGCCAAAATTAGTCTGCGCCATGCAAGCGCAGACTTCATTAAGTGAATTGGAAAATGAGAAACATGTCCCCTAGATAAGAAATGATGTAACCTCCTCATCCTTAGACATGACCAGCTTAGCAGTTTCTTCACACGAGGATTCACCTCGGTTTCTTGGAACGACCTCCAATTTTCTGCAGATGTGATAAAACGTTTAGTTAAGGCGGTCATCTTACGACCATAAATGCTCGAAACATATTCATCAATTGCCTCCTAAATACTTATTTATTTTATCCATCCTGTTACCAGAAATACAACACAGGTCATAGAGAGTGGACGTTTTTATATATGAAGTATCCTCGGGGATTGGATAGTATGAGAGTGCTTACGGTACAGTATAGTCTGCAGAAATACATGTCACCCGCATAAACTACTAATTCTAACCCTCATGATTAGAAACACTAAGGTGGTCAGAAACATGTACAGAAAGTGGACCCAAGGCATGCTTTGCAAAACGGAACTTTGGTACACACAGCATGCCATTGCTCTGACAAAGAACTTCATACTCCACATCTATCCTACGTACTTTATCTAGTCATGTTGGAACAGATATGTGTACCTTCACTCTGTACATTACAGTTGGAGTTCAGCCAGACCGCAGATGTTCAGTTGATTTAAACGGGAATTTCAAACGCTCCTCTTACGTCCGTCAAAGGTGGTGTGTCCGATGCGGTGCGACGCGAAGAAAACGTAGAAGTAGACGCCTGCATCGCTTAGAAGGGTTCTTGACAGGTTACAATGGAAGGAGCTATCCTCCTATAATAACCTGTAACACGTCAAGTGATGATCAGGCAAATTCCGCACCAAAAGTAAAACGTTATATACACGACATGAAAACATGATAAAGGCTGATACTTATTATGCAGTAACGACTTGAGAAAATTGAAAACTCATCATCACAGGCAAGCCTATCGAACTGAATGATTACACCTACCATGCAAAGAAGGGTGACTGAATTGTGCTTATATGACGCTTCGAACGTAAGGTCAATATTCTGGGGACGTTTTCTGCTTGTCTTTGTGACGACGCCTCTTCTTACTTGCATCTTTTTCGTCCTGCAAGTATTTGCAACAAAATAATTACCATAAGCTTCCAGTCTCTATCGTAGGGTATTACTTAGACAAAACATCGTCATCTCTCCAATGTGATGTTCCCCAGGGTACTCTAAGGTTCTACTCTTCCTCACCTCGGCCCTAACGAAAGTCAATGAAAGAGAAATATGACGACGAACCAGGTGACACAAACATGTGGTGCATATAAACAAGGGCATCCTACATGGCAAACACAAAAGCCCAGAGTCGAGGGAATGTTCAAAAGCAGCAGCTTCGTCATAAACTTCTAAAAACACATCTTGCTCGCGCTTCGCCCTCTTTCGCCCTCACAAATTGGTACGGTATTGCACCTCTTTCCTCCCGTGCTTCTCATGTCGAGATTTGTGGTGCCTCTTCGGTTCCTTCTCCTCCGTCTTCCGTCTTGACTTCTTGGAATGCCTTCTTGATCTCCTCTTGTCGGAATCACTACCCCGATCACTGTCTGTTCTTGACTTCCTTGAACGTCTCTTCGACTTTTTTCTATCAGAATCACCATCTGAATGGCTATCATGTGTTCTTGACCGTTTGGAATCTCTTTTTGACTTCTCGTCTTCAAACTCACTGTCACTATCACTTGTGCTACCGCTGCTCCTGCTCGATGCCTTCGTCCGCTTGTGAGAAACAGGCTCGGCTTCCACGTTCTTATTGACGCGCATTGAAGCAGTCGAATCTGGAGGACCTTTGTCCGTGCTTGTAAGTTCATTCAGTCTTAGATGTACCCTTCCGGAGTCATCACCTATTGGTGCCCACCTCGAAACTTTGTCCCGTTGATCTACTTTTTCTACTATCTCTATGTCGGTGGCATTCATGTAGTTCTTCAACGGGGCACCTGACCAGGACGTCCCTGTATGAGGTACACTGGGCACTCTGGCTTCTGACTTGCCGGCAACTCCAGAACCGTGATTGCTGCCATGCCGATTTGACCCTTGCTTCATGGGAAGTTCAACTCTCGGTTTCTCCACTGGAACCCGCAGTCCTAGTTCTTTTCCCAATGATTCTAGAAAGTCTCCAGCAGCCAGGCGGTTTAGCGCAGCTTGCGCAGCTTCAGATTGCTTAGCAATCACCTTTTCATCCCCCAAGTCGCGGCCATCTATCAGCGGGGTGGGCAACTCCGTTGCAGTTTCGTTTTCATCATCTTCGTCGTCGTCGTCATCAGAAAAAATGGCCTGCACGTGGATAAGAACATCATATAAGAGGCAGGCCATTCATCTCCTTGAAAACAATGTGCGCTACTTCCGAACTAGTGTCCAAAGTATGACAAAAGGTGCCCTTTACTCCGAAACCCAGCTTGTCTGAAGAGGTTTGTTAGACTCTCAGTAATACCTTGTAAAGGTCGACGGGCCTCTCCGTTATCATCTTCACTGGTTCCATATCCTCCACATGACCTTTTGAGATAGCGTCAGCGCCAGATGCAGAATAAGAAGAGGCCAAACTTACTGCCGACGAGCCGTCAGGCTTGGTGCCCTCTTCAGAAGAAATTAGGCTTGTGACAAAAAAGTCCGTTTGGCTTCTTGGCTTTGTGACAGGAGCGGGCTGTAAATCAAGTACACAATCTATTAGTACAGTCTTCGCAGCACTTGGACGGTGCATTGGACACATGTCATCCAAGGATCAAATTAAAAATAATCTCATCGTTTGCAACATCCGAATATGAGAACAAGACACCCATATGTTGTAAGAGGCCATTACCTTTCCAGCGAAGGGATCAGCCAGATTGAACCGTTTGCAAAGCATTGATGCCGGCCGCCATGAATTCTCTTCTCTCCGAGGACATTCATCCACCGGCAGACCTATGATTCTGTTAGAGATCTCTGATTCACTGTCTGGAACCTAATTGCCATAATCGACACGAAAACGGTAAGGATGTGATGCGAGTCCAAAGGAATAATGAAGATTGAAAGAAAAACATACATTCCCACTTATCAACTTTTTGAAAACATTCGATAAGTGTAGGAACCTACGTATCTTACACTAACTGTAACATGGATTGGCTTCACGGTCTGCTTTTGATCATTTGGGATACTTTTAGATTTCCATAAAAAAATAATGTGGAGATAGTGTTTTCTGCACATTATATTGATTCCGGGGCATCATTGACTTACATGTGGACCGCTAACATCGGAGCTTAAGTAGGTAGCTTAATCTAGTCATGCACTCCAAAATTCTGCCATCGAGTTCAAAGGGAACATACCAAAAGCATAGTTTCGACGGTTCCTGATGTAAACCTACTATTCATCATCGCCGTCAATTCAGTGACTTCCTTTGGTATCAAACTCGAAGACTGGGTTGCTCCCGCAGCTTCCAGGCTTTGCAGAGCCTTATCGAATTCATATATCTCTTGCTCATGTTGTGCTTTGGACATGTTGATTCCTTCTCCGGATCTGCGCTTTATACCCCCTACCAACTTTTCGGCAAGATATTTCTCAAAACGCGCTTGCTTCTGAAGATCTTCTTTAAAAAACAGCTTCATCTTATTCGAATCCACTGCCTGCAAGCAACTCGAATGTTAGTGGCAGCCAATAGCACATGCACGCTATTCTACTTGAACTTCACTACGGATGGAGTTAGATATCACAAGACCTTCATACCTTAATATATAGCGCCAGTAGCAGCAGATGAGTTAATTTGCCTTCAATGAGTGGCAACAAGAAGCGAAGGCAGTATCATAAGATCATTCACAAGTTCAAATGAACTTGGATATAATACGCTAGAATGCTTGTAAAGTAAACAGGTAAATGAATGGACCTGCTCTGAAATGCACCATAGTAGTATACCTTTGTGGCAGGGCTCGTGAAACTCCCCGCCAAGGCTTCCGGCAACCGAGCCTTCTCTTCTTTGGGCAAGGGTGTTTCACCAAGAATCAAAGCTCTTTGGTCGGCACCTAACTTCTCATTATGACCTCCGCGTTTTGGTTCGATGGGCTCATTTCCCTTTTCTGAAATGACTCTCTGCTCCTCCCATAACTTTCTACTGTAATACTCATGATCAGGACCTGTATCCAAGAAAGAAAACTGGGGATTCCCAAAATGTTTTTCTCTTGAAAGAGCCTCAAACCGTGGCCCAATTCTTGCAACAAATGTGGCAAGGCCGTCAATAAGCTTTCTCGTTACGGTGTCCGCAGGAGGAGGAGCTTCAGGGGGCTCTGGTCTCGAGAGTCTCCGTTCAACATCCAAAGAAGTTGCAAATGTGGCCTTCGTATCAAAGTTCATGGGGACCACTGGTTGGGGGATCCTACAAAGATAACATGTCCATGATATACCTTGAGTTTCTTGAACTTTGGAAATGCTCATTGACACTCAAAGGAGCAACCACGATTTTTCCTAAAGTATACATACATGACTGAGAAAGTCAAGCTTGCTACCTCATTTAAATAATTGTTTATGGTGGTAGTACGTTACCTAGCTGGTTTCAATTGTATAGATGCAGAAGACGCGGGTTGAAAACCTGGAATGCAGTCATTGTTGCTTATCAACCGAAGTTGTGGTTTGGTAGCTTCGATAACGTCAGCATCCTTCTCCTCCACGTCTAAAACTGCACGATCCGACAAGTTCTAAGGAATTACCCTCAACGGCGCTGGAAGCTTTGAGCTCTTCCAACACAGAGACACTGTCGACAACGAAATTCATGAGCCAGAGGGAACTTCCATCCTTTCGCACGGTTTCACCTGTACTACTCCTGTTTCTAGGTACTCTAGTCCACGAACATTCACAAAAATACGATTCTGGAGTTCAGCAAAATAAATCTGTCCAAGTTTCTTAAGCCACGTACAGAAGATACTGTGACAACTTATTTACAAGGTGTGAATGTCTTTTGACTCTGACGTACGAATGAGAAGTGGATTCCAAGATAAAATCCTACTCCATTCATGACAAAACATACCAGTATCATATATTTCTTCATCGTCGTCACGAAAAAGGTCCATCGCACTGACACCAAATTGAGAGCCCATATTCCTGGCTGACGCAGAAGCAAAGAAACAGCCAAATTACTGATGGGCTAAATTTGTCATTTTTTATCTTCTTGTTCTAAGCCATCGCGCACCCTAAACACACTGATTTCAGCACTTTCATGCGTAGCAAACATGATTGCTGTAGGCAACAGGGTTGACGGCCTGAACGGATATAAAACTTCTTGTGATCCTGCCTTTACCGCGGGTTAAGTCATTAAAGAGAGTAGGAATCAAGCTAACTCATAATACCAACGTTAACATAACTCATAATACCAACGTTTACATAACTCATAATACTCATGTTACCAACGTACACCGCAACAAAAGGTAACAAAAACCAACTGTTAAGTACGGAACGGCACCTACCTCTACTGAATGCATCCCCCGAATCCTTCACACGCCCAGGCATCCAGATTCTGTCGTCTTTATTCTTTCGCGTCAGCTTCAATTCTGCACGTGTCGAAACAATGATCAGAGGATTAGGTCGACGCGGTTCTCACCTTCGCATCCACCATCCTTTCGGACAGAAGAGCGCCCTCACAACTGCTCCTAATACAGCTGGTTGTATTGCTACGTTTGAAAGACACATGACACATCAAAAGACGTGAAATAAACCAAGGCCTGTCTAGTGGTTCATCCATGGGGTTGAAGTTTGCTGAAGCTCATGTAACATTTTACACACTTGCTGGTATTTGCATATTATAACCAACTCATTAGTTCTATTCGAAGATCCAGACGTCCACATTTCTGACTGCGCCAACCGTACCTTTGAACTCCGGCGCATTCTTTAGGGGATCGAATCCCAACCCATAAACATCCGCCTTAGGATGAAAAACAAAGTCCTGATTTGACCAACATGCACAGAACGCCGGGAAAAATCGTATAAGTAACCGCAGCTCTGTGTGCATGATGACAGCCATGACACAAACAGCCGTTCTACACAGTCATCGTTAATACTACTTGCCTCTCATAAGTGGTCCGAGAGCCAAAACGCTATAACCTGCCCTGTCGGACAGAAACAACCTAACTTTACCACGCAAACCTAAATTACTGTATGCTCAATGTCCTCAAAAATATGCTTCTTATAAATGGTAAATGGTATACGAGGGTATGCTACACTACGCTATCTGATGGCAGATGACAGGATACTTTGACATGACGGATATTTTAAAATAGCCCTAGGCAGCAATATAAAGTTAACTTCTAGGTCAAAAAATATGAGACAGGTCTTCTTTCCACTAAGAAACCTGTTTGGGACGACAGTTTTATACCAACACTAACTTTCATAAATCCCAAGATGCTACTGCTCAAAATGACATTGGTCTACGAACCGGAATCTTCTCGGATAAATCCATGTCTTCTTCATCCTCGTCCTGTCCTTCGGCAATCAGGTCGCCGGAGGCCTCAAAACTGGGGGGCAGTTGGGCACCGTACACTTTCTTCGACTGTTGATCCGATTTGCTACTTGACGCGAGTGCAATTGTAGCCTTCCGCCCTTCCCTCCGGGCAGCTGTAAGAAATTACTTGATTATAGTCACCCAAATTTATGCAAAGAATATTTTTCCGACACATCCAAAAAAACAAACACACTCACGCGGGTTCACAATATCCACCCCATATATACTTCTGGATTACAAAACACTGCCCGAAGTTGCAACGTGAACTTTTTAAAAAAGATATTCTGCAGGCGACGACCTACACTAGCTTCTCGGTCATTGTAGTTCACAAGCAGACCTCTAAACAAAAGTGCGCACCATCAGTCCCGAGTCAGCTACTCCGGTAGAAAAAAACTAGAATAATTTGAAATCATCGTCCAACTTGATACAATGTGGAGACAACAATTCTGATCGCATCATTTCTTCGAGTCACAAAGTAGCCTATTTGAAGAGCACTCATATAAAAGTGGGCAATCTAAAGTAGTGCCAAACATGCTATTCATGAGAGCAAGTTATCTCAGAAGTTTGCGTAATGATCAGAACCTGATACCGCAGTAAAATGTCGCGGCCCGACAACTCGACCCCGGCGCCATCCCATCTTCATCAGCAACTTTACACCTGTTTGAAACAAATTACGCCCGTTACTTCTTGACACTTGCAGAAAAAAGACACTCAAGAAGAACCACTAAACTGTACTCATTCGTATGTGCCCACCCTGTGACTAAAGACTCCGCGCCAGGCAGAGCGGTCCGACCAAGAATAGAATCGTTACAGAGAGAAGTAGATGGAAAACGAGAGAAGACTACTTGAAAGTGAAGAGGGTCTTCCTTGTAGTGGTACTTCTCACCACATATATGAATGAATTTCAAAGTTTCGAGGACTTAACCAAGAAACCTTTTAGACGCTCATCCACCTGATAGTTACAAAGCCAGTATCTATAACTTATAAATGCGGCTGGTGAAGAGCCATTAAGAAACATGAACAAACCTATTGACTGAGTTGCGGGTATAACAATTTCATCGGGGACTGGTCCTGGAATAGCTGACGGTCTGCACAATAGCAAGCACTCTTTGAGACGGCGCATCATTCACAAAGTAAAACCGGAGGAAAAGCAAACCCAGTAGTTCACATTGAAGATAAACAAGTTTAAAGAATATCACTATGTTTCTTCCTCCAAGTGAACAGCTCCTTAATACATCCTGATAATTTTGTGATATAGTGTCTCTTAACAATTTGAACCAGTTCAAACGTCGTGCAGATGACTAGCTGTAAGCTTCTATCTTCCTCTACTGGTGAGAAGACATCAACACTGTCATCCAGAACGCGACCAACTGGGGAATTCACTGCTCAGATAATCTAATGCTTCACAAACTTAGTCAATCATGCTTTAGAGTGAACAGTAGCGCGATAGGTGCCATTGAGGTGCAAACCTATTCAGCTCCCGTTTTTATGAGCACAAGAGGGTAGCTTAAAACGCACCTTCTCCCGACCTCTTTCTCGGCATTCCGACGGGCTACTTCAGCGGCAGTAAATCCAAACGTATCATACTCGGCAGAAGTGCCTAGGCCTTTCGCTTTTGTCTCCTGTAACACCACATCAGAAAAAGCAACTGGAGCATTAGACCACGGAGAGAATGGTACTCTAACCTGAGCTACACGTCAAGAATTGTGAAGATGAAGATTTTACTCAAAAGCAAGATATCACAGCGTAGACTTCTTCGTATTTATTTTTTTATTACTAGCATGCAAGTCACCTAATAGTGATTCAAAGGATCTGCGCAGCGGCCTTATTCACGCAAAACAAACACAACAAAAATATAAAAAACGCTGTACAAACCTCCAGTTCATCTTCATCCAAGAAATCATCGATCGACTGCTGTGTCCTCTGCGCTCGTTGATTCCTCGATGAAGTGAACGTCTTGGGAGCCCAGCCTGAGAAGTCATTCAAATTAACACCACCTCAAGCAAGCAAGATTGACAAACAAATACTTGATTTTACCACAACCGACACCTTCCGTCTAAAGATGTGATATCACCTTCTTTGGACCCAACGGTGTTGTAATAGCCTGCAGAATAGCCTCCGGTAAACGCACCATGAAACCTTCTTCGACCTTCAGCATCTGTCACCTGTATCACCGACATGGATTACAATGTAAAAGACAACTAATTATAGTCGCGGTCTTCAAGATACATTGATGTCTTCGAACAGAAACGGAAAATCTTCAATGCACAATACAAGAAAGACAAGCAATAGTACGCATAGAGGGGCCTGCGAACCTCTTGTTTCCAAGGCGGTAATCGGCGAGCCTGACCCTGATCTACCGCTAACTTCGCCTTCTTCCTACTCAAATCTTCTTCTCGCTCCAACGCCTGGCCATAGTGTACATACTGTCCTTCTTCACCATCGTCCATGGCTCAGCTTCAAACACCACCCCGCTATGCCACCAAAATACAGTTTCGACAAATTCCTGCTTGAACTATGTTTTTCAAAAAACAATTTGCGTCTCGCACCATCTCCGGCTCCCTGCTTCCTTGTCGACTCAAATTGAAGACTGAGAGCTTCCACAAAACCCCGTCAGACTTGCTCCGTGTAGTAAGGCGGACCCGGATTGGGAATTGCTTCTCATTGGAAAAAATGGCAAGTCCCTAAACCCAGCAAATTTCTTCTCCTCGACGCCAAACGCAACGTGTACTTTCAAGTGACAACTATTGAAATCATTGTTTAATAGTTGTCACAAAACCAAAAGATGAGACGATTTCCCAAACTTCGAAGAGGCAGCAGCAGTGGGTGAGCGCTAAGCGGACAAATGAATATTCTGAAAATGCTCTGAATTAACGAAAACACAGGAGACTAAAAAATCGCAGTCCACTGCAAAAAGGGGCAGGGAAACCCAGGAACTAAATGAGATGCAATGGGCACCACTGTACATGGAAGATCCGTGCAAAATTCATGCTCAGTACTTCGACTTCAAAACGCATGGTGAGGGATTGCCGCCACAGTCGCCATCTTATCGGCGAGCTCTAACGATGTGTCGCACTTCCTGTCTTTAAATCCCAACGCAAAACCTCCCGAATCCCTAACTGACATCTCAATTTCCTCTTCTATCCCGAAAACTCTTCGCCAGATTATCACAAACTCGGTCGGAGCGCGGTATTCACAACCCCACACTCTAAAATCTGTAGCCCTGGAAACTCCGAATTGAATTCTTGTTGTCCACCTACGAGTCCTACTGTCGTCCTGGTTTCAGCTGTTCGTGAATTCGGATAGCTTTGTTCTTCCGACAGTAATCCGGTTTCACGTACCCACGGGAGTTTAGGCACAACGGTAGAAGGACAACCGATTGCAAACCCGTCTCCCTCAGCTTCAACCACCGTAGCCAAAATGTGATGGAAAATTTTTATTCATTATTCTTACGAGAATTGACGAAATTCCCAGTGGATGCAAGTAGCAAGGAACGCGCAGGTTTAAGATTGTTTGAGTTTATACGCTATTTGGGAGACGGTCACTATCAGATTAGCAGAAAAGAGAAAAGGCAGGACTCCTGTCAGATAGTTTACTAATATATAGTTCCCTCAGAAGGCAATAGAAAAGCAGGAAAGTGTGCATACATTTTTATTAAGGGCAGGAGACTTGCGAGATGCAGCAAGTCCCTGTCGCCGTACGAACGATATCGCAAAAGTTGGATCTACAAGGCGATTTAAACGTGGAGCGATTTGAAAACCCTCGAAAAATAGCCGAGCGTCTCTAGCTAATCAAACGCCCTCGGATATGGCAAGAGAGGCGGGAGATTGAATATTGACTGCGATGAGTCTCTTGGAGCTTCAGCGAAAATGAAGCATCATATCTATTAGTCGGCCTATCGTTGATTGACCCGGATCTGCTATTAACCGGGGACCTCGGTTATTCTCTACCACTATTGATCCGTTAGTATATGTACTCACATGAAACTTCGGTTTTTCTTTAGCCTTACAAACAAATCAAAAGCAGAAAAAATGTTGACATTGATCAAACCTCCAAAAAGGATACTTATTCCGCTTAGTCCAATCTCTTTATTGCATTTATCTAGAAATTGTATACATCCTAAACCCTCTATACGTTCATGATATGTCAAGATTTACACTCAAAATTGTTATCTTTATGTATTTATTAAATGTAAAAAATACGCAAAATATTCCAACTCAAGCATATATTTTCAAGCAAACATACTTACTTCAAACTTTCATCAAGATAATTAATGCTTCCCTCATACTCTCAGCTTACGTCAGGTACAATTGGAATCTAGTCATAACATGAAATGGATTGTGAAAATAAATTGAAAAATATCTAAGAAATGACAAACTAAGTTGAAATTGCAAATCCAATAAATTATGACTTAAAAACTATCATACTAAATTGTAATGATATTTTATCCATAGGTTGTGATTTTTTTTCATATATGATTTTTCATTATGTCAATATACATGCTTCAAGTGAACTCCCTCACAAGTAAGCTATGTTGATGAAAAATAGTATTAAAAGTTTGAAATTTGTAAATTTTTCTACTTAGCCAACACACTACTATTATCTATATAAATACATTCTTGTGGTCACTAATCTAAGTTTTTTTTCTTTTACAAAGGATTAGAATTGGAACAAGTGAAGAGTTACAAATATTTAGGCATTGATTTCCACTACGATTATAGTTTGGCACTTTGTGTACAAAAGATTATAGAAGCTAGTTTCAAAGATCTACATTCATTGCAAAATAGATGTAGAGTAGCTCATCTAGTGTCTTGGAGTCTTAGGAAATTGTTATTCAAAAGCTTATTTAATTCCCGTTATCTTATATGGAACACAAGTGTGCCGTCATGGTTGTAAGGAGATAGGTTGGCAGCGTTTGGAGAGGGTGCAAAAGATCTTACTACAAGAAGAATTGGATGTGAATACCCAAACTTCATGTGCTATTGTTTTTGCAAAAACAAGTTGTCTAACTCTTGAGGCTGAAGCTCTCTTTTTACTATCATTTAAGTCAAAAGAATGAGATATCTTGATGATTCTTGACTTTCTCTTGAAGCTTTGCATGCCACACGTTCCAAGGTGTGGTTTGCAGATGTGGTGACTTGGTATTTGAGATGGAATATGATGGAACTCGATTGGGATTTGCAAACTATTGACTTATGCGAGCGATTGGGATTTGCAACCTATTGACTTATGCGAGCGTATAAAGGAGGAATTTCTCAGCATTATTTGGAGCAGACAAGTTACAAAAATGTAGTTTTATCAACTTCATGTGAATACTATGCTTGTTTATTGTGAGCAAGGATATTTACTTGCAAAGATCTCTACTTCTTCATGTCATATTATTGCTAGGTATAGAACAAGATCTCACAGTCTTGGGAGTTAAGAAGAGCGTTGGTTGAACATTGATATGAGTGAAGGTATTTGTAGACTATGTGATGGAAGAAAAGTTAAGTATGAAAAGCATGTATTTCTTATTTGTACTAGATATGTAGAGATTTCAGTGTCTCATAGAGTTGTTGTTGAGAATTTTTATTCTTTGCTTTAGCTTGAGCCTTATGATTTAGTTGTTTACATTTGGGATATTATTAGTTATCTTCTTAGTGCTCTTGGCACTAGCTAAGGGTTCCTTTGGTTCTCTCCTAGGTTGGAGTTGGATTATTTGTATTGTGTTTTTCAACCTTTTGATCCTTTGGGTACCGAGGGCTTGATCTATTTACCGTATAACAAACACACTAAGAGTAGTAAGTGAATTAAATTCACTTACTACTGAATTTAATAATGGATTTCTCAACATGAAATATTTTTTTACAGATCAATACTCATAATCATGTACGTGAAGAGAAGGTTTGTGTTATATGTATAAAGGATGAATCATGTTTGCATACATTGAGACTTCTTCACAAACTAGACATCATCTCATATATATCTTCATAATCACTCAATAGTACATGTCATATAATTCACTTTTAATTTCATGTTGGGAACTTGTTTGTATCCTGCAGAACCCTTGCATTCACAATCACTTCATTTTCATTTTCCTTAGCATGTATATAGTCTCAATTTTCAAGTTAATTAATTCAATGACAACAACTTAAAAATATTCTAAGAATTTCCAAACACGTTTCTCATGCACATCCAATAACACCAGATTGCTGCAAAGTTTAATACTTCCACCTTGGTTGTAATCAAAACCAATGCACTTGACCATATATTCTGACCAATTTTCGTTTGACAACAATTTCACATCCCGGTATGAGTCATTTCTCCATGTATTTGATTCTACATTTTCTCTAATAATTTTCTCGTTTATAGAGTGACACAATTATCACGTTCTCACCTTCTTCGATACACATCGAAACTTTCATTTCAATTCCAAACGCGTAAGCGACGATAAAAAAAAATTCAAACAATAGTCTTGCAAGTCATTGCACCAACTATGATACCTCGAAATATTATTTTCAAGCACCCAACTTACATAGTCCTTCCCATCAAGGAAGCAACCGATTTTGTTGCAAGTAGAAAGGCTCCACAGCGACCGCAAGGTTGGTACTGTAAACCCACCATCTCAAAAGTTCCCTCCGTTGTCTGACATGGCATGCGGCCCTCTTTTGTGCCAACGGGCCATTTTTTGACATACCAGGAATCGAGAATTGGAGTAAATCCGGAACCACTTTTCTCGGTTTGTGTCCGATTGGAGCTGTGGTTGTGACTGTTTCTGTCGCCTGGTGCATCAAGTGCATGAGGAATGTGGATGCGAGGATCATACTTGTCGACTTCCGTTAGGTAGCAGCCAATCAGTCAAAAAATTATGATTTTTGCAAGTCACTGATCACATCTGCCACTTCTCACTCGAAGTGCTCAGATTTCGTGATGCCAAATTTACTCAGAATTAGCATTCCGATGGCGGAATGATTGATGTTATTCGAGTCTCTTGAACCCTAATCCGTGGGGAAGAGGAAGACAGACGATCGTGAAATCGATTCATTTGCGCATCGAGAGTTCTATCGATTGTTGTTGTCTCGAAATGAGTTGCCCATGCTGCCGACCAGGGGGGGATTCAAGCGATGGGGAGGAAGAGGAGGAAGAGGAAGAAGATGTCGGACTGCTGGATATGAGTGCCATGAAGGATCGAGTCCAGTACCTGGTCGATTCTGGCATCAGCCAGATTCCAGCTGCATTCATCAGGCCGGTGGACGAGCGTCCTCTGGGTGTGAAGGGATTCGACCGAATTCCTGTCGTGGATATGAGTGAGGTGGACGGGAAGGGCAGAGAACGCATCAGAGCAGAGGTTGGAAAAGCGTGCGAGGAATGGGGATTCTTTCAGGTGGTGAATCACGGGGTGAAGAAATCGGTTCTGGATGTCATGAGGAAGGATGGCAGGGCTTTTTTCCAACAACCGATGGAACAGAAGCTCAAGTACAGCTGCACGCCAGGAGTGATTGCGTCTGAAGGCTATGGGAGTAAGATGCTTACCAAAGATGAGCAGCTTCTCGACTGGAGAGACTACTACGATCTTCACACATTGCCCATGTCCAGGCGACGTTCAGGCAATTGGCCTACCAATCCTCCATCCTTCAGGCAGGTACTTTTTCTAGGCCATGAGACAGTTTGACTTTTTCCATGAACTTTTTGCGGGGCAATCGGATGAATTGACATTGAGGCTGACGGATATATCTCTGTACGCTGGCAGGGATTCGGTGGTAAAGTACAGTGACCAGATGAAGTGGTTGGCGGAAAAGATATTGGAACTCATCTCTGAGAGCTTAGGATTGCCTGGCACATACTTGAAGGAAGCTTTGGGAGAAGTCTCTCAAAATGTGTCGGTGAATTACTATCCGGTCTGTCCACAACCGGATCTTACCTTAGGCTTGCAAGCTCACTCGGATCTGGGAGCCATTACCATTCTGATGCAAGCGGACATTCCTGGACTGCAAGTGAAAAAGGATGACAGCTGGATTGCTGTGGAGCCTGTAGAGGACGCTCTGGTTGTAAACCTGGGTGACATGATGGAGGTAGATCAGCAGCAACAACAACCCCTTCGGTTCCTCCTGTTGGATGCATCGGCGTTTGTTCGTTTTGCGTTTTACAACTTTGTAGTTTTGTTTTTATCAAATAATGTTTTTGTGCATTCTACGGACATGGAAATTAACCGTCGACAAATTGCTCGTTGGTCTCGTCAGGTGCTGACCAATGGGAGGTACAAAAGCGTGGAGCACCGGGCTGTTGTGAACAGCGAGAGGGACCGCCTATCCATTGCAACTTTCTTGGATCCTGCGAAAGACCGCACTTTGTCGCCAGCCAAGGCACTCGTTGATGATAAACACCCCTTGCTGTACAGAGACGTCCTGTTCAGCGAATTCATCTCTGCCTGGTACTCCAAGGGGCCAGATGGCAAGAGGAATATTGACAATCTCATCCTCCCGTTGTGAGATATCTATCTCTTTCTCTGTCTTCCACTTCAAAAATCGTTTGGAAAGAATCAGTCAGCAAAGGAGTAGAACGCACCTTGTCAGCAGCTTGGCAGTTTCATTTTTCCTCTTCTGATATCATATTAGCGTTGATGAAGGCTGCAAAATGTCCATTTTTGTAGATAGTCTCACACGTGAGTTGCCAAAAAACCTCTAGATGTTGCCCTCTTGCTTTACTGCATCGTCTCCGACGAAAAGTTGTCCACTTCTTCAGCATCTAAGGAGTTGAAACGCATCCGAATCAATGAAGTATTAGTAATTTGCTTCACTTCCTTCACCACCAGCTCTTGTGCACTGGTTTCATTTGGCACACTCGAGCCGCATGGGAAGGTATCGAAGAGCAGAAAGGTTCAGATTGTTCTTCCTGTCAAATTACCTTCTTATTGAAAATTTTGATTCTGAAAGCCACGAGTTTAATGAGGCTTGAGAAAATTGATCCACGAAATTCTATGGACCCTCGTTTAAGCTTACGGAAAGTGGACCTCTTTTAAATTGAATGACAGCAGCGCCTCAAGCTTCTTACTGTCACCACAGGTGCTAAACTGCTGTACATTTGTACGCTTCAATGTGCACTTGCTGACGATCGAGGCACAATAATGCCTCGTGCATTTTATTACAAGAAGTTCCCGTCAAAGACAATTATTTGCGGTGCCACTCTAATGGTGGTGGAAACTTTCTGCCACTGACATGTCGCACGCTGAGACGTCTGATATATATTCCATCAGGTTTTAGAGATGTGCAATTGCCTTGTCCTGTGCAACTACGGAGAGCAACTTCATCAACTCAAGTAGGGTGTGTCGCTGAAAATTCCAGACTCAATTCACCATATGTGCTCATGGGAATCCACTTTCGTCAGCTGCTGATGAAGGGATAAACAAGTTGAGTCTTGCCGCGTCGCTGTGTGGACCTGCTAGTGTAGATAATCCGCATGGTCTACTTTTTCGAAATTCCTTCCGAAGCTGAAGTGCTGGGGAAAGTGCAAGAGGAATCTTTTATTAGTGTGCTCCCTGCCTAGCTGTAACCTCCTCACGAGCGTCAATTCGACCAGCTGTGGGTCATGTCTCATGAATCCAGAAGCCTGTCTGCTCTTTCTCAGCGTAGCAAACAGAAGAAGTTGTCCGTTCTTGCCGGGCTGATCAATGACATATCGTGAGGACTGGGTTCAAGAATCGTATGAGACAAGAATGCGTCGTCCACTAACCACAGAGATTTTGACGCGACACCATCAAAGAAATTTTTGTATCCCGTGCACTCTAGAGTCGCCACGCTTGCATTAGTGACTCTTTCCATTTGGAGAAGTGCGGAAAAACTGACTCATCATCTTCAAAATGACATGCATCGCAAGGCAACCTCCACGGCCACACACCCCAGCCTTCAGCCTTCGTGACCATCATCCCGCGATACCAGTGCTCTCATTAAATCCGAGAACATTTAATTTCATCAAACTGCCAAAGACCAGCTTTCTTCCCTTCTTCATGAGGCAAAACCTGAACCATTGCACGTGTAAGCCCAGGGTCATGATTGTTGGAACTGCGACCTCCCTCGAGTCTTGAACCGGCAAGATGAGACGCGCAGCAGCGACGCCATCACCAGCACCGGAAACCTCGACAAATTGCGCGCGAGTGGAGTGTAACACGGAAAGAATTACGGTGCAGTGATTTAAATTTGTGCGTTTGCGTGACGAGGTAAGTGGGAAAAATCAAGCGAGCAGCCTCGGAATTCGTGTCAGCAGCAGCATAGAGTCGGAGAGAGATGGACGACCGGACGATGACCGGGTCGAGTGAGTCGGGGACGGGCGACTCGATCTGATTTGTGCGGACTGCGGGAGGAAGGAAGGAAGGGAGGAGATTGATGGCCATGGTCGACGATAGGCGGGGCCCGGATTCGAACTCGAGCTCGCAGCGAAGGGAGGGGAAGGCGCAGGTCTGCCGCTGAAGAGGCGGACGGATTTGAACTTGAACTTGAGCTCGAACTCGACGGGAGAGGCTGCAGTGCTCGAGAGATTCCTGCGCACGTCGCGGGAGAGTAGCGAGCAAGGAAAGGCGAGAAAGTCAAGCAGAAGCGAGGCTTTGGCTGCAGCTGCCGACTCCCTCTCCCGCGGGAAGCGAGAGAGAGAGAGAGAGGAAGAAAAGGGATGACACGGAATCCATCGATTCCGCGTCTACGAAAAAGGGCTCATTGGCAGCAACCGCAGCAGAGTTGGCATCCCCGCTCGCCTCGGGGCAGAGCCGCAGAGCGAGGAGGAGGAACAGCAGGAGGAGGAAGTGAGGGAGGCTCGTTGGGCATGATTGCGCAAGCTGCCGTTGTCGGAGTTGCAGCCATGTTGATGGTTCGGCTTTTCAGGAGACTGCGTTGCTTTCTGCTTCCTGGTCTCGAGTGCCCGCTCGAGGAGAGCGAAACCGATCGTGCAGGACGCCTCGCCGAATTGAAGGTTGCTGATGTGTAAGGCCGAGCTCGTGTGTGTGTGTGTGTTTCTCTGTCGCACTGTGCCCTTGGGTGTGCACTTTCTGGCTCACTGGATGCGTCTGTCGTCATTTTTTATTGGATGTGATTTCGAAATTCTCATTGCAGCTTTGAGTTTCGCATAATCTTCATGGATACAGGAATGTGCCTTATGATTGTATGACAGTGATTTGCTTGTGTTTCGTTTTCTGTTTTCTCGGTTTTTTTTTTCCGAATTCAGAGCGTGTAGTGCAAGACGGGAATTTCTTCAGATTTTGGTCCCAGGGGTTAACTTATTGCGGCCTTTTTCAGATTTCAAGGAGTCCCAGGTGTTCAAGTTTATTCGTCACTGCGCATTCCCGACACGGGGCACAGAGGACGTCGGGAGATAGACCTAGTCCTGGTTTTGAAAAGGTACTGTTCGATAGCGATTTTCACGCTCGTCTGATTTTTCACTTGTCAGAGCTTGCTGGCTTCCGAGGTTTTCCGTGGGTACTTGGATCGTAGGGTTTCATGACGTCAAGGCACAAATTTTGGAACGTTGCAATTGGAAAATCTGTACAAAGGGCCACAATGTCTTTTAGGACTCGTTGCTGTTGTTCCGTGTTTGTTGACATCCAATTCCTGGAACATGTTTTCTGCACGGATTCACTCTGAAATGTAGATTACATGTAGATTCCTCTAGTTTCGACGTTTTGAAATTTGCTTCACTCTACTACAGGGAGCTATATGTGGTTGAGGTGAAAAATTGGTCGGGAGAAATTAGGCTACAACCTGATGGTGGCTGGTGTCAGATACGGAAAAATGGATCAGTTCAATCGCACCCCAACATCGTAGGCTCCAACTTTTCATCCCCCGGTGCCTAAATTCAGTTCCCTCTTTCTTGCAAGGAGATCTCATCTAGATGCAGCTGTCTTTCGATTTCGATATTATCCTGCCCGTAGCATTTACTTCATTCCCTCAGCTGTAGGGCTGAAATTCCTAAAGCTTTACCGTTGGTCGTGCTAGAGTTCAATATTGGATGCTTTGTGATGCATGTTGGTTGGTGGATTTGCTTGCTCGACATAAAGACTGTGCAAAGTCCTATTTGTATATTAGAGCGAACCATGTTTTGTTAAGAGGGTTAGTCTGGTTGCATATATGATTCCATTTCAGGGACCACTTTTATCTTGAGGTAGTACCGCTTGTTGAGTAAACATTGTGGTAATTTTAGGTGGAGGAAACGAAGTATAGGGCTTCACTTCTTGAATCGTATATTGCACGAAGGGGAGTCAAGTTACCTCAAGAGTTTGTTCAACCCAAAGTCATTCTTGTGAATGAAGATTGCAGGTATAACTGAATTTCCAAGTCAACTTTGTAGCATTTGATATATTGATACTCTTCATCTGTCGTTGTCCCGTCGCTTGGACCTCTGCTTTTCATCTATTTTTCATCTAAGACATGGATGTTATGGATTCTTTCCTCTAGGCCCGAGCAAGCTATCGTAATGCAGCCGGAAGTTCTTCTACCTGACCAATGGCAAAATTTCTTGGAAAGAAACTCAAGCAGAGGATTCATGAGCTGGTTGAAGAAGTTAGCAAAACCGAGTGCAAAACCGGAGGGTCTCAATGACGCCGCCCACAAGCAACTGCACTTCATTCTTAGCACTGCTCCAACGTGGGATAGGTAACAAAATCTTGAAACCAGACGTTTATTCTCTTTCAACCGATACATTGTCTGTCATGGTGCTCACTCTTAATTGGCTCGTAAAGATTGAGCCTCCTCTCTTATTTCCTCATTTGAATTGGCTTTTAGATCAAGGGTTTAATATACCATAAGGCTTCTAATGAGCCTTATGGTAAGAGACTCCATACGTCTTTCCAGCTGTGATAATTCCTTTGGAAGGCCAGATTGCGTTTTGCTTGGTTGCATGGCTACAATATGAACGTCCTAGCCTTTTGCGTAGAGAAAATGGCGATGCAACTGACACGATCCCCTTGAGGAGATGAGGAGATTCTACATTTTGAAAACGATAACCTCTTGACATTGTCGTGCTAGCTGTTGCGTTGGATCAGCAATGCAAGGTTGCCATTGTTAGTATTTTGCATTTCCAGTAAATTTAGACTGCTTCTGGGGGTGTAGTTTGCTAATAACTTTTCAGATGTTTAGAAGGGGCCAGTGTTTTTCATTACCAGCGAATCCCATTTAGACTCGTCGTTCTTGCAGGCTTGTTTTAGTTGGAGGTTCAACATTGGTAGGAGACTTTCAGCGATTTAAAGGAACTCAAGAGGATTTGGATGCGCTGAGACGAATGAAACGATCAAACATTAGCCAAATGTCCGTCAGTCACCAGAGGCGGTGGCTTCCCCAGATTATAGGTAAATTCTCCATCTGCAATGTGCTCCACCAGTATTTACATACTATTGACATGCGACAGGGTATAGTCGACTATCAGAGGAAGGAATGATACATATGCTATCACTTTCTCGTCCGGTAATTAATGGATGTGGGTGTAGGATTCCTGTATTGTGAGTTTGCAAGAACACTAAGGTCTTACATAACATCGTTTGTCCTTTTCACAGGAGCTATTATTGGTGCCAAACCTTTCGTCAAATTGGTAATGAGTTCTAGGGATTATCGTGAAGGGAATCCAGGGTGGTCTGAACGTAAACAACAGGAAGTAATGAATGAAGAGATTGAAGTTAGGTCTGGGCTGGAGGTAATCTTTAGAGTTGTAGGTCAGTCAAAGCTCCAAAACTTTCCTGTAAATAGTATTTCAGTGATGACTTTGAGTGCCTAGGATATGTCAATACACCTGTGAATAGAACCCGCCAAGAACTTTAGTTGAGCATATATAAAGTTGAATGAATTGTTAACGAAAACAATTCTTGTTGGATTAGATGATGGTATCATTTGAACTGGTTCTCGAAAATAACTGGTTAAAAAATTCATTTTAAAATATTCATGTTTTGAGAATCACATTAGTGATGTATGGAAAGATGGGTCGATGATGTTTTGCCACAGTTTCTTACTATAACCTTGGAATTTAGTGGGTTCGACAAGATTTCAGAAACCTTGAAATGACCCCCTCATTTCTTCCACACCTACTAGAGAAGTTGGGGAACGATCAACGCCATCGAATTGCGATGATGTAAGGTCGAGTAAATCATTGTGAATAGATGTTTGGCGATAGTTTTATACTTTCATCCTGAAACCTAGTGGGTTTGACAAGATTTGAGAAACTTTGAATTGACATCTTCATTTCTTTCACATCTACCAGAGAAGTTTACTAGATTCTCAACACCATCACATCACGATGATGCAAGGTCGAACAAGTCACTTCGTAATAAACCCAATAGAGTTCATGTCACTCCAATGGAAGCAGTACCTTTTTCCAGTTGGCGTCCGATAAGAAATATCACATTTTCAAGTTCTTTGTGTGTTGGATCAAAGCGTAGCGCCTGCATGCAGACGTCAAAATATTAGGAATGGTTTCTGACGAACAACATGACAGACGAGACGAGAAACCCGCCAAAATTAGGTCCGCAATAAAGGAACTTAGGATTAACCTCACCACATTCAAAAGTTCTTACTGTTGTGTCCACACCTTTTCGGCCTGCGGTTGTCAACTCACCTCCGTGAAAATGTTGAGAGACTGGGGAAGTTTTCCTTGTCCATACTTAGCCCTGCCCTGTATCATTAGAACTTGTTGCTTTACTCTTGCCTCCCAGAAACCAGAGTCTTCAGCAGCTTCCTGTGCTTTCAAGCAGGTTGCAAGAGAGAGATTTGAAAACTGGACCCTTAAGTCGGAACTTAGTGGACCTTCTTCATCTCCTTTTGAAAGCTGGAAATCTAATCGTGGAGCCATGGCCACAACATCTAAGGGCGTCACATCTCTCAGAAGATATAGGGCCTTCATGCAGTCCCTTTCAGAGTCCTCATAATCTTCCAACTGCAGCCAGCAAGCTGCCCGGTTTGCGAGGGATCTATGGCGCCCATGTCAAGGAACGCACCGAATTGCCACAGTCCACCGACGTCGAGGTTTAAACACACTACATGTACATGGTATAGGGTTGGATACAGTAATAATGAAGGGTTAACTTCCAATGCACTCGTGTACGCATTTATTGCACTCCTGTAGTCTCCAGATCTGCAGGACGCCCACTCCACGAATCGTACCATGAAATTGTTCATTTACAGTTGTCTTTGCATGAACTAGCAATTGCAGGTGATATGATCATGCGATTTGTATATCGCATGATCACGGCTTCGTTTATATCGCCAGTCATTGCTACATGAAGTTCACCTCTGTGCCGGTACAGGGCATCTTTTCGCAAGCCGGAACAGAATTGCTCGTTTCACGAGTTTTGCCTCCGACAAACTCGAATGTTGTGGACCCAAAGTCAGCAGACGAGTACGACGGTACGACCAAACCAGAGAGACACAAATAGGCATTAAGCTGAGTAATGAGGAAATGCATAGTTTACCTGTAAAACTTATCTGCCTTATCTTGAAGAAAGAGTGGCTCTCTGAAACAAGAAAACAGTTGTTAGGAAAGAACCGATTGAATACTAGACGCTGCAGCGATCGATCTTCGTCATGTATAGTTATGAGTTGAGAACATATTTCTTGTGTTCCTTCACGGACTTAACGAGGGTTTGCACGACTGACTCCATCTGTAGCTTTGATGCAGTGCGATAAGTAGTTTCACCGTGTGACCCGCACCTCTCTCTGGTTATAACTCGTAGATGAATTACGACAGTGTTATAAGAACTGCTCAAATTCAGCCTTACCGTTCTACAGGATTTGAAGCATCTTTGTTTGCGTTCTGCTGTTTCTTCAATTCGACTCTGTCTGCAGCATGGCGTAAGAGAGACTTTCAACAAATGATGGATTGAGTGCAAATTGACCTCAAGCATTGAGTACCTAGAATGTTGTTTCTGCAAGTACCCTGACGTGCAGTCCGGTTGTTACTCGTGGATTGAAAAGGGAAATGGAGTATGCCCTGATGGTTTACCTCTACTTTCGCGAGCTGGCAGGTGGACTGGCCTATTTGGTTTCGAACTAAAAGTAACAGAAAGACTGGAGCATCTTCTGGGGGCTGGTAGCAAATACGCGGTTGGTGGAAAACGGAAATCGTCTCCAGGCTTTTCGAAGTATTCTATCGGTTCGATGCTATCGCTACTCCTTTCACGCTGGTGACATTCCCTGACAACATGAAGATCCGCTCGTGTCTTATTTTCAGAGGTCGTCGTCACAACCATGTCTTCATTCTCAGATTCAGGGCACTTGGAGTCTGAGAATTTCTGCATATCGGCTTTTGGTATCGGGTGCTGCCTTGCAGTAGATGATGCCATCCAGCTTTTCAGACGCTCCTGACGTGTGCACGAACACTCGTAGCAATCAGACTTGTTGCCTGGGTTGGTTTTTTGTTTTAGTATTTCAGTTCATTTCTAGAAGCTATGGTAAAGTGTTGACTGCATGTACCTGCTCAATTCTTAACTCCTGTTGCTTCTTTAGCTCGATAGCTTTCCTCTTGGCCTTCAACAACAAAAATTTAAATGACGAAAGAAATATCCGTCAGCATTGTCAAGCTTACATAACAACATTCACTAGCACATGTCACCATGCCTCCCGACCTCGTCTCTCGAACATAACGAATGTAAGCGAGTATTAGCCACGTGTATTAGACAAATATATTACTCCTGACGAGTTTGTTGACTGAATCTACATGCACTTACATCCTCCAGTTTCGTCTGCTCCCCCACCGCTAGCCGCCCTATGTTCGAAAGCTTCACCGGAATATCTTCTCGATCCTGCATGCATCGACTCACGACACACAAAATGTTCGTCGGTGGTGGTGGTGGTGGATATTATCTCAAATAACACTGTGACAAGCAGACTGCAACGAACTTCGATTGCAGTTCCAAACAATCATGAGAACAAACGACGTAGAGCTAGCCCGATCACCTTATGTGCTTGCTCTCTAATGTCTGCCAGAGAGCGCTGACGGCGATTCAGAATCTTTTGTCTGTCTCCCGGCATGGTTAATCTTCCCCACAAACCTTGTTCTTTCTGTCAAACAGAAGTGTGAACGAGAAGTGCAACATCTTTCAGATTGGTTCGTCGACCGAGAGTTCTCGTTGAGATGAGATGAGATGGACGAAATTCGAGTTTAGTGATGGAGACGTACTTTGACGAAGAAAAATTTAACAGAATCTTGTCCAACGGTGGCAGAACTTTTGCGACCATCAATGTCACCGTACAAATCGGCTTCAAAGAAGTAAGGAGCACAATTCACTTTGGCATAGCAGTCCGTCACTGCATCCGAGTGACATCACGAGCGAGTTTGATGTTCAGAAAGATTCGGCGCACAGGTGAGGTTATGAAACAGGGGTTGGGAATAGATTTGCCGCAAAGTTGCTGAAAAGGGAGGACAAAATTCACGAGAATCGACAGCTTTCGGTTTCAATGTACTCATGATGTTCGCTGATGACGCTGTCACGGCGCGAATTTTGACGTCGACCGAAACCCACGTTTCGCCCTCGTGCCACTCATGCGCTGGAGTGATTGGCATTTCTCCGGACTCGATCTCTGGATCGATCGATAGATCTTGACAAACTTCGGTGGCTTTCAAGTTCACCCTGAACACGTTAGCTCAGCCCCTGATTGTCGCAAAACTTCCACGATTACCGCAACCTAAAGAGAACAATCGACTCCATATCCTACGACACTTCTGCTTGCAAAATCCTCAAATTGTTCACGTTCTGTTTTGAGCACTTCCATGCTCGAAGATCATCGTGAGGTTTAGGGTCTAGGGCTGCCGCGCTGCCTAACGTCTCGTTCTGAGGTTCGACCGCGCGAGGTGGTAACCATAGCACACTCCGTCTGATCAAAATCTCGAACCAGTACTGGCAATCGCGAAGTTGGCTCTGTTTGTTTGCAGACCGGACGCTCGTGAGTCATGAATCAGAATCCTGACCTCCTTTTCCACATTCCGTTTCTTCCTGGACCGAGCATGTTACGTAGCAAATAGCCATGGAGGAAAGGTGGCACAAGCCATGTTACACTACAGTAGTGCGTTAACATGTGCGAAGTATGTATTCGGTACCGGGACTCTGCCTGCGAGGTGAAACGCCTTGCACAATTAGGCTTGACTCGTTACCAAAAAGAACTAGTGTATTCTGTGTGTATGTTTCGTGGCGTAACAATTATTTAACATGTACTATCTACCATATGAAATTATATCAGAATAGATTTTTATTCTTTTTTATTTTTATCATGCCAATTGATATTCAGATAGAAAATTTATTCCCAATACTTGTCAATTTATAGATATAACAAATGATCTAACTCAACGTGTATTAGTTATTATCGAATGTGATTGTATGTAACTCAGATATAGTTATTCTTTGTACATCTTACAGTTACTTAGGGTCTACATGAGTTTGCAAAAACTATTTACCAACACTACACGTCATACAATTTGCAAGATTGCGATAACAACAAAATATAAAAATAAAAGGTTTTTCTATTAGTATTAGTGTTTCTATTAATATTAAAGTAATATAGAGCTAAGAATGTGACTCTTACATTTTCTCATTATATATTAATAAGATAATGTAAGATTATAATTATCTTCCGTTCATAAGTAACTGCGCATTTCTCACACGCAAATCTGGAGTGCAAGCTTTTTGGATGGTGTCTCTGTACACTTGGCGTGAAGTCTATCAAATAGCTACTTATAAGTAGTTTGACAAAATGTTCATCACCGACCTCTGTACATTAGGCATTTTAAAAAGATATAATATCATTAATTTCAAATATTTTGAGTGTCTAATCTTCAAATTATATCTCGAGTATTTTCAAAAAGGAAAATTTCCAAATGGTTGAACAACAAAACTATCGAACGTACTAATAAGTTTCGTCTATTTCCAAATACAATGCTCGTCGAGAGTGAATTCTCAATATTCAAATTAAAAAAAAACACTTTGAACATAACATTGATTGACTTTTCTCTAGAAATATTTCTCCAATGTAAATAGTATGATATGTTGCGCACCTTGAAGCAATAAAACAGAGACATTATGTTTTCTGAGAGAATTACTGCTTAAGATACATGCAAGAATCATTCTCATTTTCATGATTGTACGTAACCTCGTTGATATGTTGTCTATTAAGTTAGCTCATAGAGACTGAGAAAATAAAATTCATTCAGATAATGATGATTGAACACGAGCAAGATCCATATCAGAAACTCTTCTGATATGGATTGAGCTGAGGTTCCAAACTTGGAATTTGGGCAAATAGGAGAAAAATAGATACATTCGCCTAAAGCTATCAGGAACAAGGAGTTGAGAGAAATTTATTTAGATCAAAAAAAATTTATGTCTTATATTTGGGAGAAATTTTGGTTGAATCTGATAGAATAAATTTAGTTTAAGATTCTTTTCTGTAATATTTGTTGAAATTGAATTATTACTCTGTAAATCAGAATTAAAATCTATGTAATATCAATCTTGGATCTCTTTTTAAAATCCTAATCGTACCTCATTTCATTACGGATATGTGCCTAGTATGCTTAGATTAGGCACAAATAGGGGTATGCCTAATCTACAGAGAGGCTTGTTCATCACTCTTGCAAATCAATTCTAATTCGCGATGATCTATTTGAAACAGAATGCTACTGGTTGTTCTAGCCTTCTGGTGTCAATACGATGCTTCCGACTTGAATATGTAAATTTAAGTCAAAATTCAAATGTGGGCAAAAAGAGTAAATTAATGCTCCAGGAGCTGGATGGAGCTGATTCTGAATAGAAGTGTAGAAAAGAGCTGTATTTATTATCTGAATATAATTAGAGTTGCACGCAATCACAGCAAGCTGAATATATATGGGGAGATAATTATGCATTTTCATTAGAATATTCATTATGGAAATAGTTTTGCCAATAGCCAATTTAAAGATTGAGCAACTCCGCTAAATCCTACTGTTGTTGTTGTTTTTTTTGGTTTTGTTGAGAGTAAGAAGATCTTTCATGCTCACGAGCAAACATGCATTCATTTCACACAACAAGACAATCGACATGCAAAAATATCGACGTGGCTCCTCATTACGACCTATGTCCACAGGAACACAGCGGTTAAAAGTCTTCAGCTTCACTTTATTCACTAAATATCTTGAAAAAAGTCTTGAGAGTTTCGATATATAACACTCCTGTATAATGCCAAACTAATTAGCTTAATAACTCAATTTTAAACTAATCACAGTTATGATTCTTCGGTTAGTTTTCAAGGGCCTTGTTGGCCATGTCACCTTTAGTTCTACCGTCCATTCCAGGGGCTACATTTTCTTTAAGCTTTTTGTAGCCAGCTCTGAAGTTAGATTTGAATGCATTCCTGATAAACATATTGTTGATGCTCAGTAGTAACAAATGCTGATTTTTTCTTGTTTTTTTTTTTCAAATTTTTATTTGCCCATTGATGATATTTCAAGATAAGAAGATTGGTTTACAGAAATAGTTTATGTTAAATTTTTCGACATCCTGTAAAATATATTTCTTTAAAATAATTTTAATTTTTATGATTTTGTCATGAACTTTCCAAGAAATATAATGGGAAATTTTTTCTATCATCCTTCAAAATATATCTTTAAAAAATTGTTTTAGTCATTATGATTTTGTCATGAACTTTTCAAGAACTATGATCGGAATTGTTTATGGGTTTTTACGTGATTTTTCTTTTAATATGTTATGCTATTTAATAAAATGGATTTAAAATTTTCATTTTATAATAAAAAATTAAGTTAATAAAAAATATTATTTTCCATATGCATAAATGTGATAATTAAAATTGCAATCATCAATATACAATATATTAATTCGGCATAATACATAAATATACCATAAATTTAGAAACGTAGTAAAGCAATAAATTCTAATATAAACATTATGTTATAATATATATTACGTTTCCAAAAAAAATTTGAAAGTCATTTAGTTTGATTTGAAATATGAATTATTTTCAAATAAGAATCAGTATAACAAGATGTATTAAGTTGAAAAAATTAATTAATTTAAATAAAAAAATTGGATGAATTTAAAGACTCTAATGAAATTCTGTTATGTTGATGTTTTCTTGATATTAGTAAAGAGTGTAATACGGGATATGCAAAATAGTACATTTCATGTAAGTTTCACATGTATACCAACAATCAAGATTTTATACCAATATCAGCATAAAATTTGATAGCAAATCTGAATCACTCACGTTATCTCATTTTTAGTATTGTAATCTTCTATAAGATATAAAATATAATAATTTTCAATCATATGAGATAATGAATTAAGATGTTAGAAATTAAATTCATTTATTTCTAATGTTTTGATAAATGAAATAGCTTTTCAATACTAGGAGCAAGTAAATAACATCAAGCTGTTATAAATAAGTTTGATCACTTCTTCTTGTTGCTATACTCTATTGATTTCGTTTATTCTCATGTAAATATATAAACCCTACCCTAAACTTCTCTATCTATCTTATTCATTACTATAAATCAGTTTAACAATCCTACAATAAACTCGATATGCACACCAGAAGCATTGATCTCAACAAAAGGTTTAATGTAAGCACATTTTTGTTATAAGACAAAAGTGTACATAATATTGTAGACTCACGTTTCACAATTTAAAAATTTCCAGACCTAAAAATGTATGGCGGTTTATTGTATTTATAAAAAGTTTCCTAGAAAACAATCTAAAACACGATTACAAATTTTTAATCATCCTATTCATTGCAAGAGCAACACTACTAGTGGGAAAAAGGACACAAATACACATCTACCTACTTTGTAAATATGGACTATCAACTTTTCAACTATAGAACTTGTATATAGTTTGACTTTGTTACGTTATTGCAGTCATATATTTGATACAACTGACATTTAGTTTTAAAAACGAAATTTCATCTCCTGACTACCTTTTACTTAGTTTTCTTCTCAATTTGGACTCGTGGATCAATCGATCAACACCGGCCACTTGTATAAATAGGACCCTCAAATTATCAGATATATTAGTGCAAAACTTACTTCTGCTTACTTTCCATCTATTGACAATTCAAAAAGCAAGCAAGATGTGAGCTTAGTTCTTTTTCTACATGTCAAGATGGAGTTGTATTCGTTATGTTACATGCATACTCTATTATGATAGATACACAAATTTGTTTCATTATCCGGGAATGTCGCAAGAGCAAGCTAGAGACTAGCAAGTCTTTAGTTTGGGTGAGCACAATATCACAATTGTCACCAGCAGCGGTTTAAGTGTCGCTGCCAGATTAGGCTACAACTAATTTAAAGTGACAAGTTTGGGTTATCGTTAAGTCCAACTCTGCTTATAATAATTTGGAGTTTACAATACCTTTTGCGCTGTAACTTGAGGCCGATTTTCTTGTGGTGGCTCAAAAAAGTATATATTTGTATGGAAAGCTCGGTTCGTTGTGCTCGTGCCAGCTAGAAGAGCATGTCAATACTTTTTAATGTTTTTTCTTTTTCTGTAAGACTCATGCAGTCATTGCTTTATTTCGATCCCAACTGCTTCGAGACAAAATCCGTTTGGAAGGCACCAATTACAAGAAAGTTTTCAGAATATTCCAATCACATGTTATGTGTACAAGGAGAATCTCTTTTGATGAAAATATCCCAGCTACAGTATTACGATAGAATCTATGCAATCTATGCCTTCCTTCGCATACGGCGGACCATAGGAACAAAATATATTTGACAATTAAAACCGTCTCATGATTAAAGTCAACATCCATCCGCTTTGAACCCGAAAATCACTTCTTACTTCAAGAAGTTCTCCAGCCGAAATCTTTCAGACTCAACGGGGGATTGTGTGGTGTCAACCTCCACACTTGCTGCTTGGTTGCTAGACACCAGCCCCTTACGGATGATTGTGAAAGTATTCTTGCAGAGGTACGAGAAACAAGACTAGATAACCTCACTCAGTGCACATAGCTGAGACTTGACCACATCTCCGACCGTGTAGGATTTCAATTCTATCACATTTTTAAAGATAAGTAGCTTGTAGGCTTTATAAATATCATATCTCAATTCTTGTGCGTCAATAATGCCCAAAGGATAAGACAGATATAAGTAGGAAACTCCATTTCTGTGCGCGGAAAATACTCTTGTCTTCTGACACTGGAAAGTACTCTAATACTTTCTCTTTTTTTTCCTTTAGTATTTCAAAATGTTTCTCTCAAGAAACCAAACATTAAATGTGAACACTGCAAGTGGTCAACGAAACATGCTAGAGGTAGTAAATGGGCATGATTCGAAGGGTCTTTTCTAAAAGTCAATTTTTTTTTATTAATTTGTTCTTGTCCAGCTCATGGGCTCCGTGGAAAATGTCAATTGTTGTTGGAAACAAGCACGTGTTTTTTTGGTAATACTGGAACGATCTCCTAGACTGTTTCTCTCTATTCTTTAGGAGAATCCGATGTTTCACAAAGAATAAAGGAGAACAAAAGGCCAAAATTCTCTCCAAGAGACCGGAATTGGGCTCGATTCTAAAAGACTTTAAAATTTGCTTTTCATTCAATTTTTTCTTTTCCCGCTCATGGAATCAAGTCATGGGCACTACATGGTATGTCGCAATTCACGAAGGGCCTACCGGGGACTAGCGCCATGTTACACGTTTGGTTTCATCTATATGAGACTTGATGGATCTCCCTTTTTTTTCTGAAAGCTGAAATATCATTTCAGCTACACAAACCCAGCTTAATCAAAGAACCCAAAATGGGCTTTCATCGAAAAGATAACCTCGTAAGGAAAATATGTTATGCCCCAAGGCTTTTTGAGCTTAAAATATTATTTTTATATACCCTTCTTGTAAGCTCTTTCAGTTATCTGCAATAATAATAATAGTCTGATCATGCAAAACCGGAAACGGAGGAGATTGATCTGCCATTTAAAATAACGACCACAATTTTTAGCCTGCTAAGTTGGGACGGTCTCGAGTTCCACCTACAGCCGAAGAAAATACTGGACTTCTCAAACCCACCCATTAGACCGATGGCGATGGTTTTCGGCCATACAACGCGCCTCCACGACCGATTGACTGGCTCATGCCCCGGTCTGATCCTGGTCGGTGGTCGGTCCCGCATTGACCATTGATTATCGCACGCTCGCTTGACCTAGGAGCTTCTCGCGAGATGACCGGAGCGATCTGAGAATCAGATCCCTCCCGCCCCGGGCAAGGAACAGTATCCGGTTGTGACTTGTGCTGGCGTCCCGGTCGTCGGGACTGCTTCTCTCACCTTCGCCTCGACGAACTCCGTCGGCCGACGACGCATCACCTGCAAAAACAACCACGACGACGACGCGGTTGGTGGGCTCGACGACAGATGGAGACTCCTCAGTCTTCGGTAGGATTCTGGAATCTCCGCGGTCGTCTTACGAGGAAGCGTTGGGTAACCGTGAGACCCGATGGACAACGCTGCGAAGGCGCAATCGTGACTGAACTGACTTAAATCCGATGGATACCGTTACCAACCCACCACCGAAACCGGTTCTTGTCGGTAGGGCGAGGAGGAATAGATTTTCAACCGCCGTCACCTTTTCCGGATCGAGCAAGTTTCAAAGTCCTACGTAGATGGCAAATCGAGGGATGGCCTCCTCGTACAGCACAGTACAACTCAGCAAGATACCTCTCAACCGCCGGGGCCCGTGGCCATCGGTCGGAGTTGACCGAATGGACACGCTCCAAACCTGCTTCGCAAAATCTAGTCCTGACTCCCAACCCCAAGTCAAGGGAAGGACGCAATGCTTCGGACAATAAGTGCTGAGAGATGTAGCGCATTAAAGTCCGGTAAGGAATGTCTTAGGTCATCAAAACGGGCTGTCCTACGGCACCAAGTCGTGTCTAGACCTACGTGGGCATCGTCGTGAGAGGAGATTTTCGGTCCTGATATCTGCCGTAGCCCCGGTCACTTTTGGGCGATTTTGACAGAGCAGAACGGAATTCCTCAGCGCGGCTCCGCGGGATTTACCCTGGCCTTTATTTTCCACGTGTAAGCACTTGTCTCCTTTATTTCGAGAAAGGCGATTTTTATCATCGGACGGACGCGCAGCGTTCCGTCGATTGTCGTCGTCATCTTTCGTGTCCGTACCTCGACCGCCGTCGAAACCGTGGTATGGGCTGCTTACGTCGTTGGCTCGAGACTCCAGTTTCCGCGGAGTCCAGTGCGCAGTATGTCTCTCGGGGAGCTTTCAAGGCGCGGAGGAATATCGGAAAAGGCGGTTTATTATGGAGATGGGTGGAAAGGGCTACTCCGTTGACGACTTCGTGAGGCCAACTGGCAACGGAGGTCCACGTTGCCGAATCGACGTAGTAGCTGAGCGATCCCTCGGAGAGCTCAACCACATCCTTGACTAGTGGGGAACCAACATCCGCGCAAGTCATGCAGGCGCAAGCAATCATGAGCCTCACGAGCCTCTGATCGAGAACATGTCTCAGAAGGCAAAATAATCGCACGAGGGAGTACAAATGCTCGAGGATCGCCGGCCATCGTCCCCATTTCTGCAATCTCGGCTTCAGATATTCGACGTGCGGCCGGGACTGGAGATCCCCGTCCAGTCTCGCTCAGGAAGGCAGGCAGGAAGGAAGGAAGGAAGGACGAAATCAATTGTTGCAGTCGGAGGGGATTTGGGACGAGCTGGCCTTCTCGTGGATCGATCGATCGATCGATTGATTGATTCTGCCGCACGGAAGGTACCGCAGGGCCTAAGCTGGCCTAGCTCAGCTCAGCTCAGCCCAGCCCAGCCCAGCCCGCTGCATGCGCCACATGTTGCAGATCGACGGTGGAAAAGGATGCCGAGGTCCACGTGAGGCAGATTGGGATTGGGGGGAGGCCTAAGAGCTTGCAGTTTGTGCTAGGCGCTTCTGCATTAGCGTGTGCAGCAGCTTTCATGTGAGCCTTGTGTTGTCGACGAGTGATCTCACCATTTCGGATATCGAGTGGTGGTGCTCGAAACATTTGCACGGATCAGATAATCTGAAGCAATTGCGAACCGCTGTGAATGCAACGGATTGAGCTCGTCCCGTTCATGTACAGGCTCTGATAGAGACGAGAAGTTCTACGGGTGAGGCTCGAGCGAGATCTGTCGACGGATTCAACAGCCCGTGGCTGGCTGGAGGACACAGAGTTGGAATATGGGAGGATGTCTGTCGTGCAACTGGGTAGCGTGGAAGGAGAAGTCACAGGAGAAGCTGTATAGAAGGTGCGGGTTGGAGTCGAGGCAAGTGATAATAGACCAAGGGGAAACGAATGTGCACTGCTGGGTGCCGGCGGATCAAGGCGGATCTTCGAGAAGCAAGCCCGCTCTGCTGCTGATCCACGGATTTCAGTTCGATGGGCTGGTGGGATGGGAGAATCAGGTGGAGGAATTCTCGAAGCATTTCAGACTGTACATCCCGGACCTCATCTTCTTCGGAAGGTCGTACTCGAAGAGCGCAGAGAGATCGGAGATTTTTCAGGCCGAGTGTTTTAAGAAAATGATGGACGAGCTGGAGGTGGAGCAGATTTACGCCATGGGGACTAGTTATGGAGGCATGGTGGCCTATCGCTTGTGCCACCTCTACCCTAAGTTCGTGAAGAAGCTCGTGTGCTGCAGCTCGGGTGTCATGATGACGCCCACCACCAACGACCGGCTGCTGCAAGAGATCAACGCCAGAGATATCAACCAAATCCTCGTTCCTCAGACCTTGGAAGAGGCCAGACTGGGAATGTCCGTGGCCACCGTCATGAATGTGCAAGGCATTCCGTTGTTCCTCATCAAACCTTTGTGGGAGGTAATGCGTCTCACTCCATGCACGACCGAGCTCGATGAATTTCTCGCTCTCTCAATTCCGGCCATCTGCTGTGTGCCCGAGAATCTGCTCTTCAGTACGCAGCAATTTCGTAGATTACTCAGAATTTGCATCGTTTAGATCTCAGCAGGAACATCAGGCTCTCATAGATGTAATGCTGCCAGTGGGATCCAGGCTGATTGAATAAATGTATCGGTTGGATTATCAGCGTTACTTCAAACGGAACATGAGGGAGCGAACCGAGCTGCTCGCGGGCATGATCATCAGCTCCGTCGGTGCACCACCGATCCCGAGAATCACCCAGGTATATGCTGCTCCATTGACACTGGCGGGTCCGTCCGCTCATACGCTGCGGAGTCCAAACGTCCTACTTGCCTGGAACTTCGAGCCCCAAATTGATCTGATCACCACTTTTGCCTGTCTGTCGTGTCTGTTGGTTATCCGCAGAAAACGTTGATTCTGTGGGGGACGAAAGATAGAATTTTCAGCACCGACCTCGCGGAAGAACTCAAAGAGTGAGCTGCTGACCTCAGCCTTTCTTCTGCGCCTCCTGGCCACGATTGTACAGCTCTGCCTTTCGATTTGTCGCAACATTGGCTCAAGTAATCGTGTGAGTTTTACTGACCAGGTACTTTTTTTTAAAAAAAAGTGTTTTTTAATTAACGGCATATCTTCCAATGTTTGCAGACACATAGGAGAGAGTGCAAAGCTCGTCTTCATTGAGGGCAGCGGTCACATTCCACAGGTTGAAAAGAAAAAGGAGTTCAACGCGGAGGTCCTCAATTTTTTGCTCGATCCACTTCCCGAAGGGCACAACAAAAAAGAGTGACATCTTCTGTACCTTCTCCCCAAATTGGCAGTAAGTAGTTAGATTAGGCTGCAATTGTTTTGCTCCTGTAAATACATTCATACGGTCCTGGTGGTCTCAGACAGACCTCGGATACTAAATTTATGTACGAAGTTTCTAGAGGATAAGGAAGCAAACTGTGATCCATTCGTGATTAATAATGGAGCTGCGATTAAAGTAAAAGTGCGTGATTGACATCCATTACAGTCCGTGGAGAGCTCTTTTCTCCAAAGAGGTTGTCGAAATTTGTCTCTACGTGCAAACAGGTACTGTCGATATCAACTGCGACAATTGTACAGCGCTCTCCTTACTTTCTCCCAAGACCTGTGATGAGTTGCTTGCATAACTGCTACGACAGCAAAATCTTCTCACGAGAGATCTTGATTCAAGTTGCGATTCTGCACGTCCGATTGTACAGACATGGCGTAGGGAGGCGAATGAACCCAGTGTTTAAACGGTGCTCTAACATGGAATGAGATTGTGTCCACATTGATCACACCAGGCAGACTTAGAAGATTAGTGGAAGAAGACGAAGCAGTTGAGTAAATGGAGTATTTAATTATCACGAAGGAAGTATAATTGGAGGTGAAAAATGAAGACCTGCCAGACCACATGAACCCAGCGAACATATTATAGAGCAATGAAGAACAGGATAAGGAGAACGAACCCAAAACTGTTTGAAAAATGTGGAATGGGGAAGAGTGAATCTGTTCCATGATGACTAAGAGATGTCTGAAACTATAAATCTGTTCTCATCATACAGTCAGCATTATTTATTCACTAACGTCCATTCTCCTGCAATATCTAACGACGAATCGGACTTTGGATACGTAAGATAAAGTGGATGGGCATACGTCCTCTCAGTTTCCCATTCTCCACCTGACGAAGTCATTGTGGTCGAAAGTGGCGATTCAGGTTTGGCACTCTGCCTCTGCCTCGTGCATTTGCCTTCAGCTTTCCGGAGTTCTACTCTGTCCTCTACTCTGGCCGCCTCTACTCTACTCTACTCTATTATTGCCTTGGTACTATCAATCGCTCCCCTGTAAAACAAGCAGAAGACGGACAGCGTCGTTGTCCTCTTCGATGTGGTTCGCAATTCGCCTGGCCTTCCTCAGCGACGTCTGGTGCCGACAAATCGCTGTTACAGGCACTAAGTTCGCCATCGACAAACACGTGGAGAAGTCTTCCTACTGATACGTCTACCTTCAACTCGAACCACTATGCAGATTTTATTTAAGGAAATAAGAGGACGAAGAGGTCGAGTAGTAACATGAAGCATCGTGGATGTCGAAACGCCGCTAAATTTGTGGGACACCGAGAGCGAGAGAGAGAATGTGTGTTATCGGGTCAATGACAAAGGCAGTCAGATCGACAATCGAGGCACAATACTCAATCGGACTCGAGCAAACTCAGTCCAACGTCAGCACATCTTTTCTTCTACTTTCTGAGCATCATCGTATGGATGTTCAGGTCAATGACTCCATTCGATAATCTGTGAAAAAGCTCGCTGATTTAGTGGTACAAACATAGGATTCCATTCAGACCAGAGCAGAATAGATGGCTGGAAGGCTCGACAACTCGAAGGAGATTAGTGCTGACAGAGGAATTTTTCATGAATAAATGAATGGAAACACACGAGTGACAGAGTTCTCGAAGATGGCTCGTGGAAACTTTTCCGTGTAACTCGATCTGGTAATGGACGGACAGACAGACGGAGGGAAGGAATATGGTAACGATGTGGAATACTGCAATCCGTGGAATATTTTATGATTCTGCACCAATCGGCATAAAACTGCTTTCCAGCTCTGAAGCAAGCTTCGATCCTCGAATTCGTAGACACAGTGGTTGAGATGTATTCACGCTGAGAGTGAGGGAGGGAGGGAGTGAGTGAGCCTTGTCTAAGATCTGAGGTTATGAGACGAGAATGCTATGGTCGAATACGCCGGCAGGGTGCTGCCACGAGTTGGAGAACCGGAAATTTTGGTCTCGACTGAACTCGAATCTTTCAAGGACACGGACTCCATGTTCGATGAGTGAACATCCGAGGGATTGGAAACATCCAGAGCACCTGGAGGCAGCTCATTACTTCCCTGTTGCGCTGACTTTTGCCCCATCTCCAGCTCCTCCTGAAGAGTTGGCTTTGGTGCTCCGTAATACCACCAGTATAGAATCAGTTGTCCAATCCCCAGAACAACGCCGAAAAAGTTGGGTATCTGCCATGATCCATCATTACCGCCTTCAACTTTAGTACGGCTTTATCATAATCATCACACGATCATGTTCAAAAAGCTCACTCATTCCTATTTCTATTTCTATGTTCTCCATAGACGTAGATATTTTATTGGATAAGTCTCAGTGATCTTTGTCCACTGACCATGATGTAGATGTCTTTTTTCAGGAGGGCATAGGCCGACCATGCTGCGCTGTTCAGTAACACCATCACCGACAGAGGAAGAGGCATATACTCCACACTCTTCGTTTTGATTACAACACGCTGTTTCAGCAAGCAGATGAACCAAGCCACGTACGACCATCACGTTAGACTCTCGAACCTTTCATATGGACTGCCGTATTCTTATGAAGCTTTTGAGTCCACCTTCACGAGCTACAGCTTTACATTATGAGAACTTTACTCGTTTTAATGGCAGGGTTCGGGGATTACGGTAAGTTATGGTCACATATAAATTAAATAAATCCGGAGACCTTCCGCAGCAGGAACTACAGTTACTACAGCAGTTTCCGAGTTAAACAAATTGTGTGGCAGAAATTCAGCTCTTGATTCACGTACTATTGTATATAATGTTCGTGAAAAGCTCGATCAACGAATACTGCATTGCGGTGACCGGTTTAGAATGTCTCACCATGACAGAGAGGGGAGCTGCATACATGACAATGGTGATGATGACGCACAGGATCCCAACGATGGTATGTCGTGCGTGGAGGTGATGTGTGGCAAAGACGACTACAAGTACCACCACGATGAAGAAGACTCCCAGAGTGCCCCCAACTTTCGCCGTATGAATCTAGAAGCATTCCATCACTCAGAGCTTGAACGACATTACGGTGCTACGACATTTGTAGCCTAGGGCCGAATCTCGCCTCACAGGCTCAATTAAAACAATATTATAGATGTTAGAGACAAAGGCAAACTATAAAATACATTCAGGTGCCTGGTTCTGGATCAACACCTTGCCTGGCTTGGCCGCATACTTCATGAAAATAGAGAGGTAACACATCTCCAGAATTGCTCCGATCCCATTGATAGTCATGATCAGAACACCATTCTTGGTAACAAAGGGCATGCCATAACTGCCCAGCCATACCAACAGTCATTAGCTCTTAGACTATTAACATTCATAACTCAGTCTTACACCTTGGGCTTTCAAACATTCACTGTAAATCTATTTCAGAACGCTTTCATCTCACGCTACCCTCTCTTAAACACAGCATTCGGTGACAGTACCAGCACAACAGAAAGGATAGCAGACTTACAGCAACCACAGGACACAATTTAGAAGGGTGCACAAGTAAGGTATGGCGGAAAAGCTGTCCGTGGCCTTTTTCTTGAAAATCCGGTAGAAAGTGGTGCTGCGTAGATAACAATCCCAATTCCGAACGAGGTTATGGTGAACGAATGGGTCGAGAAATCCAGCACCTGACGACTCATGCTGCATAGATCTAGAAATTTATCTGATCCACTCGACGCGTGCCTGTGTATTATTAGCATATTAATTTTTGCAACTTTTCTAGTTTTCTGACGACCGTGTCTTCCACTTTTCCTTACAAGCTCAGCTCGCTACAGTGGACTGCTCGTGATTTCAAATAGAATTTCATGCAAGCATCTGAAAACTATCCGAGTGCAGTACGTAATTTCTGAGGGCAAAGATCAGTGTAATACGCTGGAGCCACGAAAAGGCACACTCCGGTGATGTTTCCTGCACGCAAAAGGAGAGACACCAAATGAAAAGAAAGCAGAACGATTCAAGAGTAAGATCGAACTAACAAGGCAGACGAGCTGAAGGTAAGTGCTATCTCTCTCTCTCTCTCTCTCTCTCTCTCCATGGACATGTCCACATCCCCACTGTGGCAGTGGAGTGGGGATGTTTCCCTCTCTTTCTCTCTACTTCCTCATTACGACGAGCACTTCGCTGGCTGCGATCCAAAGATACAGGAAAGCGCAGCCAGCGGCTTGGCCCAATCAAGAAAACATTACATCTCTTGGCGAACGATTACGAACAACAAGAACCGAGCACGTAGACTTCAGCAACGACTGTGAGCATTTGCGACCCGTCCGTGCGAGACTGCGCAATGCAGCTCGACGGGGTCAGGAGCATGCCCAGCGGAAGCCATGGTTCAGATCTATGCAATTTGGATCAACCTCACTGGAAGCTGCTGGCTCCTGCTGGACTCGAGTCCGGACCTTGGCATTCAGATCGTGTCTCTCCTTCAGATCTGATTTGGATGCGGTTTGAAGTCCACGTGAGACTCAGACTCAGATTCAGTGTCTCCTTTGGAGGACTGGCCAGAGAATGTATTATCATGACACATTCATGGACATATTTATAGCATGGATTTTGAAGGTCGGGCTTATGAAATTCCGCCAAGGAAGTCCGATTTTTTTCTGAGTCCGTCGTCTTTCCGATTCAGACTGGACCTGCATCTGAGATTACCGGCTGCTCGAGATTCAAGTAGAGCTACCTCCGACATTTGACAGCAGGAGGTAGAACTATATTCAACACGTGCACGTGCACAAAGAAACGAATCATATAGTGCAGGTATCAGAGCGTCAGCCATCTATCGAGAAGTTAGAAACTTCCATCAACCTCCATACGTTCACATATAATTCCATGTCAGCGTCATAATCGATCATGTGCAACGACACAGAACACAACACATGTGTTGTGTACACATACTCCATTAATATATAGTCGCCCATAACAAAACTTGGCCTGCGCAAGTTTCTACTGCATTAGCAGTCGTAGTAGAAACACAGAGAAGCAGACGGCGAGCATCTTTCCTCCGGGGCCCATGGAGCCCTGGAGCTGAGAAGCTCTCTACATGGCGAACTTACGGCTGTGCTTAACGTAGTCGAACTCGTAAAAGTTACAGAAGCAGTAGCCCACAGTACATGCAACCAGAGTGAGAACGGCAAGCCATAAGTACAAATAAAAAAGCGCACCGAGAACTCCGACTAGGAACTCAGCACTTGCCCCCATTTCAAAGAGTCGCAGGTTCAACGACGCAGCTCTCGGGTCGGTCGGTCCTTCGATTCCTTCTTTCTTTCACGGCGAGTATTCGACGAAACAAGATCAAGAACACACGGCTTCGAGCTCCCGGATCAGATGTATCAGGTGATCAGAGGTACTTCGACGGGCGGCGGCGGCGGCAGCAGCAGCAGCAGCATCAGCGACGGGACATCGAGCTATCGACGACCGTGGAGAAGGGTTTTTCAAAGATCCGACGTGAAAAGTGATGATGTATAGAGATCCTCCAGTGCACTGCAGAGTGATCAGTTATTGTGCATGCAAGAAGCCATCATGAACGCCCTTGCCATAGCTTTCCCAGCGCAGCGCAGTCTGAGTCTGAGTCTGAGTCGATCTTGCGTAACAAGCCGAACGGTCAAGAGCAGCCTTGCCTCGCAACTCTATAAGGAGGACGTGAAGTGAAGTACGTGAGGCCTTGCAGCAGCTAGAGAGCAGACATGGATTGCAGAGCACAAGTAGCAGCAGAAGCATCCGGACCTGAGGAATGCCTGTGAGTCCAGCACTGGAATTGGACTAAGGCACTTCGCGATCCAAGCTACTTAAAGCCTGATCAGGAGCCCGCTGCCGCTGCCGCTGGCAGGAGTGCGAGTCATGTCAGAGACGCAGCTGGTGCCAGTCATCGGGAGCTGTAAATGCTCTCGTTGCCGCCTTAAGCCGTGACGAAGGTCGCTTAGTACTTTGGGATTGAGGTTTAGGACTTCCATTGCCGAGCTTTGTACGGGACAGTACAGCAGTGTCAGTGGGAGTGGTCAATGTCACACACTAAGCTCATTCTCAACTTCCCTGGCTCACTCTTTCGGAGCTTTGCCTGTGAGTGAGTGAGTGCATGAGCGAGCGCGAATATGCCTGTCCAGAAGCGTGACCTCGAGAGGACGGTGATGTTAATCTGTACAGAGGCGGTACGGGTCATGTAAGTGGCAATTGGTGCGATGGCTACGGCCGACCTTGCATGCAGTCCAACTTGCCTCATCACCAACGTACCTAACCAGCAGCAGCAACATGAGAACGGAGTCCATGGGCGAAATTGACCACTTCCTAGCTGCTCCAACTCTCTTTAATGCCGTCAAATGGTCAGTAGGACAGCAAGAGCTGACGAGCGAGTTCATTGCACAGGCAGTGTGGATGTCATTGTCACCTACAGTGGCTCGATTGAGTTATCCAGACGAACAGACATTAAATTCATCGGCCTCAAAGCATGAGGAGAGTGAGGCAGGCAGGCAGGTCGGCCCACTATAGTCTAGATAGGTGAGCAAGCACACGCATTCTGTGGCTGGTAGCAGGAGCAAAGTGGTTACCGGTGTGTTTGAGTCGACTTGAGTGCATGGCCACGTGAACTGACTGCGTTTACTCGTTTGGTGAGGGCATCGCTCTCAGGTCGACTGCTCCATTCAATTTCCACCTCCATGTCCCCAACGTACTGGGTTGGTTCCCTGCCGAGTTGCAAGCAGTAATGTTAATTGTACGTACCAGAGCCAGCCTTCGAAAGTTGCAAGCGATGTTTGTCCCCTTGAATGTCTTTCAACTGGTGTCTCTACTGCACATCCCCTAATCTTGCAATCGCACAAAATGAGGTTATTTTTTGAATTTTTTTTATACTTTCTTACTGATGTATCATCTGATGGGCAACCGAATTTGTACTTGTTTTTTATGAGTCAAACAAACCAGCTAACATTTCTGAGATACCTGCAGCAATTTTATCAGAAGTCAGTTTCCAGGTACCAGAATATCAAAATCTTCAGCAACTTAAGCAGCAGCATGATCAGCAGGTTGCATCCGTTTTATAGTTCAGTTTATGAATATAATCCAATTAACGTGGACGCTGGTGTGAATCAGGTTCTGAGATCTCAGGACGAAAAGAAAGGGTTTAGCAGAGCCCTGATCGTTGAGCACGAATTGTAATTTGTATATTGTCCTTCACAGCCCATATATGATATTATTGTTAGCTGTTTGTTCGTGGCTGAAGAAGTGCGGTTACTGAGGTATAGTCCTGTCCTTTGGTACCGGGAAAATCCGTGTTTATGAGAGGATGTACACTCAGACTTTGATCGGCACATACTCAATACAATCAGATGCGCTTTGTTTTCATTTAAGTGTAAACATATCATTTTTGAGCTGGAAAGGAAGCTTTTCCAATATCAGACCCAAGTAATTATCCCAGTTCATTGTGGTTGATCAAAGAGTTAACGGGTCCTTGAATTGCGTTTAGAGAAAAAAAATGGAAATGCATTTGTGACCATCTGCATCACACAAATTCACCACCGATAATGTCTTGGATGCTAGAACAGGACGACTTTGAAGGCAAAAGCATTATGATTAATACTTTCTGCCTCAGGAAAAGGCATGGAAGAATGTATAACCTTCATATCCAGATATCTCTACACAGTGTTGCCCTCCGTCACTACATCATAAAGAGGTGGTATTTTGCTTGGTAATGCGAGTCTAATGTCAGGGACTATCTGGGCCTGTACGACATATAAACAACATAACGTCGATAGATTCAAGGTTCTTCCAAAAAGGATTTAATTGATAATCGAAGTCTTTACAAACGCGGGGTTGCAACTCTCAATCACTGGGATCGAGAGCAGTTGCATCTCAGCCAATATGGCTTCCCTGACTTAGCAGTCTTGATAATCGAATCAGCTTCGCGCATAAGCAGGTTACTGCTAGCTAGCTGCTCTTCCAAGACAAAATCAGATACTGTTAGCTGGTGATAGAGACCGAGTTTACAATCTGATCTGTCGTTGGTACTTGTCATCTAAATCCGGTTGATTATCCATCTGACATTGACATCGTCTATCGCTGTATTGACGAAAATGATCATTCAGTCAACAACAATTTTGGTGAGCGTGCGTGCACACTACCGCTGGCAGGAGGATCTGAAACGTTGTGTTTGAGAATTGGAGTAGATGCCAGATGGGCATGTGGCCTGACTGCTTCCATTTGCTCCTTGAGGCTACCTCTATTCATTTTTCTCACCGTAAACAATGTAAGAATTTATATTTCATGATCTAACGTACCGCATGGTTTGGTTTGTTCTTATGTCCACCATAAGTACTTACTGGGTACCAGCGGATAATGCACAGGGTCCTGTTGAAACTCAGATGCTTCTCGCTCCGATCAGCTTATTTAACATCCATATATCCAGTGCAAAGCTTATATGCTTGGAACTCTGCTTCATACGTTGATTCAAGCTACTGAGTATACGTCCATGGATCCACTTGTCTCCTTGTACTATTCAACAAAGCTTAGATTCTTGCCTCGTCTGAAAGTGCTGTATATTTCAGAACTCAGTGAGTTGACAGAAGGTTTGGGGTACCGAATGCCAACACATGTCATGGTCTGCAGAAGGCATTAGCTGTAGGAGGCAGCATTTCATTTGCCACCGCCTTGAGACTTCGAAGTTTGCAAAATATTCCAATCATTCCGTCAGGCATCAAGGAGGAGTGCACGAACTCGAAGATGACGTTGAACCTTCTAATTCTGGGAATATAATCATGACACCACCAACATCTGATGAGAGAGTCCTTGTACCGAGGTGTGGTGTATATAGTCTCCTCTTCTCAGGCCATCAACTCTGCGCGGTAACGAAGTGGTATCAGCTTCCACTCGATGATTCTTATCTCCTGTCCATGTGGTACTATTCGATACAGTTTTCACGTGACTGTAAGTACGCCCATTCTGTGCTTTCTAATCTTCCATCAATTAAATAAACTCTGAGATCACGGGTTAGACTTTCTTCAACCGCCATATGAGAAAATCTCTATGAGAGCACAATTCCAACGATTAGGATGCAGACCATCCACATTACCTACCATCGTCTCCAACTCCCGTCCTGTTTGGTGCTTGCCAATTGAGTCAGATGTAGCGAAAAATTGCTAGTACAGGCCTCGATGAGCGAGCAAGCTTACCTTCACTCAGTCTGGTTCGTTCCGAAAGATTCAGACTGGAGATTTTGGTGCGAGTGTCGATTGAAAGGATGGAGATGGAGAATGTTGACCCTTGTGGATTCAGTTGTTTTGAACCGATTTTTACCATCAACAAACGCTAGTAACCCATAACCTGGCTTATTATCTAGAATTGGTTATTATTGGGTGTCTTGTTTGTACTTTTGTTCAAGAATTGTTAAATTATCATTTGTAAGTATATTTCATATGATACTATTGAGACTGGACCTTTGTTTCTCTATGTTCTATCATATGTGATGTTCGACGAACCTTCGTATTTTTTTTATATCTACTAGGTGCAGGTTAGCTTAATATCGGCGGCTTGGAGTTGTTGTGAGTTACTTTCCATGTTTGTTGTGTAACGTGTTGAGGGGATCTTAAACCTAGACTTTCAGTGTGCTACCACACTAAGCTTGTTTGGAATGAATTGGGAGGAAAAAGTTCCATTCGAGTTTGTTTTCGTGTGATTTAATTAATTAATTACCATTAGTTCTCGATTACGTTACAATGTAACTTTAAATAAATTTCCGAAATTTTTATATACAATCAATACACACGAGCATAATCTGGTTTATTTAATTGAAATTAAAATAAATATCTTATTTTGTATAGTATTTTCTTCGATATAAGTTCATAGCATTCAGATTTTTCAAGATATCTTCCGATTAATCAGCTGTAATTAATTATACTTTTGTTTTCATAAAAATAAACGTTAATCATATTAAAGAGAAATTTTAAATCAAACATAGGAAATTAAAATACGACTTCACTATCTATAATGAAATACTATTTTAAAATTACTTATAATTTCAGAAGTAAATTTTGAAAAATAATCAATATACAAAGTTAGCAATTATGGAAGTAAAATCTTGACACTAAAACAAGAAATATCTTTAAAGTTAAATATCATAAATTGAATCATGGATTTTATTTCAACAAACACATCCAGGGTTTGATATTTTATTTAATTATCATACATTTTGTCCTATTAGTTGCGTAGCATGGTCATATCAAAAAATTGAAGATAGTTTTATTTGATGATTGTGATTAAGAAATGTAAGTTTTAATTATCATAGAAAGTTGATCATTTAATTGAAAAATATTTTAAGATGATTTTTTAATTACAATATTTGATGATCAAGCTATTAAAATAAATTTTATATCGATTCATAAATATATTATTCTAATCTGATACAATAATGATCTAATCTTAAAGAATAGTATGGATTATTTGATGAATTTAAAATATGAAATTCATAGATTGATCATGATGATTTATTTAAATATCTTCATTCATTTCTCTTACCTGCCAGTACTGGAAGGGATAATGAAAGTAGGAAAGCTGTTACTAAAAAAAAGTTTATTTAATCTTATATTATCAAATAAAATATGATGTTTATAATATTTGATAATTTTTAAAAACTAACCTATATTAAATTATGAAATTCACAAGCCTTTAATTTATTTTATTAGATTGACATCACAAGTTGAAAGTTGATAAGTTGAAACATAATTTATTTACCTAATTTGACATATAATATTTACTTTAGATAAATTAAATTTGGAATATTTATTTGAAAATTTTCCAAATGATCAAAAATGAATTATGAATTTTATTTTTTAGAAGAGATCGTTTATTTTTTATTTGTAAAAATATATTTATGTATTTTATCTCAATATAAAATATATAAAATGTATTTTCAACAGATAAAAATTAATTAGTTAATGATATTTGAAAACTAAAAATACTCTTATTTGATAATTTAAGAAAATCTTATTATTAATTATCACAATCCATGTCATGAAGTGGACAAAAAAATTTCTATGTTCTTTCATTGTAGATGTTTAAATTTTTTCCAAACAAAATTTTATGAACTTTAAATTTTAACACATGTAAATTATTCAATTTTGCATCATTTTTATCATCATATTGAATATAAAATACATAGAAATGTTGTAAAAAATTTGAATTTGGACTTTATCTAATAATTCAAAGCTATCATAGAATTATTGCAAATAATTATACATATTTGATGCGAGCTTTTATAGATTCATGAGGTCAAAACATATTTTGTTTTATAAAAAAAATTGCAGTTGTTACTTAAATTTTCTTTATAATTTATATTGTCATATTAAGTTTTATTTTTGAACGTAGAATTATTAAAAATAATAAATATATACGATCGATCATGAAAAAATCACTTCAATCGCAAAATTGATTAACATGGTGCATTGAAATAAGATAGAAACTAAATACTTATAATTTTCATATATATAAAAGATAAATCAGTGTTCATAGTGAGCATATGAACGTTTTATGCATTTCAAAAGAATAAAATGTACTAGTAACTTTAGATTTTAAGCATGAGATTTAGATTTCATATATATGTAACTTGACACATAAAAAATAAAAATAATGATTTTTCTATTTATAATAGATTATTAATCACGTATATCAACTTATCAAACAAGTAAACAATTAAGTATGTGATTTGTTGTTAAATTCGTGACTTTCTTTACTATCATGCTAAAATTCCAAAAGTGATCTTTACAAAAAGTATTTAATTTTATTGTGATGTTATTAAAATTGAAAAAAAACATCAATACCTTGTAGATAACATACTATATTCTTATATTTCAGTGAATGCAGTTTCTTGGCGAGTCGTTCGTCATGACTGACGCTGTTAGTTCATTAATAGTAATGGTGTCCTGGGCGGCCAAACGTTGAGGTCAAAGTCGCATTATTTTCATTCATTCTGTAAGGTGGGAAGCAATATGCATGAATCATCAACATCGTACATTGTTAGCTTTTTAATTACATGTGTGCCTTGTATCAAAAACATAATCAATCACAGAAGCAATTTCTTCCCGTATTTTTACACGTTGTATGATCAAATGTATATTTGTATAAATATATAAACCCACACTTTATCCACTAACAAAATCAATTGAAAATTCAAATTGAGTAAGCAGAGTACAACTCAAGAATCGAATTATCCTCCCATTTAGTCTGCCAGCAGCGTTTTCATGTTATAGAAAATATAAGGGTTTTATCTATATTTAATTTCATATCAGCGTAAGAGTTTATCCTACTGTGAAGGTTTGTCCTATAAAATCTCAAAATGAAAGGTTTTTCAATTCTCCATGTATATTGATCGATTATTATCTAATTGATTTTACAATTTTTTGTCTGACGTTATCCGATTAGATTTTGCATCTGTTCGTAGGGCTTTTAATCGCAGCCGATATTAACAGTCTTCTTTCCGTGACAATATTTTCAGTCAAATTTATGTGGCTTAAGTGATGGTCAAGTTGAGTTCAATTGTCAGCCTTGCAGTTTGGCATGTTCTTCCGTGTAACATTGCTGAAATTTCTTGTTCTCATTTGATCTCACTGTTTTGTCAACATGCAATGATCTTCAGCGCTTTGGACATGACGATCATTCTGTAAATTTTCGTTTACGGTGTTCTCGCAAGATCCAAGTGCAGTTTGCAGAGGGAAGCTCATATTTTACAAGATCTGACGGTCAGAGCTAACATGCGCTGAGTGGTCATCGCAAGCAAAGTTATTGGCTCTGGTCGGTACCCAAGGTAGACGTAGTGGTCGCAGCAAGCAGCAGCATTTGGCAGTGTGCTTTTCGTAGAAAACTTGCTTTGGAGAAGGTTTTGTACAGTCTTTGCACGTAGTTTTTGGCAGAACCATGCACATTTCGTTTGGGTGTATTTAGGCTGCTATGCACTGTTCAGTCCTCGGCGTAGAGTCTTTCTATCAGTGGTGAGTACGCATGCTGAAGTCTCCCAAGTCATACTGTTACTCAACTTGGCTTGTTAACATCTCGTTTAAAAAAGGAACATATTCTCTTTATCATAAGTAAAACAGACCCTTTTCAGACATGTAAGTATTGGTGTTGTTTGTTCAGGTGATTGATAATTTGAATTAGTGTAAACATTACCAATGAGATTTCCTCATACGGGAGTTTTGCGTAAAATCATGTCTTACGTAGTATTTCAGTTTCCAAAAAAATGGTAGTGCTCACGTTAGCTGTAGAAGAATGTCTGCGAAGAATCATTTGAAAAGGAACAAATGAAGAGTCTAGACATCTAAACTACATTTGAAACTCGGCAATATGCGACATCTCAGGACAAAACAACCCGGGAGATCTTCACTGTGTAGAGGACAACAGAGGAGGACCTACACATCTACATCAGGTAAAAGATTAGACTAATACTAGTTGGGTAGACTCATGAGACGTTTCCGTTCTTGGCAATATCAAGCACAGTATGTAATCTTACCTGTAAATAATCAGATGGTGCAAACCACAAGTATCCACACTGCACATCCCTCAGCTCGAACTGGAACAGGCCTTATCAAAATCGTGAAGAACCCTCATCAACTACGACTTTACTACGTGCTTTTCAGAGTGAAACTCCTGACCTCTCAACACGCAATGAGCTCTTGATAAGACAGACACAGACGCTCACTATTACTAATATCGTCCCCCGGTGATGCTTCGACAACTGCCCACTTACCCCAGGCCACAGCTAATCACCCAAGGCTATGGGGATGCTTAGAAGAAAAAATTAAAAAGAAACTCGTTCTGCAATTCGACATATCCTTTCTCCATCAACGTGCTTCAGGTCTAGCTCCAAATGGTGTCCAAATAATTTAATCCACGTTGAATATACCTTAAACGTCTTTAAGCTAACAATCATCCTTCGACCAGTGTAACGTCATGCGTAAATTTCTTCCAATATTGATACGTTCTACACCAATTCATGTAGAATCACCTCCTTCGTATTTATTTTCATCGATCGCATATAACCTGGCCTTGACGGGCATTGCTTTGCGCCGAGAGAATGCTGATCTAAAAACCTGCAGGAAACTGTACAACTAAAATATCAAAGCTTTTGAATCATCTCTTACGGGATGTCAGAAACGCGAAGGTTATATGCTGGAAGCTCACTTCGGTTGAGGTTGATTAAGACACTGAGTTGCGCTTCATATTACACTGCAACTTATGACTCTGATTTAGAAGGCACAGCGCAGGTTTGTAGATCAGCATTAGACATCAACACTGACCATAATTGGCCAAGGATTTCAATTCAGTTGGCAAAATTAAAAGAAAAGCCCACAAGACAACGCATGGTGCTGAAACACATGATCAAGAAGCCTAAACGATTCAAAGTCACATCAATGTATTATTGACACCCATAAGACTTCAGAGTGACGGCTACATGACTTACTCCAATTACTTTTGTAAAATACACAAGGACCTCCGCTGTCCCATCAAAAGTGTGAACCTCAGTGATGACCTTCCTCGCTGTAAAATTGCGAGTTCGAAGATATCATTCCCCGGTAATTCTAGACCTATGCTCACGGGACAGCCAAAAAAGAACCATTTCGCTAATTAAGGATGAGATGGATTATCTGCCAGAAGGAAAATATGAGTCTACTCGTCGTCTCCAAACAGGCCGAAACCCATTTCCTGCACAGAGCAAAAAAAACAAAGTGAGTAACCCTCATCTTACTCTCCGGCATTAACAACTATCACGCCGTCCTTAAGAAGACCAAAATACTGAAAATCTCAAAGTTCTGCGAAGAGATTCTTCCCACATAATCTATAAACGAGCGTGTCAAAGTACAGAATGACTGGCAACAATGCTTGTGAGTGCAATTGCATTTTGAGAACGCTGTGAAACAATTGCATCCACACAATCACTACTCATCACGTAGGCTACACCACTTATAATGGTGCATGTAAGACAGATAATTGGAACATAAAATCGGCAGGAGCGTACAATGAGCTATGACTAAATTTCTCTGGGGGAGGGTTACGGAATAGCTGAGAATGAAAAAACATAAACACGCCCTTCACAGTTAAATATGACAAATACAAAAGTAAAGAGAACTTAAGTAGGCTTACATCGTCAGACTCTTCCTTCTCCTCTTCCTTCTTTTCCTCTGCCTTCGGTGCCTCAGCTGCAGCAGCGGCACCGCCACCACCACCACCAGATGCTACCACGATACCACCACCTCCTCCTGATGGTACTGAGGCAAACTTCTCCCTTCCGGAAGCAAGAACCTCAAGAATGTCTTTCCCTTCAAGCTCCTTCAGCAAGAAGTTAATCTTCTCCTTGTCGGCCTCAGCTCCGACTGTCAGAACCAACCACGACGCTCGATGTATTAATATTAGGTTGGATTACTTTTAGGTTGCATTCCTTTGCACCAGATTATAACGTGAGCCATCGCGTATCTCCCTCCGATAAAAATTGATATTACTCACGGAGCCCCTCCATCGACACTACGAACTCTGTTTTGAAAAAGAAATAGAGATACAGGCAGAAATTGAACATACCTGATGACAAGATAGCCGTCAAATCCTTGGCGTTAGGGCTGGCATTTCCTCCGAGGAGGGCCAGAAGATAGGCAGCGACAACCTTCATTTTGGCGATCGCTCAACCGAAGCAAGCAGGCACACGGACGAAGGTTCTTCGGGACGCCCTGCGGGTTGAGAGGGAAATTGCAGAAAGCAAAAGAGTTTCTCGATCCGAGTTGCCAGAACAAAAGAGACGAGAGAGAGAGAGAGCAATCGCCGAGTCCGCAAACACACTTAGAGAAAGGAGGGCGGAACCCTAACGGGGCTGATGACGGACTGCGTTCGCAGCCTTCACAGTCTTCACGTTCCAGTCCTTCAGCTTTCACGTTCGTCGGTCGTATACCTCGTTCTTCACGACTTCTTTCCTCCAGTACGTCGTCCTCCGTCCTCTTTTTCTCTCCGAATTCCGTTACGAGGTTTCCTTCTTATTCTGCAACGTCATGTACATGGCACTTTTACATCCACGCTCGGGATCAAAGAATTAGCAAAATGACTTGGACACGTGTCATTTTTTCAACAAATTAAAAAGCAACAATGACTAATGTGGTTAGTCCAATACTATCACAATGCCAAATATATCTAACATGAACTAACAAATACGAACTGTGAAGAAATACTAAAGAAATCGGAATTAACATCACATCGAATAAGCGCCTATCAATAAGATATATATATATATTAATTATATGATAGTGTGAATCATCTAATCTAATGTGATTGTTATTTTATAACATTCTTAATTATATGTAGAGAATCATGTAAACACACATCTTCTAATCCGAGAACTATAATATACAGATAATTTGGTAATCTCTATATTGAAGTGAAAATATATTGAAAAACCAAATTCTACAGAACATTAAGTATTATTTTTTTATTAGAGTACAATTTTTTCTTTTTAAATGTGTTCAAGTACACAATATTCGGTGAAGTCCACGTGTGAACTTGTTTAAACTTATGGATATATATGTTAGCAGTTATAATTCCTGGTTGGAGATGAACTGGATAACCTCGATGTTCAAGTCGAATAGGGTTGCAGAAGCAAAGATACAAGTCTTCAAGGCCATAAAAGCTGGCCAGAAAATTTTTAAAAAATCATGTATACTTGATGTGCAAGGATCAAGGAAGCAAATATAAAGTTGTAGATTTTGTCAGAGCCTCATGATGAAAAAGGGTTTATGTCCATGCATAACTGCTAGGTTGTGCAATCAAAAGTGATTACATCTGTTAATTGATATTTGAGCATAACATATATCAAGCATTGATTCTAATTTTACTTCATCCGATATGATTTTAACAATGTTAGTACCAAAAGGATTTTACAATTTTTTTGTTGCATGGCATAAATACATAGTTTCTAATCTATGTAATCAAAATTGAGAGTGATCTCATTATTTTTATTTTTAGAAAAAATATTTATAATTTTGAAACTTTACTATGAATTTTTTTTAAATAATGCAAAAACATCACCTTTACATATATTATCAAATTTTTACTACATTTTAAATATTAATTGATTTGTGTTTTTTGATTAAAAAGTAGTGTACAATCAATGAAAATAAAAATTAAAATGCACTCTTCTTCATTTCAATAATAATTGAATTTTTTTATTAATAATTGTTTGCAAATAAATTTTAGAAAAATATGAGCTCAAGAGATTCAAATACATCAATAAAATTTTATCATATGTTTGGTTATTTTGAAATGACATAAAATCAGTATAGAAGATTACAGTAAATATATAAACAACAAGTTTATAAATTTATCTTGAAAGTAAATTTGAAATATATTAAAGTTTAAACTTATTTCCTATATAATTTTTTATATTAGTATACTTATTTTTAAAATTTGAATAACTAATTTGTATTAATGAGTCTAGACATGAAATGATGAGTAAAAATTGTAAAATTGTGTTTTGTATAAGACAAAATTAGAAGATCCAAGTTTTCAAATTCGTAACCAATTGTTTAAAAGCCATGCAACAAAAACCTGAGTGATAATTATGACTAAATCTTTAAGCTTAAATTGTGTTACAAATATAAAAAAATTTGATTTTGACCGTTTAATAATTAAGTAGATTTAAATTATAATTAAAACACATAGTTGAATCTAGTTTAAAACATCTATAAAATATTAATATAATTGAAATATTTTTTTGGATTCAAAATTTTAAATCCATAAATTATAACATACACAAGTTTAGTTTATACAAATCACGCAACAATATTCAATAATGATGAAATTAATAAAATCCATATATATATATATATATATGATTAATTTACCATTATATTATACTATACGATTGCAGCAGATTAATATTCAAAATTCTCAAAGATCTCAAATTGTAGCTAAATCAAAATTTAAACAATTGTATTCATAACCTAAATTTGAACAAAAATGCAAGTATTTTCACAAATTTGTTACTTCAATAAAATTTTCATGAGACTTTTGAATTAATTCCTTGAAGAAAAAAATCCAACTTAAAGCTAAATTTAAAATCCAAAATTTACATGACTATGGGCCAAAAATAAAATTTATGAAAAAAACAATATTGTTTGTTTTATGCTAAAACCACTCATTTTTAAATTGCATAGAAATTAAGAAAAATAAAATTTTATTTTTGATAAAAAATAATGCAAAAAGAATATTCTGTATTCTCTGATCATTTAGAGCATATACAATAAGAAGAAAGAATGTTATCAATTAAGAGATTCAAATGCAAACTTTGAAATAAAAAAAGAAAAAGTTAGTGGGTCATGCAAAATTCATGACAAATTTCTTATATGAGACTATAATATCAACCTTATGTATATCATGAAAGCGTGACTCACAAATGCAAAAGAAATCAGTTTTGATATTTTTTTATCATTAAAAATATTCATAAAATTTTTTTTAAACACCAATTTAATTTTATATTACTGGTATAAAAAATTTAAAAATTATTTATCAAATTAAAAAACATGAAATTGCAAGATTAAAAATTTGTTAATACCATGAAAAATTAGATAAAATATGCAAAGACATGATGATATATGTTTTCTATTACAAATTGCATATAATCAACACAATATTAAAATTGCACATCAAATTAGTTGATAAATTTATTATTTTAAATATGATGCATTCATCAAAAAATTACATATCTCAGGATTAAAAATTATTATATATGCTAAATAAATGTGGAAAAAAGCCAATATTATGTTTAAGTATATGAACACATTTAATTCTTTTATCCATTTTTAGCAAATTTCAATGATCAAAACATAGATGTAATTGAAATTGCACATAACACTATTTTAAATAAGAGTAAATATATTTTTTGGTATTTTATATATATTTAATCAATTATTATTAATTAAAAGTATAAAAAATAAGATCACAATGATAATCTATTGGAATTAATCACTTCAAAGGTTATCAATGCTCTATGAAAGAAATAAGAGGATCATATATTTATGAATCTATTCATTCTATTCTCTATGCATTATAAATTTATGTCTGTAAGTTTAATTTTATTTTCATTTTCTGATGAAATTTTATATGTATAAAAAATACATATTTTGAATTTAGCTTTATTTTAAAATTTCAAATTTAAAATTATGTTTGAGCTTAGATAATAAAATACAAGATAAAATACATAGAATTGATTAAGTGATTTTTTGGTCACTTCTCATTTGACTTCCATGTTCCCATTCTACTTCTTCCAACGATTGTTCCTAGATTGCGAAAGCATAAAATTCTATGAACTTAAAGCTTGTGCAGAGGGGTATACCTGCCTGAATCGTGAATGCTCTTGCGAGATTAAATCTAAACTTTGTCACTTTTGCCTTCCATGATTTTCATAGTTCGTGTACTTTTACTTTAAAAATAAATAAACATTTACATTTATAAATCATTAAAAAGAATTGTAACTAAAAATTACAACAAATCAAAGATCACAGTTATTTATTTTCAATTTATTAGTTTTGATTAGTTTATTTGTATGATGTTCATGAACATCTTTCAACAAATATTTTTTTAAATATTAAAAAATTCTTTACAAATTTGTATTTATGTTTTTGTAAAAAGATCAACCTTAGTTAGTTTTATGTTATTATTCAATCACAATTTAAAACAAAACCATTTTTATTTTTATTTTATATTTTCTGCTTATTATATACTTCAACACATTATAACAAATGATTCAATCATCTTGGTAGAGGCGGAGAGTTAAGTACGAGACGCCTGGAGTAACTCATATAATACACATTTACTTGATCTGATGTAAGATAGCAGTAGAATTTGCGTACCTTAGAAGTCTTAGGCCACATATCATAATTGAATGAATTTTTACTTATTAGCATTTCCTTTTTGACATCACGGACATGATAAGTTTTGTGTTAGACTTATTTTGGATGCACAGGGTAAATTAGACAAAATGTAAGAGCGATAGTTATTTGAAACGCGAACTTCAGTCTCAACAGACAATCATCTTTGTCGACAAGTAGCTTTCAAACCAGTCTTCTCCAGAATTGTATGGATGCCTTATCACAAAAAATCTGCGAATCTACGGGATGTGAGGAAACACTGCCGGACAGGATGAGGGTCGAAACAAGCAAAACCAAATCGACAAATTTGCATCTCTCGTGCGTAACCACCTTTGGTTGTATGTTTTGAGACTTTGGACCAAAAAAGATATGGCATTTTGGCGGAATTAAAATCGAATGGCCATGCAAAGCATAAGTTTAGTTTAAGTGTAAGCAAAATACTTTTAATACATATAAAATAGATATTCATAGCATTAAAAAATTATTAGAAATGTCAACAAGTTGAAAAAAAACAATATTTTTAAATAATATTTGTTAGAAATATAAATAATAAGTTTTAAAAAAATCCAATATTATACTGTTTTATGAAACAGATATAAATCTTTAAAAAAATAACTGACTAACATTTTCCATTTTTTATTAGCATTTTTTAAAATATTGATAATATTTCATTTTATTATCTAAAATTGGCATAAGCAAATGTTCATACGATTGTTGATGTAATATTATGTGTTTTTGTTTGCAAATTTTTTTTATCTTTGTGATATTTTGATACATGCATGCATGTATCAAAATATGTTATGATGTGCCATATGCAAAAAATATAAAAATCTCTATGAAATAAAAAGGAATTTTTTAATTAAATTTGAAATTCTTTTTTACCTACCAATAGAATTTGATGTTATAGATTATGCACTATTATCTCAT